TTCTCGTGTACACAGTCCTTCTTCTTCATATGCAAACTAGATAGCCTAATCTTCCAACAGGGCCCAACCTTCTTCTCACCCCGCTCCTCCTCCAGAACCACCCTCCCAGATCACACAGCCCGACACCCAGCAGAACGCCGAGGACCGTGCCTGCGATCCGACCCGCGGTGGCTCGGCGGTGAGCTGCAGCAACTTCATCAGGATCAGAGGCGGAGGAGTTGGAGGAGGAGGAAGAGTTGGAAGATGGGGAGAGGGAAGCGGTGGGGAGGGTGTTGAGTACTGCTGAGGCGGGCCAGGAGCCTGTTGGGAGGGGCGGTTGGACGAGGTTGCATGATGTGTCTGAGTCTGTGTCGTTGGAGGTTCCGGTTCCAGAGGAGGTGGAATGGGAGGGGGAGATTTTGTAGGCGCCGGCCACGCCGCCCCGGCCGTAGCCTTTTTGCAGAGCTGAGAATGCTGTTTTAGTACTTTCATCAATCACGACAGAGTACAGGAAAGGAAAAAATAAAAATAAAAACGCACGACATGATCATGGTGAACCTCGTCCCAGCCGTCATATTCACAACCCAATCATCCAACCACCCTTCCCCTCCCCCTTCCCCGGAACCGGGCACTTTCACAGTCCAGCCCATAAACCCCCTATCCAACGGCACCAAAGTATAATTGTAAGGCCCCATCTCCTCACCCCCAGTCCAGGCGATCTCGAGCCCCGGGGAGCACTGGGAAAGGGAGCCGGAGAGGGTGAATGTAAAGTCGAGGGAGGTGGAGTTGAGGGAGGCTGAGCGGAGGCAGGATGAAGGGGAGGGGGAGGGGGAGGTTGTGGTGTTGGTTGTGTTGGTTGTGTTGGAGAGCATGGGTTGGACGATGAATGCTTCGGAAGTACCGCCTGTCAACGATCAGTTTGTGGATATGGGAGAAGGAAGAGGAGAGGGAGAAGGGAGGCGTACCGGTACCGATACCATTGGCATCACTCATCATAACCGTATAGATATATCCATTACTGATTTGCAGCTCGATCTGCAATGCTCAGCTCCCATCCCTCACCCCTCACTCTACAACACAGAAACTAGAGAGAGAGAAAAGGACGTACAGGATAAGAACCTTGTCCATCGACATAGTACGAGTCTGGGATGGAGAGGATGAATGGTTGGCCGAATACCGGTCTTGAGCGCAGGTCAAACATGTCAGCGTCAGTACAGTCTGCGTTCGTTCTTGACCTTCTTGATTTTCTTGATCAAAGCGGCGAAAGAGTCAGGACTGCGGATACGGATTTTGATTAAAGCTCCGACCTTTGAGAATCCACTCTACCGCTGTCCCATCTCCACTATGAAGAACAAGAAGAAAGAGAAAGAAAAGAACGTACATGAGCCAAACCTCAAACGGCGCCTTACCCCCCGACCAAGTAAGCTCGACAACATCACATTCACGCGTCTCGTCCGGCCATTGGAAGGTGAACTCGGTCTGGGGGCCGTCGGCGAGGAAAAGTGTTGAGAGGCAGGCGGCCCGGACCAAGCAAGCGAAGGCGAGGGTGAGGGGACGGGGAGGTGTCATTGGGGCATGATTGGGGCGTACAGGGGAAGATAGTCTGGTCACCTGGTGGGAATGCCGAGTGCCGAGTGAGATGACTTTTTGAATTGAGGGACGCCGAGTGTACTTGTACTGTAGAGTACTTACATTCGATCACTCGTCACTTGACTTGCTTTTGGAATGTGCTATGCACTACATACCTGCCCCTGCCACGTGGGGCCAGGGGGTATAGACTGCCTCGGCGCTCCTCAGATACACTAGCACCAACCTCGGCGCTCTTTTCCAGCCAACAATAATCGACTTTTTCATACTGCATGCGACAAGAAGACGTGTATATAAGTACGACCCGGTTGAACAAGATACTCTTCTTTTTATACACGGCTTATAGTTTGGGAACCTGCATGGGGGGGTTAGTAAAAGACAAGCAAAGAGAGGAGGAGGCACCCACGTGGAGAGTCTTGCTGACCATCGTCGCACCCCAAATCGCAAACACCCCCGCCACAAGATGCACCTCTCCCCACCCCCCTTCCACCCCCCAAAGCCTCACAACACCCCCCGGCAGTCCCCCCCCTTCCTTCAGGCTCAAACCAGTCTCAAACCATCCCTGCTTGACCCAGTACGCCATCAAGCTCGTCAAGCCCAGGGACGAGGGGATGGGCAGTCCTTCAAAGTATTTCGATTTTCCGGAAGCGTCCGAGGGGATGAGGGCGACGGTGGCGTTGAAGCGGGCGAGACGGGCGAGGCCGCAGGAGACAAACATGAGGAGCGCGGCGAGGTCGAGCGGCGTGCGCAACCCGAGGGTAAACGCCAGCACAGCAGGCGCCACCCCAAAACTGATCAAATCCGCCAACGAATCCATCTCCTGCCCCAACATACTCCCCCCGCCCATCCACCTCGCCACCTTACCGTCCAGGGCGTCAAAGCCGAAGCCGAGGATCGGGAGGAGATGGGCAAAGTACAAAGTGTTGAGCGCGGAGGAGGAAGGGGGGCCGGGGAGGTTGGAAGTGAGGAGGAGGAAGCGGGCGGAGGTGAGGATGGAGAGGGTGCCGCAGACGCCGTTCATGATGGTGATGAGATCGGCGAGGCGAAAGTTGCTGGCTGGGTGTCAGTGGGACAAGGCGGGAAGAAGGGGGACGTACCGGACGAGGGAGAAGTGGCCGTCGTCGTTCTTGTACTGCTGGAGGGCCTTCTTCTTGGCAGCGTCCATGTTGACAGGCTTGGGCGAGGGCGGCATCGTGAATGAATGAATGTATAGATGCAATATAGATGTGGAAGAGAGCGGAAACAAACGTGGAGGCCAGGAGAGATCTATACGTCACTCCATTACGTAACCCCTGCTTCCGTAATCACTCGACGCGTTAACGCGCCGCGCACTTTTGGATAAACAACCTTACTTTTTGTATTACACTCTTCACGGCGCCATGTCCCAATACCTCGACGAACAGACGCCCCACCTGCGGCACCTCCACGCCCAACTCGCCCTCCCCTCCTCCGACCTCGACGCCGACCTCGCAAGGATAGAACAGGCCATCAAGCAGGTTATCACGGGTATCATCCGGGAGAGGGAGGCGCAGGTGGATGTGTTGAAAGATGATATAGAGGGGCGGAAGAGGGATGTGGCGGGGCTGGGGAGGGCGGTGGGGGAGAGAGGGAGGAGGGGAGGGGAGGTTGGGAGGAGGGAGGGGGAGGAAGGGGAAGGGGAGGTGGGTTGTTTGGTTCGGCCCCTTGGTCTTGGGTCTGTGGGAAGAGCAATGCTGATGGTTTTTATTTTGGTAGACGTTGCCGAGGCAGTTGGAACGGCTTGACGAACAAGCAGATCAACTCAAACGAGTAAAATACCCTCTCAAAACCCTAGCTAGTGGCTGAAAGCTGATGTCCGTGGCGGGGTAGATATACGACGAACGCCTGGCGCATGTGCAAACGCAACACCAAACCCTCTCCCACCTCTCCACCCTGCTCGGCCCGCCATTCCAACCTCCAGCGCCTTTACAGCCCATAGCGTCGTCTTCGAAATCCTATCAACATCAACATCAACATCAACATACAGAGGGTGAAGCGGGGGTGGAGAGGGAGAGGAAGAAGCCGAGGGAGACTATAGCGCAGGCTATAGCGAATGGACATCAACACCAGACACAAGGGAAAGGGCAGGGGGGGGAGAAGGGGGTGTGGTATGATGTGGGCGAAGGGGTATCGGACGAACTCGATACCGCCGTCTCAAAAGCTCTCGAAGAACGCGCAAGTCCCCTTTCCCCTTCTCTTTGTCTGCAGTGGGGGATCTGACTGTGAAAAATAGGAAACCCGCCGAAAGAACCTCTGTCAAGCGTTCTTCAACCTCACATGGCTGCACTCAGAGTTGGCTCTACCGCCGATACCCACCTCCACCCCACACCTCTTCCCTTCCCACCTCCTCCCCCCCTATGAAGAAGAAGAATCCCCAGGCCTGTACGCCTCCTACGAAAAACTCCTCCACCGGTTGATATCCCAAAACCCCCTCCCGCCGGGGGAGAGCGAAGATTGGCCCGAAGTCGACTCCCTCGAGGGGATGGAAGATATAGAGCCGGAAATTCCCCTGATCGAGTGGGTGGATGAAGTGACAGAGTTGTGGGCGGGGTTGAAAGAGGAGCATGAGGGGAGGATACAGGAGATGTACAATCTCGTGGAGCCTTTATGGACGAAATTGGAGGTGGATCAGGAGACGATGGATTGTTTTGTGGAGATGAATAGGGGGAGTGGGGATGCTACTATTGCTGCTGTATGTCCTTCTTCTTCTTCTTCTTCTTTTTGTTTTGTTGGAAAGGAAGGGAGGGCTGACGAGAAGATAGTACGAAGCCGAATACTCACGCCTCCTCGACCTCCGCCGCGCCTCCCTCTCATCCTTCATCCTCTCCGCCCGATCCACCATCTCCACCCTCCACTCCACCCTCATCTACTCCCCCCCCGAAATCGCCCTCTTCCCCGCCCTCCTCGACGAAAACTACACCGAAGACCTCCTCGCCCTGCACGAGCAAGAAATCCAACGCCTAGAAGAAGAAGTAGAAGGGAAGAGAGAGTTGTTGCCAAAGACGAGGGAATGGTTTACGCTTGTGGGGGAGGAGGAGGAGTTGGAGAAAAATGCGATGGATCCGGGGAGGTTTTCGAGGAGGGGGGGTGCTATGTTGAGAGAGGAAAAGTTGAGGAAGAGGGTGAATTTGCTGAAACCGAAAGTACGTCCCCTTCCTTCCTTCTTCCTTCTTCCTTCTTTGTTTCTTTGACTCTTCCTTCTTTTCCTTCCTTTCCTGCCCGTTGTTTTGTAAGAAAATGAACCGAGCTGATGAGAGGGTGACTTGTAGATTGAACAAGAACTCTTGACGCTGTTGCCGAGGTGGGAAGAAGACAATGGACGGCCGTTCATGGTTGCTGGGGAGCGGGTGGTGGACAAGATACAGATGGCGTTGGAGGAGAAGGAGATGGCGAAGGAGGCTAAGAAGGTGAGTTATTGAGTCTTGAGTCTTGAGTCTCTTCTCTCACTTTTTTGTGAGATTTGGATATTGGGGCATTGGGAGATTGGGAGATTAGAAGCTGATGTCGGTGGGTAGCGCGCCAAACAAGGTCTAGGCCCCCTCCCATCAACCTCTTCTCCCTCCTCTGCTTCTGCTTCTTCTTCGGCAAGACCACTGGTACCGTCAAGGACGGTACGCGCTACACCAGCACCAGCCGGCCGTTCGACATCGACACGCGCTACAGCCACAGCCCAATCGACGGCGATGTCTGAGAGACAAGTATTAGGGAAGAGGGGTGCGCCGGGGCCTACGCCGACGGGACATGGGATGGCCAAGCGGACGAGGGGAGAGGCGCCTTCTGCGGGGGTTGGTATAGGCACGGGCACGGGGGCAGGAGCAGGAGCAGGGAGTATGCGTCCACCCCAAAAATCGGGGAGGTCTGTATCAACATCAACATACCACCGCCCCACCGCCTTGCACAACCATCACAACCAGAGTGCTGCCTCGCCGACACCGTTCCATGGCCATGGTACCGTCCGGTCCGTTTCTGGGCCGCATCATTCATCGACGACGACGGCGACGGCTGGGGGGATGGGGATGATGATGACTGGCAAAAAGACTGGTTTAGGATTGGGGGGATTGGGATTGGGGGATGGGAGAAGGCCCGGTGCGGCGGCGGCTGGGATGGGGGTGGCGGGGAGGAGGAAGAGTTTCAAGCCTAGGGCTAGTGTGGCGCCGCCTTCCTTGGGCGCTGGGGCCGGTGGGGGTGCTGGAGGTTTGGGAGGATGGAGAGAAGAGGATGGGAATGGGGATGGGGATGGTGGGGATGATGATGTGTTTTGATCTCGGCTCTCTTTTGGTTCTTTGACATCATGTAAAACGTAGGGATTTTTATCTTTGTGATATATATATAACGTGTTTATAGTCTCTTCCTCTTTCTGTCTTTCTGCCACTGCAAGCGTTGATTATGATGAAAGCGCTTGATGCATTTCTGTAACAGTTTCTCTAGATCAAGCGTGATTCGTTCAATCAGGGAAGGAAAGGAGATATTTGTACAAAGGACGTAAACGTGAGAGTGTTGAGACAATCTATAGATGGTAGTGGTATATAATGTGACAAGGAATATAGATACGAAGCCCGGAAAGTAAGAGACGATAAGCGATCTCGTTGAGAGGTGTCTTTGTATGGACATGGACATGGAAAGAATAGAGATCATACTCGCTCCCCATCATCCCCATCCTCCGCAACGACCACAACCCCTCCCTCCCCTTCCGCATTCTTCACATACTCCTGCCACCCCAGCCCCGCAAACCCACAACAAACCATCCCCGCGCCCGCCACACTCCACCCCGTCACCCCCATCCCCGCCACGGGCAACACCACCTCCCCCACAAGCGCTAGGGGGATGGTGAGCGAGAGACCGACGGTGACGAGGGTGGGCGTCGTTTTGAGCATGGCGAGGACGTAGAGGTAGTCGGAGGAGAGGGTGATGAAGAAGTTGATGAGGCAGATGAGCCAGGCGGAGGGGGAGGGGGGGAGCTGGAAGGGCTCGATGGAGGTGTAGTGGAGGATGGGAAAGATGGGGATGAGGAAGATTGTGTTGAATAGACCGGCGAAACTAGGTTCTCATCAGCGTTCGTCCGGGGGGTAGGATGAGGGAGGGGAGGGCTTACCCGAGCATGAGTTGCATGTCGGCGCGTTCTTCGTCGACGACGCGGACTTTGAGCAAGATGACATAGATGGCGTAAAAGGCGGCTGATGTCAGGGCTAGGACGTCGCCAAAGATTGGGTGGGTGGGTTTGTCGATGGGAAGAGGGAAGCTGGGGTCGGAGGAGGGAGAGATGGTAGAGTCGGAGTGGGTCACGAGGATGACACCGAGGAAGGAAGCAAGGACGGCAAAGAGTTTCGTTGTTGTTAATGATTCGACGCCGCATATTCTTCCAAGAGCCAGAGTGAAGAAGCCTGCTTGGTATCAGCGCTGTTCAAGATATGGATATGGAGACGCACCACTTGTACTACTCAAAATGGTGACACTCGCAACACTTGTCCATGCCAAACTCGCATTCACCGCCCAATTCGCCACGAACCAAACAACACTCCACCAAGCCGCAATCTCTGCCGTCTCTCTCACCGTCAATTTCGGCAAGACATGAACGGTCACGCCTTCTTCAGAAGGAAGAGGAGGGCGATCTTGGTCGAATGATGGGTGAGCGGGGTTGAGAGAGTCGGGGAGGGGGATGAGGCGGGCAGAAGGAGAGGCGGATCTTGAGCGTGGGAAGGCGCCGGATCGGGGAAGCGAGATGCTCCGTCGGTGGGAGGGCGAAGCGGGTAGAGAGAGGTAGCCAGCGCTGGGCGTGGGGTGGGCATCATCTTGAAGCACATTACGGTTTCTATACCGTCTCCACATTGTCGGAATGAGGTAGACGGTGAAGGACGCCGTGTTAAAGTACGTTATTCTGCGAGACGATAAGCAAGATAAGGATGGTACGAGACAAGTACGCACAAGAAGGGCTTGTTGTAAGCATCGTCTCCCGTCTCCAGCCCCGCCGTGATAAAGTTGGATGCTGTCCAAAGCTATTACATTTCCGTGTTAGCTGCGATCTGACTCGTATCGCGTGGGTACTCACGACTACCACGCCGAGAAGCAGGCCGACGCCGACGAGGTACCTGTTGATGTTGTAGGCTGCCCAGATGTTTGCAGGGGCGGGCATCTTGGGGAGGAGCGGGGAGGACTCCATCCGGGGGGCCATACGAGCGTCAAGAGTCGTTCGTTATGGAGATGGCGAAAGTCGCGCAAAACCGAAATTGCAACTGCTCCAGGAACAATTACGTAAACAGGGGGACAAACAAATACAGCAGCAGGTATGTATGCATCTCTCAACTACTCTGGATGTAGGAAGAGCCAAGCTGTACATAGCTGTTATAGCTGCGCCCTGGACTTGAAAGTTCAAAAAGCATCAATGACACACGACAGAAACGGCCTCGTGCGTCGCTCAACGACTCTGCGGATGGGAAAATGTATCCGCATGATATCCGGGTACTCTGTCTGTATCCATATTCTGGCTATAAGAGGGGCAATTGATCATGATCTTACATCTCCCTCTATCACATCTCACAGACACCAAAACAGATTACAACATATCACGATGCTTCCTCACACCATGACGATATTGTGGGCTTCTCACCATCATCAACTGCCTGCGAAACCATCCGGCGTCTCCAAATAGTATGTTTCTTGTGCAGCTGGCAGGACTCAGTATTGACACAATTATGCAGTCTCACAGTCCCTTCTTCTCCGGCCGAGAAACAGCAGCCATCTTTGAGTCAGTCAAGCCCGAAGGCTGATGAGATCTCAACATCTACTTGTATTTCGAGGTCATCCTCATCAGACAGGTACGTCGTCCATCATCAACACACACATCACATTGTACTGACATGATGAATCCAGCCTCTCTTCTACTGCATCTACTACGTCTCTGGCTTACCAGCTCCCGCCTTTCCCGATGACGTTTCCCGGGTTTGACGTTGTGGATTTGTTCAAGTTGGTGCAACGAGGAATCTTTGCCAGAAAGGGAGGCCTTGGAGATAGGAGCCAAGAGGTCAAGGAAGGGGAAGAAATCGAAATGATGGACACTGGAAAGAGTGGATAAACCCATATGTAGCTGCGTTTTGAATTATGTCTATGCAGTCCACTATCGCCGCAGCATGGGTATAATAGCTCGAATGATCTGATACAGCCAAAGACATGTCGGAAAGAAAAGAGGGAGCCCGCGAGTAGCCAACACGCACATAGCGGTCCTGTTGAAACAAGACAGCTGCGTTTCATAAAGTACGTCGCCGAGGGGGACAATCCAACGATGTGATATCTTTTGCTGTCGCTGTGCAATGGAGAGGCGACACCCCCCAGATGTCAACCAGATGTCTTCCATCGCACTTGTTGTAGCACTGCCCCATATCTACCATCCCGCGAGATTGACACAATATCTATCATAATGCACAAGTCTGCGGGCAGTGGATGTACCTCATACTCGAATTGGGTAGTCCAGCAGAGAAGAAGGGTAAAACCGCAGCCAAAGCGCCACAGACTTTCAGGAGCCAAATAGTATCTGGTCCCGCCCGCTGCTGTAAGGGTAGGATAGGCCAGGTGAGGCGTAATAGGGGCGGCTACACGGTGGATCTGGCTAGGGGTGCCAGATGTCGACCTTGAATAGGCTGGATGGATGAAGGATGGATATAGGTGAGGAGGATTATACGAGAACACATCGTAAAGGGAAAAGGATATGGGATGTGACACGATGTATGTACGGGGGTCCTCTCGCCTCCGCGTCTATCCGTCCCTCGGTCCACGTCACTACATCTCCTCCCAATCCCTTACACCCGCCTTCTCTCCCGCAAATCATGCGGCTGTAGTACTTGACTTACAGCCCATTGAATCATCTCAAACCCTCAGTATGACAGAGGCAGACCCCAGCAGTCCCCCGCGCCTCCCGGAAGACGTCATGTACCTCCTCTTAGGACACCTCGGCGCCACCACCAGCCCTTCCGCCCTGACCACCTTTCTGCGCGTCTCCCGCTACTTCCACAAGAGACTCATTCCCTTCCTTTACACATCACCGATGCTTACCCAACGGAACAACTTTGGCTTCTTCTACCCGCTCTACTATGACGACCACAAAATTGATGACGATGAGAGGGAAGAATGGTGGCAAGGAGACCTAGAGGACAAAAAGTCGGCAGTTGCGAGAAGGCTACCTATGCTGGGATATGTGCAGTGTGTCAGCTTTGAGGATGATGTCACTGCAGGGATGTGTAATTCTGCGGTCGATGGGTTTCTTGCGCAGGGTCTTGACAGCCCACCCAGGGAATGGTATGGGTACCCATGCAGCAGTCAAGACGACTCTTCTCCCGCCCGTCGCCACCTCTTCTATGGCCGCGCTTTCACCCACCTCCACCTCTCCCACAAGTTTTTGGGAGGCTTAAGATTATATCTCAAACCGGAAAACGAGAGTCGACGGGTCCAGACATTTCAATCAATGCTGGGGCCATTTGGGGTGTTGTCGATTCAACAGCCAGAATCTTTACGGGGACTGCATGGGTATTTTGTGCCACATTGTCTGCGACCAATCTGCATAAGGGCCAAGCCCCTCGTGCTGGTGATCAACGACTATGACGATATCAAACTCGCTTATATACTGTCTCCCTCCCAACGCGGTATTGCAATGCGCCTCTGGGGCAGTGTGAACACTCGGTCAAATGCACAAACTGATGAAGTCGTTGAGTTCTTGTCGTGAGTGTGCCTTGTTCTACGTGTATAGTACTAATCTCTTACTAATGTCCCCTCACTAGGAGTCATATGAAAATCACACACGAGCCCCTCTTCTACATCATATACAACTTTTCGATGGATGAGGCATGCTACGACCACTGTAACGGCAAACAGGTCAGAGACTTGATCCTCAACCGTGCTTTCGCGGCGGCCTCCCAATCGCCTAAAGAGAGGATCGTGAGGCTGGAGATCATCATGCAAGGCCCTCAGTCGAATGCTGCCACGGTGGAGAGCATGAGGTCTGATATATTTGAGTTGATGAAGAAAGGTTAAGGGGCATAATGTAGCTTCGGGGCGACCACGGGAATCTTGTTGACTGAAAAGGGTAGTCAGTCTATCAACTCCATCTACTTAATATGACACTTTGCTAGCTATATGGAAGGTTCTTATATGTTTTTATGTATCTGGCTTCGCATACCCTACTGTGCCACCCGCATGGTTTTGGGCATGATAACTTCATACTTGATCGTGCTTTTACGGCGGCACTCGAAGGCTTACGAGAAATCGAAAGAGAGGGTGGTGCAGATATGTAACAAACAGCAGACGTCCTGCCTCATCTGTCCATCGGTCTCTCCTCCCAAGATCAGAACAGCATACATGCGTTGTTGTTCTACGTAACATACACTACTAGTACTGTACAATGCCCATGCCAGAGTGAGGGGAGGCGAAATGGGGAGCTTTGTCTTGTCGATTCATGGGACGGATACGAGTACCCGCTTCTTGCAGTAAGCGGCGGTACATACCCTCCTTACAAGTCAAGCAATGAGAGTAGATCGAGGGGAGCGGTAGACAGCGCTGACACCTGAGCATGCAGATCGAGCTCCAAATCAGTAATGGATATATCTATACTGTTATGATGAGTGATGTAACGACTCCATACAGATATGTACATCCCCAAGTCCTAAGCGTAGATATATATAGCAAGTCAGGCGAGTCTACCCATCACAATCAATTCCCCAAACATCAAATCAATCCTTCCTCTCCACCTCTACCCCCTTCTTGAAACGCTCCAATCGCTTCAAAAAAACCCACAGCATCCCTCAAAGTCTCCTCCATTGTACGATCTGTACCATACGCCCGTCAGTACTGCACATTGCACATAGACCAAAACCAAAGAAGAGCAAGAGCTACATACACTCGATACCCAACTCTTCCCTCAACTTTTTCGAGTCGAAAGCCCATTTGGCAGGTGTATACCCCCCTCCCTCAGACTTGCACTTTGGCTGGCCCAGGGGGAAGAACGAGGACAAGTCGGGTCGGATGAGCTGGAGTTTATCTGTAAATTCTTGCCAGGTGTACTCTAAGTCTCCATTCATCAGCCTTCCTCCAATGACTGAGCTGAGGGAAGGAACTGGACAGACGAAACGTACCATGACCCGAAACCAAAAACCTCCCCGAGACAGTCTTGGTTAAAGCGACATGGAATGCGTCAACAACATCCCGCACATCCACAAAACTCCAGAAAAACTGGCCCGGGAGGGGCGCATCGCGTCCTTTGAAGAGGCTGACGAAGCCTTCTTGGGAGCCGGTTACGGTGGACATGTTGGTACCGGGCTGCAGATAGTGCGCGGGGCCGTAGATCACTGTTTGTTTTTGTGTTAGATTGGAAGATAATAAAAGAGATGGGATCAGAAAAGGGGCAGGGGGAGGGAGAGGGAGGAGAGGGAAGGCGTACTGGGAGGACAAAATGTAGTGATAGAAAAGGCCGGTTGGTGTATCTTATGGAATTCGAACGCAGCCTGCTCCGCTTGTTTCTTGGCGGTAAAGTACCAGATGACGGACGCCATTGGATTTCTATACCTCATCAGAGCGCATCCTCACAAGTCCAGTATATGTGTAAACAGGGACAAGAGCTCACTGATGAGGGTCGAGAGACTTGCAATCTTCGTCGGTATAAGGCGTCCAGTTGTTTTCGGTGTACACTTTGCCTGGTGGGGCGCCCAGATCGACAGACGATGCCGCAGATGACATGAAAGCGATGCTTTTGATTGCTAACACGACGCATCAGTCATGCGTCATCTCGCCCAACATTGAAAGAGACGACGTACTGGAAGAAGGCTTGTGAGCTTGCTGCAGAATCCTCAGCACGGGCTCGACAATGGGTCTTTTAAAGTCATCCAACGTGAGGCTAGGATCGTCAAGCCTACCACGAACATCAGTATATTCCCAACGCCCTCAAAGGACTGAACAGACTTGGGAAGAGGGGCGGCGAGATGCGCAACAGCCTGAACGCCCTCCATCAGCGGCCCCAAATCACTCTCGTCCAAGTCCTCGACCACCACCACCTCAAGGCTGCCCTGTTGGAAGAACCGCTCGTAAGCAGGATGAGTTTTGACTGCGGCTGCTTTGTCGGGGGTGCGGACGGAGCCGCGGACGTGCCATTCGCGAGCGAGGAAGAGAAGGACGAGTTCTGTGGCGACGAAGCCGTTGATGCCGGTGATGGCGATGATGGGAACGGGGCTGGGCATGTTGGATGAGAGATATGTCTGGCTGGAGAGTGCATGTGCATATAAAGCCACTCAACAAGAGTGGAGGTGGAGGTGGAGGTGGAGGTGGAGGTTCGGAGGCCGAAGAGGAAGAGGAAGAGATGATCGACAAGAAGCATCGGGGAGGCACGAGATCTCATCAATGCAATGCAACAACGGCCCGCCCGGCCCACCGAGATTACGTTATCTCTTCTGCCTTTTCTTTCCCAACCATGCATCTACATCTGTCTTCTCTGAAGGATATAATACCCCCTCTCATTCCCCCATGAGCCTCCTCCGTCTCGCCCCCCTCGCACTCGCCGTGGTACCCATGGTCGCCGCCGACGCCGCCCAATTCACTTTTGCTTGGCCCGGAAGCCCGAGGCTGTGCGATGTCGTCCCTCTGACATGGTGGGGAGGCGAACCGCCTTTTCAGGCTTGGCTCATGTATGTCCACTACCCCTCCCTCGCTCTATGCGAGTCTCATTCGAGGTGGAGTGGATGGAGGAGCTGGAATTGTCTTTTTCCATGACTCGTGGTGTTTCCCAGGCGACGACGAGATGTAGACAATAGACTGATCATGAGATCATAGACCCACTGGAGGCCAGCCATTCATCTATGACATCCCGGACTCATACTACATCAATGGCACTGGTACATATCCCGTAAGCTTCCATCCTTAGAAGAGACGAGGAGTTATGTCTGCGAGACGACAAACGCTGACATTTCGGCCAGATCCTACTCCAAGTCAGCGATGGATACGCCTACACAATCATGATGAGCGATGCCAACGGCATCGCATCCGGTACGTTCCTCGCTTCAGATTATTACACACAATAACAACGGTACAGGCGGTACATCCGAAGCATCCATAGTCCAGCCCATGCTCTCCAGCCCCAACTCCAACACCACCCTCCTATCCTCCCAAGCCCCCTGCCTCCGCAACGCTTCTGAAAACTCCACCTCCCTTGACTTTACATTCTCCGTCTCCGGCCAAGTCGCCCAATGCGCCACGGGCCTGGAAGTAGAGTGGACAGGCGGGAAAGAGATGGAACCATACAACATCTCTGTCATCCCCATGGATCAGGGGTTTTCACCTTGGGAGATAGTGATGGAGAAAGGTACGAGCTGGGCCAACCGGTTTCTGGTCAATATGACGGCGGGGTCGAGGTTTACTTTGATGATGAAGTGAGTCAACGTATCGCCACCCGAAAGATCATCTCTGATATGAGATAGCTCTAAACTAGGATACGGCCGAGGCGGCGTAGCAGACATATACGAAGTCACCCCCTCCTCCTCTAAGTCCGTAAACACCACCTCCTGCATAACCCAACCATCCCTCCCCACCGGCTCCTGGCCCGCCGCCGCCACCATCCTCTCTCCCCTCCCCTCCGCCTCCCGCCCACCCAGCCCTTCCAACTCGTCTTCCTCCGCCTCATACTCAAATTGGGGTAGTCCAGCAGAGAAGAAGGGTAAACTCGCAGCACTCAGTATTGGGGTTACGCTGCTTATTGCTCTGCTGGCTTGGGGGATTTGGTGGTTGTTGATGCGAAGGCGACGAGGGAGCAGGATGAGGGTGAGGGAGAAGGAAGGGCTCGAATCGCATTTCCTCACCACCACCACCGCCAGCTCTAGCATCGTCTCGCCCTTCTCTCCTTCCCCTTCTTCAGCTACGACACCAGCCACAAATCTGTACTCCCTCGACCTCGCTTCGAGCTCGGGGGAGAGCGTGCTCGCTAGTAACACGCCATCAGCAGGTATTAGGAAGCTCGATACTGGGCGGGGATCATCGCTTATCGGAGCGCGAGATCGTTCTTCTTCTCCAGCTTCTCTTCGAAGGACTACGTCGCTTCATACTCTATCAGATTCGCAACAGATGGCAGAGGTACAAACCGAAGGAGGCGAGGAAGAGGAAGAGAAACACCAGTCCTACCTCCCCACCCCCACCCCCGCTCTGCGCCTCTCGAACCCCGACACCTATGGCGATGTCGAGGCCGATCCTCAATCCCATTCCCTCTCCACCATCCCGTCTTCTCCGCATTCTTCCAACAGACGTCGCCCACTTCGCCCCCTTCGCCCAGAACGCACATACAGACGCCACGCCGATGCCGGCCGCCTCCCCGATCCTGCGGATGGAAGAGTGGGAGAGGGGGTGGTGGTGGATCTGCCGCCTTTGTATAGTGATGTCCCTCGAGATAGGGATGGGGATGGGGATGGGACTCGCCTTGGCGGTGGGGCAAGGGAGTGAATATCTTTTGAGGCGGGAGGGTGAATGTCGCTGGTTGTGGCTGCAACGTCCTTGTTTCTTTGGGATGATGGGAATGATCTCTTATGCTTGTAATCTCACCAAAAAGGCGCTGATGCGCCCCGCGATGTGCTCTAGTGTATATTTTGATATCTTGGTTGTAGTAAGTCGGTATGTATCTTAGTTCACTCCTCAACACGCCCTGGCTGCACCACCAACCTCTCCCTCTCCCCCTCTTCCTCTTCCTCTTCCTCATGTACGCCGACCTCACCACCCACGAGCTGGAATACTCCTACGGTCTCTCCCAAAAAAGCCGAAGCCAGCCACCCCCGCCGGTGTCTGATGGAGCTGTACCGCGAAGGAGCACCGGGTCTTGTCTGAAGGCTGGGAAGGATGGGAAGGATGGGAAGGGACATGGTGGAAGTAATTGTATTGCAAATGGGGGCATGGGGGATCGAATAATTAGATATCTGTTTCAGGGTGAGCAGAGTGACGGGTTTGACTGTACACGCCATCGTTACCTGCCCGCCGAGCATGCCAGATGTGATCAGATAGTACCGACAGAAGACCAAGCTGATCGGAAACCCCCCTTGCCATCCGTCACCCTCCAGGCTTCAGATAAGATAGTACATACACTCTCGAGCAGATACAAAGTACACATACGAGATCCCAAAATCACCTCCCATCGGCGAACAGTCTGCCCAATCAGGCAAACCCGACACTCTTCTTCGCAGGCTTCCCATCCGCCGGTGTTTGTTTTCCAGCCTTCCTATCTTTCTTCGCCTTCTCCTTCTCCAGGACCTTTGTCTTGGCTTCTTTCTGCGTCTCCCGTCAGCCTTGTAGAGCTTGAATGACGCTCCGCGGAATATCTGAATCAGACAAGGAGAAGTAGACGTACAAGTTCCTTAGCCCTCGCCCTCTTCTTCCTCTCCGCCCCGCTCAACGTCTTTCCTCCCGCAGCCCCCACATCCTGATTCCTCTTGAACTGCTGCACCGCCTTCTCCTGCTGTACATCCTTGACTTTCGATATACGCGACGTCGAGAGCGCTTCGGCCTCGCCAGAGATGGATGAGATCAGGGACAGGAGGTCTTTCTATTCACGACCCAAATGTCAGCTTTGCTTCTCCTCAACCGACATGAGAGGACGGCATACCTTGTCCTCAACAAAGACCTTTCCTTTCTTCCCAGGGCCTCCAGCTCTACGCCTACCACCATTCTCCTTGGCTTGCTGTTTACGGCCTTGTTGGTATTGCGAGACTTTGGGTGCCGGGGCCGCCGCGGCGGTGGTGGAGCTCGAAGCGGCGGGTTCGGGAGAGGCTGATGGCGATGCGGACGGGGACATGGCTGTTGCGGGATGCTTGGGGGAAGGGGAATAGTCTGCCGAGAGGAGTGGTTTGTTGTTGGAATTGCTTGTGTTCAAGTCAAGTTCAAGTGTCGAAAATCAAAATCTCGAGTGGAGGCGCGCCTCGGGACTTTTCATGGCGAACGCCGCCTATTCAATCGATTGTTTGGCTCCGCCAAGGCACCCTGACCGAATGGGCCGGATGACCCGCGTAGACGACAACATACCGCATTTATCTCATGTGAGCTTCTTCCTAGTAATTCCCTACTGTCACCCAGTCCGAGTTGACCAAAAAGAGGCATTGACAAGATAACGAAAACAAAAAGCAAAAAAGATTGGTCTCGTCCCGGGATTGAACCGAGGACCACCCCCAAAGCGACTCGAAAATCACCCTAAGAGGGCATGCTACCACTGCACCAACGAAACGGCTATGCCACCGAAGACCGGGATGAAAGGAGTCATAAAAGCACAGTGACAGGGTGTTGTCCCAATGACCAATGGTTCACGTCAGCATGGTCGCCGTTCCCCTGCTTATCAAGGGGCGAGTGCTCTAAGTGAACTAAGGAGTAAACAACCTTCATACGTGTATGGACCCTATGACCCTCTTCCAGATGCTTTTCACCTTCTCACTTCTTGACAAAAGGAAGCTTCCTCGACACAAAACTCTCGACCAAATCACCCTTCTTCTCCACCCAAACTGTCACCTCACCGTCAGCGTCACTTTCTTGGAAGCCTCGTAATATGGATATTACTCACGAGCATGTGTCTTGCTCTCGTGTCGGGCGTCGAGAGCGGCGTCATCAACGTACTGAACCCCTGTCAGCTCTTCTCAAGTAGGAAAAGTTGAGGAGAGAAGGACGTACTTCCTGCCAAGTATTGATCTCCCCAGCGGCCCGGTCTCAACAACGAAGAATTGAAGTGTACCCTCCTCGTTGGAGAGGATGTCGTCGCTGATTTGGATGATCACTCTTCTCCTGGCTACCGTTGTTCACCTTGTCGATCGACTCGACATTCGCCGAGGCCTGTACGATACAGCCGAGGAACGAAAGTATGCAGAACAGAATCAAGGAGCAGAGGTCAATACGGAAGAGATCCCACTACAAGATGTGAAGCACAAGTCGGAGGAGGATTCAAACTTGCCAGTGTTGGGTCGTTGAACGAGGACATCGTGGTCTGTCTGCTTGCTCCGGGGACGTAATGTAATACTGTCAATGCACTCAGCCTTCAAACCCACTACAGACTTCACAGACTGGCCCTCATCCGGTGTGAAAGTGAACAAAGAAAGACAGATTGTTCCCAAGTGGGTCACGACCCGACGAGAACGGAACCGAGAATGCCAACGGAATCGGAACCAAATATTGTGCGGAATGACCTGGCGATCTTTCTCTCCCAAACCTATCACTGAATGAGTGCTACACAATCCGACATGGACAGAACGGGCATCCGAAGTCACCCCCCGCTCCCCAACGATGCCATCCTCGTCATACTAGAGCACATCGCGCTCGACACCACCGCCAGCCTCTCCCATCTCGCTAATCTGTCCCTCGTCTCTCGCTCCTTCCACCAAACAGCCACTCCCCTCCTCTACAGAAACCCGACCCTCTCCAAGCGAAACTGCTTCAAGTTCTTCCGCAGCATATTCTCTCTAGACGAGATAGATCGAGCGTATAAAGAAAAGTGGTGGGAAGGATGGCTCGGAGACAAAGAGTCAACCGCCGCGAGACGACTCGCCATGCTGAGATACGTGCAGAATATACATCTTGCGGATCTTGAGGCTGTGATCATGTGCGGTACACCTCTGGGTATTCTGCGTCTCCACCGGCTCCAAGCCAAATCAAAGAAATTGCCCATGCCACCCACGGACGACTCTTCCGCCAACCGTCTTTTCCACAGCCGCGCGCCCACCAACATCCATCTCTCTTCCGACCTCCTGACCTCCTTGTCTCGAACAGAGCTCTCTGAGGTCGATAGGGACTGCTTTCTAAAGATAATCAATATGCTGCGAGGTTCTTCTGGTATACTGTCGGTCCAGCAGCCAAAAAGACGACCCCTTGGTGTGGCGGCGGCGATCCGAAATTATCTCGAACCACTCTGCCGGCTAGTGGAGCCGCAAATGTTGGTGCTCAATGATGTTCAAGGGGCCGATCTTTCTGCAGCTCTCTCTGTCTCTCAGAGAGGTGTCGCTATTCGCTTCAGGGATAGTAGGGATAGGCGGTCAATCGGGCAGTGTTCGGAAATCGTTGCGTTCTTGTCGTGGGTGCCTTCAAGTCAAGATATATTCCACATGGGCCGCACTGAATTACTTCCTCCAGCCGACATAGTACACTGACTCGCGAGCCCCTATACTGCCTGGTTTACAATTTCTCGGATGATGGTAGCTTCAAGCGCCCGGAAGAGGCTGAACGCTGGATTCTAAGGGTTGTTTGGACGCCCCCTCGGCCGTTCGACGACGAGAGAGGCGTGAGGTTGAAGATCGTCATGGAGGGCGCCCAGTCAAACATTCCGGTGGAGAGGATGGGGGATAAACTGAAGAAGTTCATGGAGAGCGTTTGATCGCATCGCGTGTATCGAGATGTGCAACATGCAATACATAGACCATGAGAAGTCCAATAAATCAGACAGCGTACGCCCCAAGCTTCTCGAAAGAAGCTACCGTATTCCTAGCCGTCTCTTCGAGCGTATGATCTACCACCTCATTAGCCCTTCCACTCCTGTTCAACCTTCTAGCATAAACTCACACTTGACCCCCAGAACCCTTTCACTCTCCCCCGCATCAAATCCATAAACATCTTTCAACACACCCCCTCCTTCTTTGCCCTGCACAATCCACTCCCCCAGGTCAGGCCGAGCCTTACGAGCATAGTCGACAAATTGTTGATACGAGAACTTGCCGGAGGTGAGGAGGAATCGGCCGTTGGCGTGGGAGGAGGTGGCGGAGAAGACTGCATGGGCTACGTCTTGAGGCTAGCGAAGACGTCAGTCGGCTATATCGGCGAAAGAAAGGAGAATGAGCTGAGGACTTACATCAACGTAAAGCGGGTTGAAATCAAACGGCAACTCCCCATCTTTTCCGCCTAGAAGAGCTTGGACGAGAGTCGCCGTTGAAGGGTCCTGGGCCTTCTTGAGATCGGCAAGAAAAGAGACATGTGTCACTGGACCGAGGATACCTGGAAGTCATCATCAGTCAAATGATTCCAAACCGGAGAAGAGGAAGCGGAATTGAGGAGACGTACGCTCGGTAGGGAAAGTTGCCAAAGACCAGCTTGAGCCGGTCTCTTCCTTGACTTTGAAAGCGGCGAGCTCGCCGTATTTCTTAGAGATAGAGTACCAATGTCCAGAGTGAAAGTTCTTAGCGCTGGGAGTATGGTCAGTATTGCTCAAGGGAGAGAGAGAGTTACAGGAACTTACGGATCGATAGCATCCTCCTCCGTCCACGGAATATAATCCTCAGCCGTATAGATCTTTCCAGCATGCTCATCGGGTCCAGCCAATATGTTGAGTACGCCGGATGAAGAAGCCACGAGAGTCACCGCTTTGATACCTGAGATGCTGTCAGTCCCACGATTGCTTCAGTATCTGGAAAGAGAGCGCTACTTACGATCGACTTTGGAAGCAGCAGTGAGGATGACTTTCACAGCATCCACGCTGGGCGATCTGAAGTGATCATAGCTCTTGGCTGAAAAGTCCATGGGCGAGGGCGAGTGGGCGAGACAGATCTGTCACCATTGTCAGTACCAAAGCCGATGAGACAGCCGTCATATACCTACAGCATCTACACCGCCCAAGATCTCTACCCACTGCTTCTCTCCGAGGGTCGCCAAGTCTGGCACAACCTCATACCTCACTTTCCCTTCTTTCACACCTTCTCGGAGCCCTACACTCTTCAGTACCGCCTCGCCCTTCGCCTTTGATCTCACTACGCCGACAATGTCCCACCCGGCTCGAAGGAAGGGTTCGCAGATGTGAGGGGCGAGGTAGGAGGTGATACCTGTGATCAGGAGAGTGGGCATTGTTGCGATGGATTGTTGATGGAGACGACTGTCGATGGTCAGCGCTGTTATATACGTACCAATGTCTTTGCTCGCTGCCCGTCGGCCGCTCTCGTCGTGTGTCAGCCCGTCGGCCAGGCTTCGACCAGATTGTTTGGTTCCGGATAGCTCGTCATTGCATGGCGCTTGTTGAGGCGTACCGGATGCTTTTACGGACAGTGGTTTGGGGGTATGCAGATGAATATGTAGAGAGGCGAACGGTACATACCGGCGGAAACATATGTAAATCATGAGGAGAAATGGGAAATCTCTTGCCTGGTCGGCTTACGTGACGGTATTGCAGATCATGTGTCAGCTTTCAACCTCAGCGAGCTTGCTACTCAGAGCCATCTGTAGACGTCGAACATGACAAATGGTGACCCCTCGAAGCCCCCTATCTTCCCGGGGGACGTCATGTGCGTCCTCTTAGAACACATCGTTATTATCTCCAGTCGTTCCGAACTCGCCACTATCCCGGGTCTCTCGCTATCTCCACCAACGACTTAATTCCTTCCTCTACACAACACCTACGGTCACTCCACAAAGCTATTCCTGAGTCTTCCTCGGCCTTTTCCCTACCGACAAGCTCGATGAAAACGAGAGGGAACAGTGGTGGAATGGAGACTTGGCCGACAAAAAGTCGGCAGTTGCGAGAAGGCTATCCATGCTGGGACATGTGCAATATGTCGAGTTTGTGGATTGGGAGAGTGTATTGATGTGCCATCGAACTGTACGTTCATTTCTCGCCCAGGGTCTTCAAAGCCCGCCAATGAACTGGTACATACCCGGCCTGGACGACTCTTCTCCACCACACACACAACGCCTTCTCTTCTATGGCGGCCCGCCCATCATCATCCACTTTTCCCTCGAGTTCCTCCAGAACATTATACCTTATTATGAGTTGGACATTGAGGCTTCCTGGGTCGAGACCTTGAGGGCGATGTTTTGGGCCGATGGGGACTTTGTCATTCCAACAACCACCCGATGTACAGGAAGATCACCTGTTGCCTGTTCAGGATTATCTGAAACCAATCTGTCAACCAGTCCGGCCTCCCATGTTGATAATCCAAGACTAAGACGCCTATGGTCTCTCAGAAATACTGTCTTTATCCCAACAACGGGGCGTTACCCTTCACTTACGAGATAGTGTGGATGCCGAGTCTAGCACGCAGACTACTCATGTCGTAAAGTTCTTGCCGTAAATGTGCCCATTTGATATACTATGTAACATCTCACTAACGTCACATTCCCAACCATTATATGCTTATCACCCGCGAAACCCTGTATTACAGCACATACACCTTCTCAATCGACGAGGAGATACGACTACTGTAACAGCAAAAGAGTCATCAAACTCATTCTCGACGGTGCTTTTACGGCGGCCTCCCAGTCACCTCAACAGAGGAATGTAAGATTGGAGGTCGTCATGCAAGGCCCCGAGTCGGACGCTGCTACGGTGGGGAAGATGATGTATGACTTATTCGAGTTTATGACGAAAGATTGAGCGACAGAATGAAGCGTTTTTATCAGCGGCAGTTGTAGGGGTTGTTGACTCCATCTACTGTAATACGATTTTGGTTCTAGGTATATTTATGGAATGTTTATTATTAGCCACACATCCACATTGTACCCACAGCTATTGCATAGCGCCACAGACTTTCAAAAACGGAGCCAAATAGTATCTGGGCGTCGTAAACGTAAACTTCCCGCTGACTTCCCGCCGGCCTTCTTTGCCGCAGATCATGGCTGTAGTACTTGATTTACAACCCAATAAATCAATCCTAAACCCTCATCATGACAGAGGAAGACCCCAGCAGTCCCCAACGCCTCCCGGACGACGTCATGTACGTCCTCTTAGGACAAGTCGGCGCCACCGCCAGCCCTTCCGATCTCGCCGCCTTTTCGCGCGTCTCCCGCTACTTCCACAAAAGGCTCATTCCCTTCCTCTACACATCACCAACTCTTACCAAGCAGAACGTCTCCGGCTTCTTCTACCCGCTCTTCGATACTGACAAAATCGATGACGATGAGAGGGAACAATGGTGGCAAGGAGACCTAGCGGACAAAAAGTCGGCAGTTGCGAGAAGGCTGGCTATGCTGGGACATGTGCACTGTGTCGTCTTGGAGGATAGTTTCACTGCAAGGATGTGCTTCTCAGCGGTCTCTGGGTTTCTCGCGCAGGGTCTTGACAGCCCGCCCATGAAATGGTACGGGTACACATCCAGCAGCCAAGACGACTCTTCTCCCGCCCGTCGCCTCCTCTTCTATGGCCGCGCTCCCACGATCGCCCACCTCTCCGACACGTTTCTAGCAGGCTTAACATTTTTGGGACTGGGTGACGAGTATCAACGTTTCCAGACATTTCAATCGATGCTGGGGCCATTTGGGGTGTTGTCGATCCAACAGCCAGGACAAGATTTAGGGCCACTGCAGTCATACGTGCCTTATCTGAAACCAATCTGCCAAAGGGTTAAGCCACTCGTGCTGGTGATCAACGACTACAACAATATCCGCCTCGCCGAGATACTGTCTCCCTCCCAACGCGGTATTGCAATGCGCCTCCGGGGCAGTATGGATAGTCGGTCGATTGCACAGACTGATGAAGTCGTTGAGTTCTTGTCGTAAGTGTGCCTCAATCTACGTCCATGCCAAGCTCTCACTGATGTCATCCCTCTAGAAAACACATGAAACTAACGCGCGAGCCCTTCTTCTACATCATATATAACTTTTCGATGGATGAGGCGATCTACGACCACTGTAACGGCAAACGAGTCAGAAACTTGATCCTCAAACGTGCTTTCGCGGCGGCCTCCCAATCGCCTCAAAAGAGGATCGTGAGGCTGGAGGTCATAATGCAAGGCCCTCAGTCAAATGCTGCTACGGTTAAGAGGATGAGGTATGATATATTTGAGATGATGAAGAAGGGTTGAGGGACAGATTGTAGCTTCGGGGCAAACACGGATATGTTGTTGACTGTAAAGGGCAGTCAGTCCATCAACTCCCTCTACATAATATAGCACTATACTAGCTATATGGAAGGTCCTTATATGTTCTTGAATACCTCGCTTTGCATACCCTACTGTGCCACCTGCATGGTTTTGGGCAGGATATCAGTGCCACAGACGGAATCAATCAAGGTACCAAATCCTTTCCGCGAACTGAGAAACAGCCCCAAATCGTTGCGAACCGATCTTGTTCACAGCTCGAACTTCATCTACAAAACCTCGACATGACCGATGCAGACCCCCCAAAACTCCCATACCTGCCCGAAGACGTCCTCCTTATCATCCTCGAACTCGTCGAACCCACCGCCAGTCCCTCCACCCTCGCTTCCCTCGCCCGCGTCTCTCGATCCCTTCACCAAAAATTCATCCCCCTTCTCTACAAATCTATCACTCTCACCCAGCACAACTGCTCCGCATTCTTCTATGGGCTATCCTCTGCCGACACAATCAGCGAAGACGAGAGAGATGAATGGTGGGAAGGGGAGCTAGAAGACAAAAAGTCGGCGGTCGCAAGAAGGCTCGCGATGCTGGGATATGTGCAGAATCTACGCCTGGAGGATTTCGATGCTATCACGATATGTCATTCAGCTATCGCCACTTTCCTTTCGCTGGAGCTCAAGGCCCCGCCAAAGAGCTGGTACGATCCCAAAAAGCCGACAGACGACACTCGCAGCAGGCGCCTCCTCTTCCACAACCGTATTCCCACCAACGTCCACCTCTCCTCTAACCTCCTCGACTCTTTGCGAACTTCCGAAGTGCCTCTAAATACGAAGACATGGTGGAATCAGCTGCTGCAGAGGATGCTGAGGAACAGTGGGGTATTGTCGATTGAACAGCCCGAGGGCCCTGCTATGCCGTACGTCTCGCGATGTCTGGAGCCCATCTGCCGGCAAGTGTGTCCACGGCTATTGGTGCTCGACAATGTTGAAGAAGCGGGTCTCGGCAGAATGTTGTCTGCTTCTCAACGGGGTGTCGCCATCCGTTTCAGAGATGTTGTGGATGTGGATAGTCGGATCAATGGACAGCATTTCGAAGCTATGGACTTGATATCGTGAGTGACTTTCGTTTGGTTGTTGAGTGTACGCCTAATCATTCATCTTCCAGAATACATATGCGCCGCACGCCCAAACCCCTGTACTATATCATTTACAACGTCTCATCCAAAGGCGTTCCGGTATCCCTAGGCGTCACGACACACAAAGGCGTTCCAGTCCCGATCAGCGAGGAGAGGATCAGGATATCAATCGTCAGCTACGCTTTTGGGATAGCTGGTCAGAATCGCCGCCAGAGGAGGGTGAAGCTCAAGGTTGTCATGGCGGGCGTCGAGTCGGAGGTTTCCGTGGATAAGATGAGGAACGATTTGGTGGAGTTTATGAAGACGGGTTGAGCTCGTCAAGTGAGGTTTCATTGGTGAGCCTTTTGGCGAGTCTGTCTTCGATGGCTTGCATTGGTATATCCCAGAAGCTGTAAAGACAAGCAGCTATGAATACGCCCTAGCGTCAGAGCCCCTGCCTTCGCAGCCTCGACACGCCATGCCCAGCCTGATGCCGTTCCTTCGCCTTCACTATCTGTCGCTAGCATCCAGAAAGGATGACTTTCAACTGTGCGATGAGCCTCACAAGCAGGACGCCTTCAGATCTGACGGACTCGCGAGCTTTGGGCCAAGGCAGTCTGCCAGCAGTAGTGCAGCAGGGACCTCGTGTTGTAGCAGCCTGATGCATGACCATGACTAATGAAGCTGTCAGAAATCGGGTCCTCTACTCTGCAAGTATCCGGTATTCCAGTGTAGAGTACAGTCACTTGCGCTCATGTTCATCAAATTCGGGCCAACCGCCACAGCGCCAAATGACCGGAACCAAATATCCCCGCCAGTCGCGTACGACTGTGTTTCGGATACAGCTCCATACATACACCTGCCACACCTCGCCATGTCAACAACAGCCCCTTCAAATTACCCTCGCCTGCCTCCAGAGATCATGCTCATGGTATTCAAGCACCTCGAGCGCACCGCCAGCCCCTCTACTCTCGCTACCGCCGCCCGCACGTCCCACTCCTTCCACCGAAACCTCATCCCCGTCGTCTACAGATCCGCTACCCTTACCAAGGACAACTGCCGCAGCTTCTTCTACGGCCTGCTCTCGTCCCAATGTATATCCCAAGAGGAGAAAGAAGCGTGGTGGGAAGGAGAGCTCGGGGACAAGAAGTCGAGAGTCGCGAGACGGATCGCGATGCTGGGACTTGTGCAGAACGTATTCCTTGCAGACCTTGAGGCTGTGAAGGTATGCAATGCGGCTGTCAGAGCGCTTCGTGCGGAGGGTCTCGAGGCCCCACCAAACGATTGGTACACACCCCATATGAACGACTCTCCCCCCAGAACTCTCCTCTTCTATGGCCGTGTGCCCCTCCACGTTCAACTGTCCTCAAAACTCCTCATCTCGCTAGCTGAAGAGCTCCCACCTGACAGAGTCACTCCTACGCTTATGACAGAGGCATTGGGCGGCATGATGAGGCCTTCCGGGACATTGTCGGTTCAACTGCCGCGAGGGTATTGTAAGTTGCGGTACCTCTGGCAAAAGATCGTGACTCCGATTTGCCTAGAAGTGCACCCTCGGATGCTGGTGATCGATCACGTTAGAAAAGGAGCTCATGTCTCTTCGCTCTATATCTCTCCGCGGAATGTCTCGATGGAGGAGATGGGGAATGAGTTGATGGAGTTTATGAAGAGTGCATGAAGAACGGGCCGTAGCCCGGAGGGTCACTGACAGTCTGGCGGAGTCCGCTAGTAGATGAAAGGTCATATATGGCTTCTGTTGGTGCTATGTATCTGAAGTCTACCTTACTGGGGTTTTGCCTATCGCCCAATGCATGACCGTTGATTGATCCATGACCCCGTCGGCTTTCCGTCTTGCAGGCGGGATCAAATTCTCAGGCGCACACTCTCCTCCATAATCGGTGTGCCTCAAGTGCGCGTCCTTGTCAACAACCGTTCTTCTTCGCCTCAAGTTGGAAAACGGGCATTGCTGCAACGGCCAAGATGAGAGTACAAGGATGGGATCCGTTATTGTAAGTGATCACTACGCGGAGAGATCTCCCACTGACGCCACCACAGGATAATATGCCAAGTCCGTCCCTACAATCGCGTCCCCTGTCCTTTTTGCTGACCTTTGCAGATCATATCACTCCAAACAATGCACTACCTCACACTATCCACCCTCGTCCCCCCTTTCCTCTCAACCCTCACCTCCCCATCCCTCCTGACATACGCCGGCGGCCCGTCTACCGTGTCCCACATCATGGACTGGCGCGAGCTCGCCGCCCGGCCGACTGTCCACAAAATCAGCTTTCCCGGCGTCGAGGGCTGGCAGAAACTCAAGGGCGCGTGGGCGGGAGGAAAGAAAGTCGGGAGTAATGTCGAGGAGGAGGGGGACGGGGATGATGGCGTGGTAGATTTGCAGAAAGAGAGGGAGAGGGAGGAGTGGGAGTATGGGGTGGATAGGAAGAGGGGATGGATCATTGGAGCGACGTGGCTGATAGCGTTTGCAGTGGAGTAAGTCGCTTCTAGTTGTTGACAATTCAAAGCTTACGCAGTCGCCAGCATCATACCACTATACTACCTCATCCGCCGCCCAACCCACATCCTCGACTTTGCTCTCACCCTCATATTCAACCACTTCATTCTCACCACCTACTACTCTGCCTCTTTCCCCACGTCCTTCTTCTACTGGATAATACAAGCCCTAGGAGCGGTCATGATGATCGTTTCTGCCGAATGGGTACGTTCCTGCATCTCGGTCTCGGCTTCATCAACTGACGGGTGAATCTGTAGCTTTGCGTCCAGCGAGAGATGAAGACAGAGCTAGACATTGGATTCACACCGAATATGGAAGAAGGAAGGGCGCTCATGAGCGATCCTCCGTTCGTGCCCTCGTCCCAAGCCGGGCCCAGCAGGTCAAGAGTTGAGGAAATCGAGTTGGCTGAGAGATAGCATTTTAGACCAAGCTCATGTATTGTGTATATCTCATCGCATGTGCTCCTTTTGGTCTCCTCCCCCTACCCCCGACGGTCTCTTTTGAGCTTCATGGGTCCTTGGCGTTGACCGTGCAAACGGTGTCGAGGTGATGTTGAATTGGAAGCACGCGGGAGGGTGTACAAGTAGATCGGCAGAGCGGTATGTGGAGCTGCTGGCATATCTTAATGACCCTATGTGTGGTGTTAGAGCGCGGAGCATGTGCTTGTGCGGCATGACGTTGCAGCAGTGCGTAGTACCAACCAATTCGACAAAGCAGAAGAATACAGGCGCGTCGACACACTCCATAATGTCGCTTCACATATCGCCCCTTGCATGCAAACCATCAGTGTAGAGCTCCGCTACACCATAGAAACCATGCTCACTTGCAAGGGTGGCAAGGTGCACGGAGGGGGCCAGCGCTCAGATGACCAGAGACGATTGACACCTATCACTGTTCCGCCAAACACGAATCCTGATCCGCGACGACATCTCCATTCCCGCAAAAGTCTCCTTCTTCCATCGCACGCTTCCGAAAACAGTAAAATTTGTTCACTGATGAGCATCATGGACAGCGGAACAAGGAGACAATTCCGTGTCGCATCGTAGATCTTGCATGGCAGCTGCCATAACGGCTTGCGGAAAGATACCTTCCTCTACTTTCCGTCGCTTGACTCTGCGGGTCGATATCCGCCGCTGGGGGACATAAAAGACGGGCTCTGAACGTTCGCAATTGTCTTTTCCATCTCATCTTCCAACCTCACCAGTGGCAAAGAACCCATCCACCATACCACAAAGTCACCGAACACACATCACTATCACACAATATGACTTCCGTCATCATGAACAACAACAACAACTGCGAGGAGGAGTTCCTTCCTTCTTACGAGCCTCATGGGTTTGACGACAGCTCGTCCGTCTACGTAGACTATGTGGGTTATGAGGACTACGAGGACGAGTCCGACGATGAGTCAGAGCAGACTGGTAAGCTCTTGCTTCAACTTGCCGCCGTTACCGTTACCATACTGTACAATCCACATCAGAGCTGACCTTGGTCATCTCAGCCCGAAACGTCCCCAATGGCCTCATCTTGACCTGCGTGCAGAACGGCAACTGGTTCCTCGGCAGCCACTTCTCCGCCGCGCACACCCACATCTACGTCTGCCGAAACCCCTCCTCCATCTCCCCCGCTGCCCGCTCCACCGTCGCCTCTCTTGCCTCCATCTTGGAGCTCGCTTACCAGCCCTCCCTTCACGAGAGCCCCATGTGGGTCGCGGGGAAGCTGGAGGATGATATCAAGTGGCTCAAGGGGAGCATCGACAAGTTCAGGGGCTTCACTCATATCCGGTTCAAAGACAGGAAGGCATATTACAAGGCGGTGCAGGCAGTCAAGGCGGCTGCTGGTACATGCCGCAGTCCTAAAGACCGCGAGGTGGAGATGATCTTTCCCGGGGGTGTGCGTGTTGAGGCATGACCCTCAAGATGAAAGCCGCCTGGCGTCAAGTTGTATAAATCATAGTCTCTGAGATAGGATCTATAAGCAGAGATGCAAAGTTCTTTGATCCAAAGCAAATATCCGCGCACGAACTAGGATAGCAGTCGATATAATCGCGCTCAAGCAGCAAAGCCTAGCCTCAATAGGCCAAAAGTTGAAAGATGTCCATAACACCCAAACTTACAAAACTCTATCATAGCGCCACAGCCTTTCAAAAACGGAGTCAAATAGTAAACGTGGACTTCCGCCGGTTTTCTTTGCCACAGATCATGCGGCTGTAGTACTTGACTTACAACCCAACAAATCAACCTAAACCCTCAGCATGACAGAGGCAGACCCAAGCAGTCCACAACGTCTCCCGGAAGACGTCATGTACGTCCTCTTAGGACACGTCGGCGCCACTGCCAGCCCTTCCGCCCTCACCACCTTTCTGCGCGTCTCCCGCTCCTTCCACAAGAGGCTTATTCCCTTCCTCTACAAAAAACCAACTCTTACCCAGTGGAACGTCCCCGGCTTCCTCTTCGGGCTCTCTTCTACCGACAAAATTGATGACGATGAGAGGGAACAATGGTGGCAAGGAGACGTAGCGGACAAAAAGTCGGCTGTTGCGAGAAGGCTGGCTATGCTGGGACATGTGCAGTCCTGCGTCTTTGAGGATTATGACGCTGTAATCATGTGCGATGTAGCGGCCCTTGAGTTTCTCAAGCAGGGTCTTGACAGCCCGCGCCCGTGGCCTCGTTTTCTATCGTCGCGCTCCCACCTGTTGAGATAGGGCCCCATGGCTTGTTAGGGTCCCGTAGAAGTTTTCTTCCATCTCTTTTTTTCTACGCCACGTTTCTTGAACTCTATCTATTTGTACCTTTTTCGTCCGCTCTGTCTCCTATATATATCCCCATAGCTTAGCTCCCTAGTTCCCCACCATTCTGGTCATCTATGTGTGATAGATGTACACTGTTACTGATACGGGAACTGGGTATGTATACCATTCTGGTCATCTGTGTGTGATAGACGTACACTGCGACTGATACGGGAATTAGGACGTTCACACCACCCTCGTCCACCTCTCCCACAAGTTTGAGGCTTAGCAATTCCCGCATTTGAGACGAGGATCTACGGGTCCAGACATTTCAATCGATGCTGGGGCCGTTTGGGGTGCTGTTGAACAGCCAGCAGATCTACCGGGACTACATTGGTTTGACGTGCCATATCTGAGACCAATCTGCCGAAGGGCTGAGCCCCTCGTGCTGGTGATCATTGAGTACGACAATATCAACCCCGCTGGGATACTGTCTTCCTCCCAACGCGGTATTGCAATGCACCTCCGGGGCAGTGTGAACACTCGGTCGATCGCACACACTGAGCAAGTCGTTGTGTTCTTGTCGTGAGTCTGCCTCATTCTACGTCTACACCAAGCTCTCACTGATGTCATCCCACAAGAGAACACATGAGACTCACGAGGGAGCCCCTCTTCTACATCATATATAACTTTTCAATGGATGAGGCGAGCTACGACCACTGTAACGGCAAACGAGTCAGAAACTTGATCCTCAACCGTGCTTTCGCGGCGGCCTCCCAATCGCCTCAAGAGAGGATCGTGAGGCTGGGGGTCATCATGCAAGGCCCTCAGTCGAATACTGCTACGGTGGAGAGGATGAGGGATGATATTTTTGAGATGATGAAGGAAGGTTGAGGGACAGATTGTAGATCCGGGGTGACCATGGGTATCTTGTTGACAGAAAAGGGCAGTCTATCAACTCCATCCACTTGTTATAACACTATGCCAGCTATATGAAAGGTTCTTATATGTTCTTATATACCTGGCTTCGCATACCCTTCTGTGCCACCTGCATGGATTTGGGCAAAATACCAGTGCCACAGACGGAATCAACGTACCAAATCCTTTCCGCGAATCAGCCCCAGATCGAGTCGTTCACAGCTCGAACTTCATCTACAAAACCTCGGCATGACGGATGCAGACTCCCAAAAACTCCCAACTCCCATACCCGCCCGAAGACGTCCTCCTTTTTATCCTCGAATCCACGCTCAGCTGTACTCGTATACGCGGCAATCTCGATGATCTCCGATGACACCACCCATTATGTCCATGAACCCGTATCATGCAATAACTCCAAAACTATGATACATATACACTACAAACCTCACAAAGCCCTAGCTAGGCTCTGTATGCATGCTTGCTCTTCGTTTGACTGCGCCCTGGCGCATCAATTACGACGAGCCCGCTTTGCCCGACCCCCCCTGTTCTTCTCTTCTTTCTGTTATCTCTCCTTCCTCTTCCTCAGCGCTTCCCGGTTGTCATCCCTATACTTGACATCATACAGCCCCCAAGGCAGATCCTGAACCGCCTCCTGATCTTCCCCGGTATCCCAGTCCAGCGCCATCGCCGCTCTCGCCGCTCTAACGTCCTCCAACTCCTTTTCCACCCTTACGGTCTCTGCCTTTACCATCTCTGCCTCCGCCTCGGATTGCGCAAGAGCCACAATCTGGTCCAGCTTCCAATTTCGAAGTGCTCCCCTGCCCCGTCGGCGGGGACCGAGAGGGGTTCCAGGGGAAGGGGCGGGTGGTGGAGGTTGAGAAGCCTGGGAGGGAGGGTTGGAAAGATCAACGCTGTCGTACGTCTCTTGGAGCTTATAGAATGCATCAGAAAAATTGCGAAAAATGCTCCTGGACCAGCCAAAAAAAAAATCAACTCACCATCCTCGCTCGTCTCCGCACCTTGACGGCCATCTTCAACGCACCCATAAAATCCCGAATCCAACTCTTCGCGATGCCGCTCCACAAAAGTCGACCCCCACCTCTCGCCCAGCGCACGCCCATGCAGCGCTTGCCCCAGTTCCCTTATCCTCGCCTGGGTCAGGACCGTACCCCGCTCGGCGTACGTGTTGATCCTGTCGACCAACACCTTCTCTTGTATGACAGAGAGCTTGCGGGGGTTGTTGGTGGCGTGCGAGGCGTGTTTTTTGTGGTATCGGTTGTTGAGAGTGGTGGGGGCGACGTTGAATCGATTGGCCACCTTGGCGAAGCTCTCTTTGGGATGGGATCGCTTGTATTGGACTGCCGAGTCGACTGGATCGGTCATTTGGGGAGGTATGTGGAAGGAAAGTATAAAGATGCATGGGAAGAATATTTCGAAGAATAATCACTCGCGTCATTCGAGATTGCTACGTCATCGAGATCGCCGCCGCCGGGCCCAAGGTTATTAATAACGCTGTTATTTTTCTGGCAACTGACCTTTTCGGTGCTACACCTACGTAGACCGTCACGTCCATCGTTCTCAACCGTCACGCAACGTAGAGCTTCCAACTTATTTGCATTCGAAAGCCTTCGAGTTCCTCCCCAATATGCCGTCCTCAAACCTCTTCATGCATGCCTGTACGACTTGCCTCAGATGTGCCCTTTTTTGGCTGCTTAATAACCTAACGCACAGTCATGAAGTACACGGAACGGGAACGCCTTCCTCAACTTCTGGGACTACTTATCCTGGTATTCATCCTCCGTCAACGGGTACCGGACGAGTACTCGTGTTGAAGGTTTCACGACTGAAGTAAAGTATAAACTCCTGGCAAGTTATGCATCTCATACACTCCACAGTGCTTGCCAATAAAACGATCTAGATAAAACTGATACATACAAATCATACAAATGTTTCACATCTACTAAAACTCCTCCCTCTCCTTCTTATGCAGATACCGAATCCAGAGCCTCAGAGCCCCGAAGGCGAAGGCGAACAAGTAGAAGAAGAAGAAGAAGAAGAAGAAAGACAAGGCCCAAGCCCAAGCCCAAGCAAAAGACCATCCAACTGCCCCCCCTTCACCACCAACCTCAACACCCCCAACTCTCTCGGTACATCTCCCGGGAACTGTTTGTTCAATTCATTGATGATTCTTTGGATGAGCTCCATAATTGGTTTTACGATCACTAACAAGAACCGTCATCAGCATGCCACCCATCCTCTCCATTTTTCAAGAAAGAAATGAAAATGAAAAGGAAAAGAGAAAAAGGAAAGGAAAAGGCTCACCATCATCACCATCATCAACGCCTCTCCGCTCCTTACACAAAACCCACTGTCTCGCCATGACATTCATAATCTTCCCCCGCCACCTCCCTCCCAACCCCGTCGGGCTTAGGGTCTTGATAAGGCAGAGCAGGGCGGAAAGGTTGGAGCTCAGGTGGGGGATGGTGAGTGGGGTGGGGGCGTATTGGAGTGGGTTGAGCAGGTTGGGTATGAGTTGCTTTTTTTTATGGTGTCAAAAGTCAGCTACTAGACATGAACTGGCGGGGGGGGGAGAGAAGATGAAGAGGGAGAGGGAGAGGGAGAGATGAGAGGGGGGCTTACTCTAGTCCACCGGGCTATCCCCGTCCCTATCTCTCCACACAAAACCTCAACCTCCCTCGCAAGACCGATCCGCACCTCCCTCCCCTCCCTCCCATCCTTCGCATAAACCCACCCATCCACCAACCTCTTCTCCACAATCTCCCCTACCCACCTCGCCCGTTCTTCCGACCCCGCCTCTGTCGTGTACCTTAAAAAGCGCAGGGTTGTGGGGAGTATGGAAGGTTGGGGCGGGTGGGGGTGGAGGGCGAGCGAGTGGATGAGGGAGGGGAGAAGGAGGGACGGGAGACGCATGTTTTGGAGTGTTTGGGCGGGGAGGGTGAAGATCCAGGATGATAGGGCTGAGATGCCTTTTTCGCGCCAGCGGGGTTCGTAGTCATCCATCAAAACCAAAGTCGGGGGCAGCACGATCCCCAAATATCTCTCAATCTCTTCTTGCGTCAAGCGGGAAGCAGACCACGAAAGGATATTGGCAACACCCCAGGAAGAAACGTCCTTGAAAGGCTGCACGTCGTGCATGTCGATAGTCCCCTCCGAGCCAGCGGTGGGCTTGGGGAGAGGGCGGGAGGCGGAGGAGAGAGAGGGGTGGGGGGCGAAGGAGGGGCGGAGGGAGTGGAGGAGGGTGAGGGGGAGGGATTTGGGGAGGTGGGGTTGTATACCTGTTTTCTGGTCAGTGGATGTCCGCAAGGGGTGAGGAGGGGCTTACTGTCGATTTCACGCCGTATACTAGGGGAAGACCAGGGATCGTCCCCGGAGAGTCGGATGATAGGGCCGAGTAGCTGCGCTTGTTGCTCTGGCGAGACGTCGTCCCAACCCCAATCTTCATCTATTTCTGTGATTGTGGTGGATATTTGTTTGATGGATAGGAATGTTATAGAATCGTGTTGGCTGAGGGCGAATGGGTCTACAAGGATGTAAGTATTACTGAAAGAAGAAGAAGAACGGACCTGTTTCATTAAAGACATTTACGGGCAAGTCCAGCCCTTTTACCAGAGTCCGGAGGGACGCCAGCAGCTCGTGCAAGCTACTCGCTACCTGGTCCTCTTCTGCTGTGATATCTTGGACGATGGCCATCTTATTATAGAGTATGAGAGGCAGACAAAGGGAGATGCAATGGCTTTGATACGGTGTTCCGAGATTACGTATGCACAGAGTCAGCCTTCTTCGCGTGTTTCCACGTCTACTCTTCAAGAAGAGATACACGATGCCCCCTCGACAGCACCCCTCCTACCCCACCGCCCCCTCCTATCCCACTGCCCCCGTGTCGCAAGGGAACGGAAATGCATGGGGGAAGGGCCATGTACCGCCCGTCCCTGCGCTACCGGACTGGTCTCCACCTCCTGTCCCCGGTGCTGCCGCATACTCGCCCTCGGTAGGCGGCACCTCGATAGCAGATACCCTCCGCGGCAATACGCCCTACCGCCGCCGCAGGCGTCAGAACAAAGATCCTCTAGCCACGCCCGGTACGCCCGGTACACCAGGGGCCGGGGCCGGGGGCGGGGCGGATGGAGAAGATTGGGCAGAGGTGGAGCCTGATGAGGTGTTTAGGCGATTACCGGTGGGGGAGGTGAAAAGGATTGAGGCAAAGATGAGGAGTGAGGCGCTGGGAAAGCAGAGTGAATTGAGGTCAATGGTCGGGTACGTGCTTTTTCTCTCGGAACCTGCTTTGGCTTGAATTTGAAGGAGGATGGAGCTGATACCGTATACAGGACGAGGTACAGAGATCTCCTCACCTCTGCATCGCAGATAGCCACCCTGCGGTCATCCTCCCTCCGTCTGTCGGACAATCTCAAAAAAGTCGTGTCGGGATGCCTAGATTCGACCAGTCTGGGCGACGGCGCCCATCGGGATGGAGTGGACGACGATGCAGAGTCGAATACGAGCGAGGGCGAAGAGGTTATACATATGTTGCCTGTTGCAGCTCACATGAAGCTTCTACTCGACGCTCCTGAAGGTATGCCCTCTCCCCTTCTCCCTCTCGTCTCCTTCTCCGCCTTCTCCTTCTCCTTTTGAAGCGCGCAAAGCTGACTTTCGGATAGCCCTGTACGCATTACTAGGATCCGAAAACTACCTCCAAGCCTCTTTCCTCTGGCTCATCTCCCGCTCCACCAAAGAATCCCTCTCCTCCCTCCCTCCCGCCCAATCAGCGCCTTACCTGCACTTATTCGGGAAACAGTGGGAGCTGCTCGCGCCTCTGCGGGGGACTATAGCGCAAAGAGCTGGAGAGTCTTTGAAAGACTGGCAAGCCGACGGCGAGAGTTCGAGTTCGAGTGAGAAGGAGAAGGAGAAGGAGAAGGAGAACCAGGTGGCGGAGTGTTTGCTTGGGTTGGTGCTGGTGGAAGGACTTGCGGTTGGGGATGCGCTGGCGTTGTTCTTGAACCAGAGGGCGAAAGCCGTCAAGGAGATCCTCAACCACCCATCTCCTTCTTCTTCATCTTCTTCTTCCAAGCGTCAATCCCTCTCCCCTCAAACATCCCGTCGCTCCAGGGCCCGAACCAACTCGCTCCTCTCCCAAAACCCCACCAATCCGAACCCGAACCCCACCCGCGAGCGCGAGCGTATCGCCAAAGCACTCGTCTCCGCTGTGCAGTGCTTGCTCCAAACGGCCCAAACGGCCCGCGCTGTGTTTGGCCCGAGACCGAGAGCAAGCGGGGTCAAGGAGGGGAATGAGAGCTTGTTTGAAGAGAAGATTCGGTTGGTCCAGAAAGGCGAGAGCTCAGCGGGCGGGCTGGGGGTCGGGGTGGGGTTGTCGCCTTTGAAGGGTGTACAAACCCAGGCTTCGGGCCAGGCATCAAAGCACCAAAGACGGACCAGCAGACTGTTCTCCATCTCCCTCCCTCTCCCCGTCCCCGTCCCCGAAGCTTCTCCCAGCACCGACAAGCACGCCCAAGCGCACCACTCGCGCCCCCCCATCTCAGCCCTCCAAACCCTCCAACCCCTTCCCTCCTCCCAGATCCTCCTCCGCCACCTCCCAACCCCCATCACCTCCTTCACCCCCTTCATCACCCCCGGCCCCCGCGTCGATGCCGACGCTGTGGTGCAAGCGTGGGAGCGCGCGTTGGTCGGCGTGTTTGGCGAGGTGCTGGCTGAGGGGTGGTTGGGCGGGCTGAAGAGTGTGAGGGATGTGTGGTTTGTGAGGGAGAAGGTGCTTGATGTCCTTCGTTCCTTCTCCCCCTCCCCCTCCCCCTCCCCTGGGTCGTCGACCGTTTGTGGGGAATTCGAAAAGACGCTCGAAAGCGGATGGACGACCCGCGTCGAAAGCGTATGGGACGAAAACCTCGCTTGGCTCGTCACGTCGATTCACTCCACCGTCCTTTCTGGTGCGACGGAATACAACGCTTCAGACTCGGGCTCGGGGGGGGATAAAGATCCGCAAGGATGGCTGTTCCAAGAACTTGAGCTCCCCTTCGACAACCTCCCCACCTCCTCTTCCCTCCTCTCCCTCTCCCTCTCCCTCTCCTCGCCTCCCGCTCCCGCCTCCGCCTCCGCCTCCGCCTCCGCCTCCGGTCCAAACACCACCCCCACCCCCACCCCCACCCCCTACAAAACATTCCTCACCTCCCTCCGCGCCCGCGCCCAACTCCGCACCCCCGCCCTCGATAGGGTCCTCTCACAGATCGAAGCCCTCGCCAGGGGCTTGCGAGAGGATCTGCTTGCTGTGGATTTGCCAGCGGGTTTGAGGGAGCGTTATGCGCGGAAGGCGGGGGCTGTTTGGGGGGATGTTGTTGGGGCTTTGGAGAGGGTTCTTGAACAAGTGGGAGCGGTGGAGGGAGAAGGGGAGATAGAAGGGGAGGGAGAGGGGGAGGGGGAGGGAGAGGGGAAAGGGAAAGGGAAGGCGGGGAAAGAGTTGTTCGTTGGCAGAGTAGCGCTGTACCTCTCAGAGAAGAGCGTGTTCTTACAAGACCTCGCTGGAGAAGCTGCACTCGACCGAGGTATGTTTTCTTTCCATCTTCCCTCCCCTCTCGTCATTCATCGTTCAAAATACTGACAACTGACAGTGGTTATAGAAAAAGTACAAAAGTCGTTACTCGACATCCATGCAAGATCAACAAAAACCTGGCAGAAAGCCAGTATAACCCGCGCCCTATCGCTCCTCAGACCGCTCTTCTCTCCTCTGCGTACATCTATCGAAATCACCTCCTTCTGGCCTGTCTCCCCCTCCCCATCTTCATCTCCATCTCCATCTCACGCCCACGCCCACGCCCACGCCCACGCCCACGCCCATCCGGCTTCGCCGTCCCACCCAATCATCCAAGCACTCTCCGCGCTCGCCAAAGCGACAACAGAGCTAGGCATCCCGAGCGATGTGGTGCAGCGCGAACGCGTCGGGGTTGTGAGGGGGTTGCTGGAAACCTTTGTCGAGGGCGTTGCGGGGCTGCCGGGGTGGGGCGAGAGGCTGGCTATCCTCAGCGACCGGGACCGGGACCGGGACCGGGAAGGCGGGGGGGCGTGGGAAGAACAAGGCGTCGTGGATATCAGCTTCCTCCTCTTCCTCACAGGCTCCGACGCTCTCAAACACCCTCTCGTCCAACGACTCCTCCGCACGCTACCACCGGCTTCACGCGAAGCCTTGAGTGGATCTCTACAGGGGACCAACCTCCGAACCCTGCGCCAGACCCAGCTCCTCCTGCACCCTCTGACGTCTCATCTGTCCCCGGGCTCTGTCTCTGTTGGGGGGACGGTGCCGGTGCCGAACGGACGGGAGAGTGTCGCCAAGGCCGGGGGTAAGGCTGTGGGTGGAGGAGGGGGTGGGGGAGGGGGAGGGTATAGGCCGGATAAAAATGGGTTCTTGTTACGGTTTGGAGCGCCTGTCACGACTTCTGGGACTGGGACGGGGGCGGGGGCGGGAGGGGGCGAGTTTAGGAGCCCGGTGCCGGTTGGGAAGATTGGTAAGAGGATGGGGTTGTTGAGTTTGGCTGTATGATTACTCGCACGCTACGAGTACTCTAGAGTACTCTAGAGTTTCTTGTAGTCTTGTAGTCTTGTAGGTATGGCGGTATGGCGGTATGGCGGTATGGATCCTTCTTTTTTCGTTCTCTGACCGGTTGATCGTTTCTGACGTCTGCATGAGCACGATGATCTCGCTGGAACTGGAACTAATTATGATGGGTTGGCATGGCGATGGGAGAGTTGGCAGGAAGGAGGGAAGATGGTGGTATTGTGACTGACGTCTTGCACGCTTGCGATGATCCATATGAATGTACATCAGTGATAACGATGGGGCGACTACCGACTCGGCTATTGAGGAACAACAATGCTATGGCAATTTGACTTATATGTATCAACAAACAACATTCATACCCGGGCCGGCATACCTCCGCACAAATGACGCAATACAGATAGCTTATCTATCCAAATCTTGTTAACAATCAAATGCAAGATGGTGGAAATTGGCCAAAAACAAGCTACTCATCGGCACGGGAACCTAGCGCCCAATTCTTTGTCCCGCCATTTTTGCGTACGTACCCGCTGGACCCAAAAAAGTCGCAATCTTTTCAAATACACACCTCGATATAGATTGGTGCGGGAGGAAGATAGCTTGGAAAAAAAACAAAACAGAACACGAGGGACTATCCCAGGCCGGGCCGAATGAATCAGTTGAAGAACTGTCCAGACTTCTGCACGATCTGCGCTCCAAGTGTCAACAACCGGGAGCAAATGATGCGTTTTCGGCGATAACGGATACTAATGCCGTGCCTCTGCCACGTGGGATTCTTACCAGAAGCAGTAATCACCAGCTCAAAAGAAGCCAAAACAAGCACCCAGAGAAAGGGTTGCGTGTTCCCGCAAAATTCGATTAATATGCATTACAAAAGCCGCTAATGGCGCCCGGGTAAGCCAATAGGATGCCCAGGGGTTAAAGTTTGTATACTTTCTATTGGCAAGTTGTAATGGATGGTTGTTTTTTTTTTGTAATGGTTGTGCCACTGCCCGGAGGCCGTTGACGCATGCTGGGGTTGTTGAGGAGGGGCCCGGGGGCATTTGTGTTGATTTCTCTTTTGCATTTATACCGCTCGCCCCCCATCGTCCCCCTCTTCCCCTCGTCCCCCTCTTCCCCACTACACCCGCCACCCCCACTACACACCCCAGCAGCGCGTCGCGTCCGTCGCGTGGGATTTTGGACGTACTCACCCGTCTTATCAACCTTCGCCCCAACGGCCTCCCGCTTCCCAGCAAGCGTAGTACGCCTTTTCATTCCCACCCTCCACCCCATTCCCCCCCGGAGCCACCCGCCTTATATACTCGAGGCCCCTCGGCGCGTCGCCCGCCACACTCCTTCAACACCACCACCCCTCTCCCCGACACCTCGCCGCATCACTCAACCCCCCGCCTACTTCTTAGCAGCATCCCAATGGGCAAGTCTGTCAACAAGAAAAAGTCGCAGTCCGGCCTCTCCACCCCTCCCACACTATCCACCACCCCGCCCAACAAGGCGCTCTACCCCACCATCTCCCTCCGCTCGTCCTCCCCTTCCTCCATCGCTTCCCGGGAGAACGACCACGCCCAAGGCAGCTCCGCCCCTTCCACCCAGCTGTCTGCCCGTTCGTCTCTGATGAACGTCCTCACCAAACCGCGGCACTCGCCCATGTCGTCGATCTCGGGCGGCGAGGGCCTGATGACACCCGAGGAGGAGTACTCTGACCTCTCCACGGTCAGCAGCTACGCCTCTAGCATCATCTCTGGTACCCACAACAAGGAGAGCGTGGGGGTGGAAGAGATTGCCAAGGTGTATGAGGATTATTTGGAGACGCCGTTTGTGCAGACACAGGCTACGATCAAGCATAGCGAATTTGGGCATGACAACAACCCGAATTGGAGGTGGACCAGTCAGGTGAGTCGTCTCTTTGTCGTGTTTGACTGTGGCTGACGTGTTGCAGTGGAACCCGAACGAGGCGATTCATGCCGAGGAAGAGCCTCAACCGTCATACATGACTTTGCTGAGTACATACACCAGGTAAGCGTTCACCATCGAAAAGCGAGATCATTGGCTGATTCAGCATAGTTACATCCTCCTCATCGTCATCGGACACATCCGTGACTTTTTCGGCAAGTATTTTACTCCCCAGAACTATGCCCACCTCATGCCCCAGAACGTACGTCCTCTCCCTCCCCCCTCTCGACTTGACTGACAATTGTCGCAGGGCTACGCCGCTCTGAACTCTGATTTCGACTCGTTCTACACCCGTCGCTTGAAGCAGCGTCTCGACGACTGTTTCGCCCGCCCCACCACCGGTGTCCCTGGCCGTACCGTCGTATGCTACGACCGTGTCTCCAACGACCAGAACAACAACTTTCACTTTACCGGTACTTCCACCCGCGCCCTCAACGTCTCGTCCTACAACTATCTCGGGTTCGCCTCGTCCACTGGCGGGTGTGCTGATGCCGTCGAGCTCGCTATCAAGCGATACGGTGTGGCCTCTGGCGGTGTACGACATGACGCGGGTACTACCGACTTGCACATCCAGTGCGAAAAGCTCGTCGCCAAGTTTATGGGTGTGGAGTCTGCCATGATCCACTCGATGGGCTACGCCACCAACTCGACCACCATCCCCGCCCTCGTCGGTAAAGGCTGCCTCGTCATTTCCGACGAGTTCAACCACGCCTCGATCCGAACGGGTGTCCGTATGAGCGGTGCCGCCATGCGATGGTTCAAGCACAACGACATGAAGGCTTTGGAAAAGTTGTTGAGGGAGGTTATCAGTCAGGGTCAGCCGAGGACGCACAGGCCTTGGAAGAAGATTTTGGTCATTGTGGAGGGATTGTTCTCGATGGAGGGAAGTTTGGTGCCTTTGCCCATTCTCATGGACCTCAAGAGGCGTTACAAAGTGCGTCTTATCTCTTTCTTTGGAGGGCATGGCTGACTTGATATAGTTTTACTTGTACGTCGACGAAGCCCACTCTGTTGGTGCTATGGGCCCCAACGGCCGAGGCGTCTGCGACTATTTCGGTATCGACCCCCGCGAAATCGACATTCTCATGGGCACCGTCACAAAGTCTTTCGGTGCTGCCGGCGGCTACGTCGCCGGCTCCAAAGAGCTCATCGACCGTCTCCGCGTCCGATCCCATGCTACCGCCTACGCCGAGTCTGTCTCCCCCGCCGTCCTTGCCCAGATCATCGCCTCCATGGGCAGCATCATGGGCATCGCCCCCCCTCTCGCCGCGCCCGCCGACGACGATTCCGACGCTCTCTCCATCGCCTCCCGTCCTGCCGTATACGGCCCCGCCCCCGCCTCCCTCCTCCCGCCATGGCTCACCCTCCCTCCCCAGCTCTTGAATGGTACAGAGGGCCGCGAGCGTCTCCGCCGTATCGCCTTCAACGCCCGCTACCTCTCCTCCGGGCTGCGTAAACTCGGCTTCATCGTCTACGGCAACCGCGACTCCCCCATCATCCCTCTCCTCATCTACCAACCCGGCAAAATGGGCTACTTTTCACGCATGATGCTCGAACGCGTCGGGGCAGACAAGACGCCCATCGTCGTCGTCGTCGTCGCCTACCCCGCCACGCCCCTCATCACCTCGCGCGTGAGGTTTTGCCTGAGTGCGAGCCATACGAAGAATGATATTGATTTGATCTTGAGGGCGTGTGATGAGGTGGGGGATGTGCTTGGGTTGAAGTATGCGAGGCAGGAGATGAGTGTGGAGGAGGTTGTTGGGAGTGCGGAGGAGTTGGTGGCTGCTTCGAGCGTTTAAGCGTCTTTCAGCGTTTGATTTGAGCGTTTGGAGTTTGGCGCCACGATGGACTTTGTAGCTATGATTATTATCGATATTTGGAGAAGGAGCAGGATCAGGGGTAAGGGGAGTATTACCCCCGGGATCCTCGACTACCGCATCACCCCCACCCTTTCTTTTCAACAACAAACCATTAAACCCATTCGCATTTTGTCTATCATCTCGTCCCCCCTTCTTTATCTCCTTTTACTCTTTTTTTCAGGGGTTCCTTATCATGATAGTCACTTGTTTCCGTTCCATAAGTATTTTCCCATTTATCGAGCTTTTCTCTCTCGTAGTATTCTGCATCCATGTGAACACCCGATGTGTATAGAATATTTCCAAGATCAATATGAATAACCGAGATACATATAGACACTTTATCAGATCTCAGTCCGCCCAGCAGTTCAAGTACGGAGTACGGGTTGGCCCAGCATATCGTTCAGCCTCTTGGATAGACCTTTCTCCGACAGCCAGCAGGGTATCAACAACAATAGCCCTCACCCTGTCTGTCTGGCCTAATCGCACCTCCTGAAGCTCTCTCCCCTTTCTTGCCGTGCTTCTGGGATATATTCATATTTTTGTTGGCGGTTTTAGATATTCCAAATTGAAAAAAAGTTGGCGGTTTAAGATATTTTTCTCGAACATATAAGAACCTTCCATATAGCTAGCGTAGTGTTATATCAAGTAGATGGAGTTGATAGACTGCCCTTTACAGTCAACAGGATACCCGTGGTCGCCCCGAAGCTACAATCTGTCCCTCAACCTTTCTTCATCAGCTCAAATATATCATACCTCATCCTCTCCATCGTAGCAGCATTCGATTGAGGGCCTTGCATTATGACCTCCAGCCTCACGATCCTCTTTTGAGGCGATTGGGAGGCCGCCGCGAAAGCACGGTTGAGGATCAACTTTCTGACTCGTTCGCCGTTACAGTGGTCGTAGCTCGCCTCATTCACCGTATAGTTATATATGATGTAGAATAGGGGCTCGGGCGTGAGTCGCATGTGGTGTCTAGTGGGATGACATCAGTGAGAGCTTGGTATAGACGTAGAATGAGGCATACTCACGACAAGAACTTGACGACTTCATCAGTTTGTGCAATCAACCTGCCCCGGAGATTCATTGCAATACCGCGTTGGGAGGGAGATAGTATCTGGGCGAGGGCGATTGTATCGTAGTTGTCGATCACCAGCACGAGGGGCTTAACTCTTTGGCAGATTGGTCCCAGATAATCTGGCACGTACGTCCAATGCGGTCCCTGTGAACGGTCCACTGGCTGTTGGATCGACAACGCCCCAAATGGCCCCAGCATCGATTGCAATACCTTAACCCGTAGATCCTTGTTTTCCACTGCGTTAAAATTCAAGCCTCCTAGAAACGTGTGGGAGAGGTGGACGAGGGTGGGAGTGCGGCCATAGAAGAGGAGGCGACGGGCGGGAGAAGAGCGGTCTTGGCTGCTGGATGTGTACCCGTACCATGCCATGGGCGGGCTGTCAAGACCATGGGCGAGAAACGCAGAAACCGCTGAGTTGCACATAATTACAGCGAGATAATCCTCAAAGATGACGCACTGCACATGTCCCAACATAGCCAGCCTTCTCGCAACTGCCGACTTTTTGTCCGCTAGGTCTCCTTGCCACCATTGTTCCCTCTCATCGTCATCAATTTTGTCGAAATAGAAGAGCCCAAAGAAGAAGCGGGAGACGTTCCGCCGGGTAAGAGTTGGTGACATGTAGAGGAAGGGGATAAGCCTTTTGTGGAAGTAGCGGGAGACGCGCGAAAAGGTGGCGAGATCGGAAGGGCTGGCGGTGGGGCCGACGTGTTCTAAGAGGACGCACATGACGTCTTCCGGGAGGCGTTGAGGACTGCTGGGGTCTGCCTCTGTCATGCTGAGGGTTTAGGACTGATTTATTGGGCTGTAAGTCAAGTACTACAGCCGCATGATCTCTGCGGCAAAGAAGGTCGGCGGAAAGTTTATACACGTTTACGACGCCAGATGCTATTTGGCTCCGTTTTCGAAAGTCTGTGGCGCTACTGCAATATCTGTGGGTACAGTGTGGATGTATGGCCAATCATACACATTCCATACATATACCGAGACCCAAAATTGTGTTACAGTAGATAGAGTCAACAACGACTACAACTGCCACTCAAAACAGCACCGCTCATATCATAACGCTTCATTCTGTCGCTCAATCTTTCGTCATAAACTCGAATAAGTCATACATCATCTTCCCCACCGTAGCAGCGTCCGAATTGGGCCCATCAGATCTCAGTCCGCCCAGCAGTTCAAGTACGGAGGCTTGCTGCCGATAGCCAAGTGGTGCAGCGCCGGAGCGGTAGAGGTCGGGGATGATGGATTCGAAGCGGGAGCGAGAGATGCGGGCGAGGGTGGTGAGGGTGGGTTTGTCAGTGAGGAGTCGAGGTGGTGTAGGATTTGTTCTTGTGTCTCAACGGGAAAGGGGAGTGGTCTGGTTGTCCATGTTGCTGACATTTTGTAGTTGAGCGATATGGGAAGAAGATTCACAAATGAATCACGGAGATGAGCGCAGTAGTTGATCCCGCTGCTCGCATTGTCGAAGTGATATATGCCACCAACAACGCATCATCTTTCATCTTCGTTCGGGCGAGCACACGTGTAGTAAGCAAAGATGGGACTGTATATGCCAAGCTTCTGGATCTCGCAACCCACCTCCAGCGAAGAACTACTACGAAAGCGCTCGCGATATCATGACAAAGAAGATATTTGCATCTCGAAGACGAGGCTGAAGACGCCGCAGAAAGCATATATGAGGAGAAGTGTGTGGCGGTGTCCGGAGACAGAGCACAAGCTATGGCCAGATAAGTCGGGGTTGAGTCCGGAGCGTCTCGTATCTCTTGGTGGTCGGCTTGGGCGAGTGCATCGAGCGGTGTGCGAGCTGTACGAGGAGTAGCCGAGGAAGTAGAAGGATAAGATAAGGATAGCCAGGAGGTTCTTCGATAAGGGTCAAGAAGAGGAAACTCCTGGGTCTCCGGCATGCATCAGTTTCTAATATGGAGGGAAGCGGAGAAGAAGGTATCGCCGTAGCGCCGAGAGTGTGGCGTTGGTGGATGCTATGTGGCGGTCACGCTACATCACTCCCTCCCCGGGAGAAAGACTCGTCCCGAGGCGTCGAAAGAACAAAGAAAGTGGACCAGGAGACCAGAAAAAAATCGGAGAACCAACACCGCGGACCTAAACGAGAACACAAAAGAAAGTAAAAGCAGAGGCGAGAACGGAACGAGGGAGGTCGCGGGGACCTGGGAGGGAGATGCAAGGCATCTGAGAAGGGAGACTCTAGGCGTCTAATGTGGGAGATGCACAGCATCTTGTCAAGTGCGCCGGCGGTTGGGGTGGGGTCGACCACCTCGGATGTGGCGGGCGCCTTGGGGGCGACCAGGGCCAAAGACGATGTATGGTTGGTCCAAGTGGTTCTGATGGGCACCGTTGGAGGAGGGACCGCAGGTGGTGTGGCGGAGGGCGGCGAGTGCTTCGGTGGCGGTGAACGACCAAGTGGGGGGCGGGGTGCGAGCAGCTGCGATCGCCGTCTCAACGACCCCGTTTACATTAGGTACGAGCCGCCTACGCAGTCGGATGACAGTGCGCTGGGTCCCGACTTTTATCGCTCTCGCGGTCGCCTGGTATATCAGCTGTCAATTGCGCTCGCTGACGTCTTTTGGGCTCCCACGACTCAATGCTGGGCGTACAAGTTCCTGTACGTCAACGTCCCCACTCGCGCGGCTTACCGCAAGTCCGAAAACAACCTTCTCCCCAAAGAACGGGCACTTGTGTCGGACTTCCGCCCCCCACTTGGTCGTTCACCGCCACCGAAGCACTCGCCGCCCTCCGCCACACCACCTGCGGTCCCTCCTCCAACGGTGCCCATCAGAACCACTTGGACCAACCATACATCGTCTTTGGCCCTGGTCGCCCCCAAGACGCCCGCCACATCCGAGGTGGTCGACCCCACCCCAACCGCCGGCGCACTTGACAAGATGCTACCTGCGGTCCCTCTTCCAACGGTGCCCACCCGAACCACCTGGACGCCACATCCATCGTTTTTTGCGCCCTCTTCATGATGCGTTGCTCTACCAAGGCCAGGTGGCGTCAGTGGGAGACCTCTGCGGGTAGTGATCATTTACAATAATGGATCCTATCCTTGTACTCTCACCATGACCGTTGCAGCAATGCCCGTTTCCCAACTTGAGGCGAAGAAGAATAGTTTTTGACAAGGACGCGCATCGATGATGGAGGAGAGTGCGCCTGAGAATTTGATCCCGCTTATAAGAGACGGAAAGCCGACGGGGTCATGGATCAATCAACGGTCGTGCATTGGGCGATGGGCAGAACCCCAGTAAGGTAGACTTCAAATACATTGCACCAATAAAAGCCATATATGACCTTTCAACTACTAGCGGACTCCGCCAGACTGTCAGAGACGGGCGCCTGTGACCCTCTGGGCTACGGCCCGTTCTTCATGCACTCTTCATAAACTCCCTCAACTCATTTCCCATCTCCTCCATCGAGACATTCGACTTCACGGCACCTTCCATGTAGACTCTAAGTTTCACCTCCCTCGGTGCATACGATTGGTGAAGTTTGCTGAAAGCCTTGCTGAGAATGGCATTCTCGACAGTGTCCTGCCTTTTGAGCTCTGCAAGACCTTTGGGTGGGTAATTGTAGATGATGCAGTGCAGGGAGTTTTGTGTAATAGAGTGTAAGTACTTCCTATACAGATGATTCAGAAACGTACAGCGTATTAGAAGACACACACTTACCGATAGAAAGACTCCAATACCTGCCATATTTCCGGTTCGCCCACATCGTTCCCAAAACGTATGGCTACACCCGGCGGACAGAAAGGAGGCGAAGTGACATGGGCGCCTTTTCCCACATCATCGATCACCAGCATCCGAGGGTCCACTTCTAGGCAAATCGGAGTCACGACCGTTCGCCAGAGGTACGGCATCTTATTACACTCCTCTCGCGGCAGTTGAACCGACAATATCCCGGAAGGCCTCACCATGCCGCCCAATGCATCCGGTATAAGGGTGGGAGTGAGTCTTTCAGACTCTCCAGCTAGCGAGAGGAAAAGTTTGGAGGACAGGTGAACGTTGAGGGGCACGCGGCCATAAAAGAGGAGAATTCTGGGGTAAGAGTCGTCCATATGGGGTGTGTACCAATCGTTTGGTGGGGCCTCGAGACCCTTCGCACGAAGCGCTGCGACAGCCGCTTTACATATCCTCACTGCCTGAAGGTCTGCAAGGAATACGTTCTGCACGAGTCCCAGCATCGCGATCCGTCGCGCGACTCGCGACTTCTTGTCCCCGAGCTCTCCTTCCCACCACGCGTCTTTCTCCTCCTGGGATAGACATTGGGTCGAGAACAGGCCGTGGAAAAAGCTGCGGCAGTTGTCCTTGATAAGGGTAGGGGATCTGTAGAGGACGGGGATGAGGTCTTGGTGGAAGGAGTGGGACGTGCGGGCGGCGGTAGCGAGAGTAGAGGGGCTGGCGGTGCGCTCGAGGTGTTTGAAGACCATGAGCATGATTTCTGGAGGCAGGCGAGGGTGGTTTGAGGGGGCTGTTGCTGGCATGGAGAGGTGTGGCAGGTGTATGTATGGAAAACACAGTCGAGATCAAGACATCGAACGAAGTACCTGGCGGTGATATTTGGTTCCGGTCATTTGGCACTGTGGCGGTTGGCCCGAATGTGATGAACAAGAGCGCAAGTGACTGTACTCTACACTGGAATACCGGAGACTTGCAAAGTAGAGGACCCGATTTTCGAAATCTTCATTAGTCATAATCATGCATCAGGCTGCTACAACACGAGAACCCTGCTGCAATACTGCTGCCAGACTGCCTTGGCCCAAAACTTGCTAGTCCGTCAGATCTGCAGAAGGCGTCGTCCTTGTGAAACTCATCGCAGAGTTGATAGTCATCTTTCTTGAATGCCAATGAAAGGCGAATAATTGGGAAAGGATAGTGAAGGCTAAGGGACGGTATCAGGCTGGGCATGGCGTGTCGTGGCGGCGAAGGCAGGGGTTCTGACGTTACGGCGTATGTATGGCTGCTTGTCGTTCCAACTTCTGGGATAAACCAATGCAAGCCATCTATGACAGACTCGCCAGAAGGCTCACCAATGAAACCTCACTTGACGAGCTCAACCCGTCTTCATAAACTCCACCAGATCGTTCCTCATCTTATCCACCGAAACCTCCGACTCGACGCCCGCCATGACAACCTTGAGCTTCACCCTCCTCTGGCGGGGACTTTGAGCAGCTAACACAAAAGCGTAGCTGACGATTGATACCCTGATCCTCTCCTTCTCGCTGATCGGGACTGGAACGCCTTTGTGTTTTGGGACGCCGAATGATACCGGAACGCCTTTGGACGAGACGTTGTAAATGATATAGTACAGGGGTTTTGGCGTGCGGCGCATATGTATTCTGGAACATGAATGAGCAGGCGTACTATGAGCAACGAGACGAAAGTCACTCACGAGATCAAGTTGAGAGCTTCGAAATACTGTTCATTGATCCGACTATTCACATCTACATCTCTGAAACGGATGGCGACACCCCGTTGAGAAGCAGACAACATGCTGCCGAGACCCCCTTCTTCAAAACTGTCGAGCACCAATAGCCGTGGACAAATTTGCCGGCAGATTGGCTCCAGACATCGCGAGACGTACGGCATAGCAGGCCCCTCGGGCTGTTCCATCGACAATACCCCACTGGTCCTCAACATTCTCTGCAGCAGCGGAATCCACCATGTCTTCGTATTTAGAGGCGCTTCGGAAGTTCGCAAAGAGTCGAGGAGGTTAGAGGAGAGGTGGACGTTGGTGGGAATACGGCTGTGGAAGAGGAGGCGCCTGCTGCGAGTGTCGTCTGTCGGCTTTCTGGGATCGTACCAGCTTTTTGGCGGGGCCTTGAGCTCCAGCGAAAGGAAAGTGGCGATAGCTGAATGACATATCGTGACAGCCTCGAAATCCTCCAGGCGTACATTCTGCACATATCCCAGCATCGCGAGCCTTCTCGCGACCGCCGACTTTTTGTCCTCTAGCTCCTCTTCCCACCACTCTTCTCTCTCGTCTTCGTTGATTGTGTCGGCAGGGGATAGCCCATAGAAGAATTCTGAGCAGTTGTGTTGGGTGAGAGTGATGGATTTGTAGAGGAGGGGGATAAATTTTCGATGAAGGGATCGAGAGACGCGGGCGAGGGAAGCGAGGGTGGAGGGGCCGGCTGTGTCATCGATGTGGTCGAGAATGAGGAGGACGACGTCGTGGGGGAGATGAGGGAGTGCTGAGGGTCTTGAGCTGGACATGCCGGAAGTTGAGGAAGTGTATGTATAGATGTTGTAAAAGAAAGACAGAGATACTAGTAGACAGCAGACCGTCGGCAGACCGCAAGATTTGGTTCCGACTGGTTTGGTTCCGTATTCATATAGACGCCCATGATACTCGGTCAACGACGGGTACCAACACCTCAGCAGGAGCAAAAGGAATGCAGCTCCTATACAAAACATCCATACTAAGAATATCTGCCACATGATACAATAGACGCCGTCTCAAATTGCCCAGTAAGGATGCCTCAACGGTCTCCATGAACTCTGCCAGATCACCCCTCATTCTATCCACCGACACTTCAGAATCAGGGCCTGCCATTACAACTTTAAGCCTGATATTTATCCCGCCACGCCATCCTGGAAACAATGCCCGGACTAGGCCCATAATCTCGCGCTCCGCTGATTCCGGCTCGCCGGGGTCCGGAAAAGTGCCCTGGGAGGGATAGTTGTATATGATATAGGAGAGGATGTGGTAATTTTGAGTCCAGTGGCTCCTGATGAGGGTGTTTAATCAAGGAGAGCATGCCAAATAAGAACACTTACCACAATAACTCTGCGACTTTCCCCCTGGTATGCACGATTGCTTCGGCGTCTGCGCTATCCCGGTACCGAAAGGCGACGCCCCTCTGGGAAGCAAACACGGCATAATCGAGACACGTACCTCCAAAATCGTCGGGTACGATGTCGTCGATCACCAACAATCGCGGCTTCATCTTCCGACAAAGAGATTCCAGAAACGACTGGTACGTCGCACCATCAGCCTCAGCCTCAGTACCAGGTCTCTTCTCCGGCATCTGGAATGACAAAACCCCATATGGCTTCGTTATAAACTTGAACAGCTTGAACCATTCGTCCATGGAGTCGCAAGGAGACTCGGAAGATCGCCAGGCGTCGAGAAGGGTGGAAGAGAGGTGGACGGTGGGGGCAATGGGTGCGTAGAAGAGGAAGCCACTGGGAGGAGGGTCGAGTATTCGCGGTTTGTATAGTTTTCTCGGTGGGGTCCCAAGTCTCAGCTCCAGGAAAGCGCCTATAGCTGCATGGCATACCTCGACAGCCTCGAGGTCGTCAAGGTGCAGTTTCCACACATATCGTAGCATGATGAGTCTTCGGGCGGCTGGCGATCTTTTGTCCTCTAGCTCTCCTTCCTGCCAGTGCTTCTTCTCTTCCTCATCTATACTGCCGTCGAGAAGACCGGAGAAGAATCCGGAGCATTTGTGCTGGGTGAGAATGGGAGAGTTGTAGAGAAGAGGGAAGAATCTCCGGTGAAGGGAGCGGGACACGCGGGCGAGGGGAGCGAGGGTGGAGGGACTGGCGGTGGATTCGACGAGTTCGAGGATGATAAGGAGGACGTCTTCGGGCAGGTATGGGAGTTTTTGGGTGTCTGCATCCGTCATGTCGAAGTTTTGTAGATGAAGTTCGAGCTGTGAACAAGATCGGTTCGCAACGATCTGGAGCTGATTCGCGATTTGGTGCCTTGATTGATTCCGTCTGTGGCACTGGTATTTTGCCCAAATCCATGCAGGTGGCACAGAAGGGTATGGGAAGCCAGGCATATAAGAACATATGAGAACCTTTCATATAGCTAGCATAGTGTTATATTAAGTAGATGCAGCTGATGGACTAACTGCCCTTTTCAGTCGAGAAGATACCCGTGGTCGCCCCAGCTACAATCTGTCCCTCAACCTTTCTTCATCATCTCAAATATATCATACATCATCCTCGGCAACGTGGCAGCATCCGACTGGGGGCCTTGCATTATGACCTTCAGCCTCACGATCCTCTCTTGAGGGGATTGGGAGGCCGCCGCGAAAGCACGGTTGAGGATCAAGTTTCTGACTCGTTCGCCCTTAGAATGGTCGTAGATCGCCTCGTCCATCGAAAAGTTATAAATGATGTAGAAGAGGGGCTCGCGCCTGAGTCTCATATGTCGCCTAGTGAGAGGACATTATTATTAGATTAGTATACACGTAGAACAAGGCAGGCTCACGACAAGAACTTTACGACTTCATCAGTCTGTGCAATCGACCGAGTGTCCGCACTGCCCCGGAGGCGCATTGCAATACCGCGTTGAGAAGAGGACAGTATCTCGGCGAGGCCGCTATTGTCGTAGTCGTTGATCAACAGCACGAGGGGCTTAACCCTTCGGCAAATTGGTCCCACATAACTGCGCACGTACGACAAATGCGGTCGACGGAGATCTTCTGGCTGTCGGATCGACAACACTCCAAACGGCCCCAACATTGATTGAAATGTCTGGACCCGTCGGTCCTCGTCTTTCAATGCGGTAGATGCTAAACCCCCTAGAAACTTGTGGGAGAGGTGGACGATGGTGGGAGCGCGGCCATAGAAGAGGAGGCGACGGGCGGGAGAAGAGTCGTCTCGGCTGCTGGGTGTGTACCCGTACCAACTCAAGGGCGGGCTGTCCAGACCCTGCGCGAGAAACGCAGAGACCCCTGAATTGAACATCCTTGCAGTGACATAATCCTCAAAGTAGACACCCTGCACATGTCCCAGCATAGCCAGCCTTCTCGCAACTGCTGACTTTTTGTCCGCTAGGTCTCCTTGCCACCATTGTTCCCTCTCATCGTCATCAATTTTGTCGGTATATGACAGCCAGTAGAAGAAGCCGGAGACGTTCCGTCGGCTAAGAATTGCTAATCGGTAGAGGAAGGGAATAAGCGTTTTGTGGAAGAAGCGGGAGACGCGCAGCAATGGGGCGAGGTAGGGAGGGATGAAGGTGGCGCCGACGTGTCCTAAGAGGACGTACATGACGTCTTCCGGGAGCCGTTGGGGACTGCTGGGGTCTTCCTCTGTCATGCTGAGGGTTTAAGATTGATTTATTGGGCTGTAAGTCAAGTACTACAGCCTCATGATCTGCGGCAAAGAAGGCCGGCGGGAAGTTTACGTTTACGACGCCAGATACTATTTGCTCCGTTTTCGAAAGTCTGTGGCGCTACTGCAATATCTGTGGGTAAAATGTGGATGATTCCATACATATGACTAAAACCAAAATTGTGTTACAGTAGATAGAGTCACCTCAACAACCACTACAATTGCCACTCAAAACAGCGCCGCTCATATCATAACGCTTCATTCTGTCGCTCAATCTTTCGTCATAAACTCGAATAAGTCATACATCATCTTCCCCACAGTAGCAGCGTCCGACTCGGGGCCTTGCATGACGACCTCCAATCTTACATTCCTCTGTTGAGGTGACTGTAAGGCTGCCGTAAAAGCACGGTCGAAAATGAGTTTGATGACTCTTTTGCTGTTACAGTAGAGTACTCTAGTCTTAGATTTCCTCGTCGATTGAGAAGCTGTATATAATGTAATACAGGAGTTCGCGGGTGATAAGCATATGATGACTGGCAATATGACGTTAGTGAGATGTTGAACAGTATATCAAACGGGCACACTCACGGCAAGAACTTTACGACTTGAGTAGTCTGCGCGATAGATTCGGCATCCACTCTATCTCAGTGAGGTCATTTTCGGAGACGGAAACGGAGAAAGTAGAGGGCAGTTTCCGATAGCTCAACCAGTGGAGAGTAGAACTAGCCTCTTCGCAAGCCCTCACAGCCTCGATCTTCGAAGCGTACTTCTCGAATGTAGCTTAGCAGATACACGCAGCCTTCATGCCGAGTTCGAATTCTCATCACAGCAAGCCTTCAACAGCACAGTATACAACAAGGTCCTGCCCAGGGACAGAAAGCTCACCCTCGCCGAGAAGATCCTCTACTCTCACTTGAGAGATCCAGAAGAGAGTCTCGGAGGCGGTGGGCCCATTCGAGGCGAACGGTACTTGAAGCTTGCCCCCGATAGAGTGGCCATGCAGGTGCGTCTTCAGCGGCCCTATCTTCAAATCTCGTCCCACCATACTCGCCTCTCTTCCAGACTCTCCGTACAGATCTGACCTCCATTGACGAAGATAGACTGCTTTGGCAAGCCGCTGAAAAAGAGTTCGATATTTTGAGCGTTGAGAGACACCGAGCGATAGAGAGCTGGGATGGTTGTTTCATGGCAGGACGGGGACACACGGGAAAGCGTTGCGAGGACGGACGTGTCGGTGAAAAAATCCAAGACTTTTAGAAGATGAAATTGTAGCTCAACGGGGAGGGGTTCGAGAGACAAGATTGTGGAGATGGATGACATCTTGTGTCTTGAGGCGAGAAGGGAGGCGAGATCAGGGATATGATTACAAGTATGAGAAAGCAGGATGTTTCAATGAAAACACATGCGGTTGTGAAAGAGTTCAGTAGAAGAGAGCTGTAGTACGAAGCAAAAGCCGTGCGTATGGGCTTATGGCGACTCTACTGACGAAAAATGATGGCTAGTACCGGAATGGTTTGTAGACCAGAGATTCCACCACAGAGACGACCAAGCGCTGTCTGTTTGAGCATACGTAGTCACCATCATCCATGTGGAGCACCATATCTACATTTACTCCAGGATGTCCCATCACGCTACCATCTCTTTTAGCTCTCCTATGGGCCTTTTTCGTTCACTCGCTAGGACAAGCGTGAGTCTTACTCGGTCGCGCCCACGCATATGTCTTTTACCCATGCTGCTCCATGCTTCCAGTATCATCAAACGCCCGAACGTGGGTGGGGGTAGCATAGCGACATTGCGCGTTTCGCCATAAAAGGGGTAAAAGAACCGATGGGGGTTCGGGTTTGAGAAGTTGTCGATGATCAGATCAACATGACCTATGGAGTGTTCGATATAGTTTCTAATTATACCGATTGGGCATCAGTACCCTATACCCACGCCAAATGATACCGAGCTCACCTTAAACACTTTAACACCCCTGTCCAATGCGGCTCCCGACAATCCTTCTCATCTCTCAATCGCAGGATGACGAGCGGCTGAATACGATACGCTGCGATTGGAAGGAACACAGAAGGATCCACATCCTCAAAGCAAAGCACAGGCTTGCTACTGATACACGCGAACATCGAGCCAAAGTGGTTGAACATCTCGGAGCCTGGCTCGGGCTGCGGGAGCGACAGCGTGCTGCATTGCTTGGAGAGCTTTGCGATAAAGAGCTGTTGCCAATGCTTCGGGACTGATTCTGCGCTCACGCCTTCGTATGGATTCTGGGGTATGAAGACCCTAAAGCGTATATTCAGGGGGACGTCGCCGTGAAAGACATAGTATGGTTGAGGGTGCGGCCAATACCTAGCTTCAGGAGGGTACCATGACTCGGGCGGCTTCGCGAGACCCAAACTGCCAAGCGCCCTATCTGCTTGGTCGCAGGCCCTTATAGCGAAAAGGTCCTCGAAGACCAACTCCCGAACAAATCCCAGAAGACAAAGCCTTCGCGCAGTGCTCGATCTCTTGTCCTGCAGCTTCCCCTCCCACCAGCTCTGGCGCTCTTCCTCACTCAAGCTCGCCTGGCCTTCGGCTCTGCTGATCATTACGCTCTGGCGTGGGAGGCCGCTAAAGAACTGGGTCGCATTTCTGGCGCTGAGGGATACCGAATGGTAGAGTTTCGGAATGGTTTTTTGGTGAAAGGATCGGGATAGACGGGCAAAGACTGCGAGGGCTGATTTGTCGGTCACCAAGTCCAGGTCGTCCAGGATCTGCAATCGTATTTCGACAGGAAGAGGGCTGAGCGTTGTGATCTGGTAGGTCTTCTTCGGCATGTTGTGAAGGTGCGGAACGAAGTGTGTTTTCGAACGCGAAACGTTCAGTGCCGCTTGCGCATCTTCGTCATTGTTGCCGCACGCCGGAGGAGTATCGGCCAACGTAGCCACTGCTGACTGAGTGCCAATAAAGATGCGCATGCATATGGGAGACCTCGCAAGAGGCTACAAATACTCTTTCTCTAGCAGATAATGTCAGGTATTATCCACATACTGATTTCCGAGCTACATACTCTGTCAAATAGAACGGAAAGCATACCCTCTCGCTTTTGCTTGGTCCCATACTTTCATGTCTTACACTCTCCCATGATATCCGCCAACTCTTCCACAGACCTGCTATTCCCCTCGAGAATTAGTGACAACGATGATGAACATCCACATGTCAAACTTCAAGAGAACGAGACCAGCTCCTCCCATGCAACGATGGTCAGCAGAAAGGTGATGAGTGGTTGCACAGGAGCTACGATGACAGAAGCAGATGCGACTAGCTAAATGGAAAGTATGTTGATTAATGAGAAAGATTCGTGAAATGAGCGTGACAAAGACGTAAAGATAGGTAGTATGTTTACAAGAACAGAAACAAGAACAAAAGGCGCATATGTAGCCAGGAAGGGTCGGCTCAAAGCATGAGCACCGCAACCTCCAACCCCGTCCGATTCTCCAACTGATCCCTCGGTTTCCCAATAACGTTCCTCGCATCGCTCGTCACATCTTTCCAGTTCGCGTTCAACACCAACTCTACATCCCTCATACTCTTCTGCATCTGCTTGACTTCCGGCTTCCTCTGTTGAGCCTCGGTAGAGGAGGAAGAAGGGGAAGACGGGGGAGGCTTGTCATATGTGGAGAAGGAGGAGGCAAAGCCACGGGGGTTTGGCATGGGCTGACGTTCGGGTACGCCGAGGATGTCTGGGGCAGAAGCTCGAAGGGTGGGGAGGAACGGTTGGTTGAGATGAGACAAGATGACGTGCTGGGATGGAATATTCGTCGGGAACTGATCCGGTGTCAGTACCTTTCGAAACAAAGAAGAGCAAGGTCAAACGTACGGCAGTAAGTTGCGCAATCTGATGCGCAATCCTCAAACAAAACTGGTCCAAATCAAGATCACTCTGATCATAATTGAACGGCATCTCAATCTGCATCCCAATCTCCAAGAAACCCAGATAAATGATAGACGCCACTGCCGTCGCGGGAATCACCACCCAGCCGATATAGGTGTAAACCTGGAACGGGATGAAGAAGAGGTACGCGTAGACGGTGAGGTGGAGGTGGAATGTGTAGGCGGAGGGAATGGGGGTGGTAGCGATCTTTTCCATGTCGGAGATGGCACGTTGAAGCTCGAGGATAGCGTTGGCGAAAGCGGTGGTGAGAGGACCAGGCATGAGACCTCGGCGAGTAAGGTCGGCAGTGTACATTGACAAGTACATCAGGATCTCCTGAGGGATCTGCATATCCGTCCCCATCGCCGACCTTCTCCTCTTCCCACCTTTCGCCCGTTCCGAGATCTCCTTCTTCTTTTTCCAATTGAGCATGTCGTAAATGCTCTTGAAGATACGGAGAGGAGGAAGGAAATCCCAGATCCTAGGAGGTGGTGGATGACGAGGGGGCATGAGCTCGATCGTCTCGAGCGTGACTTGTTCCCCGCCTTGTCCCGTACGGCCCTGGACTTGGATACTCCGTCTCTGGGTAATAGACTTTCGCCCATCCCGCTTCGAAGTCACCACAAATACCTCCGGATCATCCGTCCCCACATACTCGCTCGCATTCCTCACAGCCTGCTCCTTATAGTCATCCGGCGCCGGTCCATACACCTGCTCTCCTATGCGTTTCTCTTCGTCGTCAAAAGGGTTTGGCAAGTTGGGCTGGTTGAGCGCGTCGGAGGTGAAGGCGATGGGGACGGTGAGGGGTACGGCAATGTCGTCGGTTGCGCGGGATGATTTTTGGCGTGGGATACCGTTTTGCCAGAGAGCGAGCAAGTGGTCGCGGGTGATGGGCGGATGGGAGGCAGGGTTGTATTTCGGGAGGAAGGCGATGAGAGAGTAGAGGTCGGAGTAGAAAGGGCCTCGCTCGCCTCTGAGAGCGTGCTTCATTGAGACAGCGAAAGCTTGAATCTATTCTCCAGTCAGTTGAGATCGAAGGGACATGTGACAGACGTGCCAAACCGATATACGTCTTCTTCTCAATCATCCCTCGCATATCCTCCCGCGCTTGCTGGTCATTCCTAGCAGCCATATCGTCCTCAAACCTCTTCTTTGCCTCTGCCTCTTGCGCCGGCGTCCTCCAGCCGTGCACATGATAACCTGTCGACACATCCTCTTCGCTTTCCTGAGCCACGCTCGAAGGTGAAAGGGTTTGGGCGGTGGAGTTGGGAGTGAATGGTGATTTGCCGGACTTGGAAGCGGCATCAGGCGTTTGAGGAGGCTGGGCAGGTTCGGGTTTGGGTGCATCTGGTTTGGGAGCTGGGGCGTTGGGAATCTATCTTGAGATTAGAAAGGTGTCACTTGAAGACGAAGAAACGACCGACATGTATCCAAATGAGCGTAGCTAGTTGCCGACAATGAGTTGTAAGGTTCGACCAGCCGTTACGTCCTGCCAAGTGCCCATTTCAGTGTTTGGCACCCCCGACTGGAATGGAGACGGCACGTACCGTCCCACCAACGTGAGTAAGAGTTGTTTGTTTTGAATGAGACAACCAAGGAGCTGAGAGGGGTCAGCACCATTCATGGAGAGCACAAATGAGACATACACGATTGTACCGAGCACAGTCAACATGACGCTGTTGATCCCAAGATTGACGCTTGTAAACTCACTCACACACGCCACCACTAACACGACCTGTCAGTGTTGTGCTTGATGTTTCGTGCCACATAGGACTTACTGACGGCGACGCCAGTGAAGAAGACCACGCCCGGCCAGATGTCACTGCAAGGCGTAAGCAAGCGCAGCACATGTACCTCAGGCGTGACGTACTCGAGAACAGTAGACGTAAAGCGGTAGGCTACCCAAGCCATACCATGCTTGAATGGTCCCAAGGGAACTACGGGTTCTATCATTTTTCAGTGGGGGATGGCGAAAAGAGCGACGAAGGTAGGATACTATATATTCGAAAAGCGATGGAAAGAAAAAGAGGAGACGGTGACGGTCGTTGCTTTTATAGCGAGGCGCCGTTGCGGGTTGTTGTCGAGATGAGCGGAGCCTGGGCATAAAGGATGCCTTTGAGCGTCATCCGACTTTCCGAGGGGGCTGGGGGGGCAGAGGCGGTAAGCTGCCGCATTGCATTGGGCACGCACGGTGAGATTGCCAGGGCACGAGGTCACACTGGTGTTGCAGAAGCGGTGGAAGATGTTGTGTGATGTTTTTGGAGTCACGCGAGGCTTCGGATTCAAGGTGGGACAGAGCGTGTCAGGGTCAAACACACCACAGGCACCTCTTGTAACGGCGTCGTTTCAATCGCTCCAAGGTCTGGAAGGGCGAAAACTCATATGGCGGAAGATGGTCAGCCATGTGTGTTGGATGATAGTAATCGGCAGACGGTGAATGCTGGACGATGAAGGACAGAGATGGCAAATGAGCGCTAGAGAAGAACCCGTGAGCAATGCTTGTCTGATGAAGGCTATACAGCATTGAGGGAGGGCAAGTGTTGATAGCCAGAGAAAGACTCATTCCGTTTTTGAAAGCAATTGAGATTTGCAGAAGAGAGTTCAAGGTCGCGAATGACCGCCGATGACCGCGACGCGCCTATCTTCTCTTTCACTTTGATCCCTGTTCGTCGAGATTTATGCCGCCTGCAAGCCTATCACCTCCCTCATGGTCGCGACTGATGACAAGGCCCCCGATATGATGGCATCAAACAATCTCATCGATGAACTTCATGCGATGCGTCTAAATTCATGAAAATAGCCCGTTTCACATTCAATTGGAACGCATTTTCTTTCTCGTCTATGATTTCTCTTTTCATTTCTCATCCACTCGTTCATATCACCATTCTTCTCTGCCACGTTCTCTGAGGGAACCGATTACTCCCACATCTCGGTGTGGGAGACGACAGGCTCGATCTTTCGGAGAGGAGCGTGGAGAGAGGTGTGGGAGGGGACACCCAAGATCTATCAACGCCATCAGCTTGGACTTGTGCACGCGGAGGAAGAGACGTACCCTGGGGAAAGCGTTGAGGTTCTTGTGGCAAGTGATCTGGAAGACAGAAGAAGATCCCTGCCTAAACCAACCATCAGCACCCATTCCATCCACTCTTCACCAAAAGACAAAACTCACCTAGCAGCGATAACACTGTAAGCCAAGAAGAACGCCCAGATCCTGAACCACCTGTCACCATACTTGGCCTTGACCTTCTCCTCGTTGCTGAGCCAGTTCTTGTACCACCTGTGCAAAGTGGCGCAGTAGTGGACACCGAGGACGTCGATAGACTTGATCTCAAAGTTGGCATGCTCGAGTTGGGCGATGACCCAGTTGAGGGCGCAGGAGGCGTCGGCACCGGGGAAGACGTACTTGTTCATGCTGCGATATCATTAGCACGGTGAAGAAGGGGAAAGAGAGAGGAGACGTACAAGAGACCCCAGTTGAGGTCCTCAAACTGCCAGCAAGTCCTCAAACCAGCGACCTGGAAAACCATGATACCATCGTCCGACAGAAGGCTGTAGATCTCCTTCAAGAACTTGCTGTATCGCCTGATACCGACGTGCTCGGCCATCTCGAGACAAGATATTTTGTTGTACTTGCCCTCAGCGTGAGGAATATCGCGGTAGTCCATACACAAGATTCTGCCTCGAGACTCGGGGACACCATTCTGCCTGAGACGCTCGGTACCAAACTTGGTCTGCTCTCGGGCAAGGGTAACACCAGTAATGTCGACACCATAGTTCTTTCCAGCAAACGTAGCGAGGGTTCCCCATCCACAGCCGATATCGAGCATAGTGTCGCCCTCCTTCAACTCGAGCTTCTCGCAGACGAGGCGGAGCTTGTTGTCCTGGAGCTCTTCGAGGGTCTCTTCGCGGGTGAGGTCGGTGACGACACCGCCGGTGTAGATCATACGGGGTCCGAGGAACCAGGAGTAGAAGTCGTTGCCTCGGTCGTAGTGGTCGCGGACCTGCTCTTCGTCTTGGGATTGAGAGTGGAGGACGACGTCGGGGATCAAGTTCATGAAAACGTATCGGAAAAGCTACGCAGAGTCAGCATAGCCCAATCGGAGAAGGAAGAGGCGTACCTCGGGAGTGAACTCGAAAGAAGCCCAGTCATGCCTGTACTCAAGGACATCCAAGATATCACCCTTAAACTCAATCTTCTTGTCAAAGTACGCGTCGTGGAAGACCTGCATGGGGATCTTCTTACCCCCAAGCACATACTTGTCCCTCAGAGCCTTGTCCTTGATATCCAAATAGTACTCAAGCCCCCTGTTGGGGAGCGCAAGCTTCTCATTGATGGGCTTGCCAAACTTGGACTTCAGGTACCAGTAGCCGATAGCAGTAGGGACACCGGAGAGGACAAAGAGGAACCAGTAGGTCTTCCAGCCGTTGGGAGCAAAGGGGATGAACTTTTGGAGGATGTAGGGGACGACGAGGAGGGAGGCGGCGAGCTCGTAATTGGAGAAGGACGCGCAGCCCTCGACGGGCAGAGGAGGGTTGGGGATAGCGGGGGTGGTCGTGCTACTCCTTGTCAGCGTGGAGAGGAAAGCAGATATATAACGTACGGGACGTAAGGCTTGGCCGCCTGGACGGGCTGGATGTCGGCCATTTTGATGGATGAGGAGAAGAAAAGGGCGAGCCACGAAAAGTCAGTGACAGCCAACGCGACACGTCGAAATTTGGTCCCGATAACTGCTTACGTAAATGGCTTCACCCCTGCTGTGCAATAAATGATGCGACGACGAGCAATGCAGTAATCTCTCAATTGCATGCCAACAACCGGCGGGAGAGTCCTCTTTCTTGTTGAAGCGTACAGATACGTGTTGCATATAGTATTCCGGTCACCTCGGAGCTCATCGTCCTCTGACTATAGCAGCTCGAGTTGTTTGGTGCGTTTCAGTGCGTTTGGGCGATTGGGGCGATTAGAGAGCAATTGATAAGCTTCTTGCTTGCTATGTAGGCGGGCGGCTCGGGAAGATGGTTTCTCTCCCACGAATGCATAAGTGTGGCGAGTCCGACAGCTCTCTGGTGGGCTGCACTGGCCAGTGAAGAAGAGCAGATCAGATGGTTCGCTCGCCAGCAGACGACTCGCCGGTCATGAACATCCCTCTCGCATGACACTCATGCTCGGAGAGTAGTCTCGGAAGCTGATGAGGAAGACGAGAGGGGACAGCTCATACGGAGGCATACGACAGAGCAGGCTGACGACTGGAGGAGAGAGAGAGCCCTGTACAACGCGAACAGATGACGGACATGCTCCCCACCCCGTCCCCACCCTCGCTGGCCGATGCTCGTCATACGTACGTACGCACTGTGCCACGACAATTGCCTCTTTGACGTTTGACCATAAATTTGCAGGAATCCTCAGGTACCATCATCGTGTTCCTGGGGGGAACCAAATTGGACGCGCGTGAGACTTCCGCCAATTCTTGGTTTCTTGCTTGTGGCACCCTCGACAACTTCTGCTATGCATCTTGCATCGACATGAGACCTGTACCAACATACGGCCACAGTCTTTCTGCGCATGATTGTACAAAAATCGCTACCCATCGATAAGTAGATGCATGCGCATGGTCGCACACAGACATCCCTCTGCTCCGAGTTTTTGCGTGCGAGTTGAGGCGATGCTCAGGACAGCGAGTGATTCCGGCCCCATATTTCCTGGGAACTCCCATCCCCCATTTCTTTTTCTCTTTTACACAACCCACCCTCATCTATCGTGAGAACACCCCAAAAACCCACAACCACAGACATCACTCAACCCCTACCCCACCCCAAACCAAACCCACACCCCACGATGTCTCACAACAGCGGGTTCGTCTCGATCCCGTTTCCCAGGCTCCTGCTGACCGCCTCGTCTTCGCTAGTGTCTTCCCCGGCTTCCCCAGCCCTTCTCCCATCACCTACACCACCACCACCACCACCACCAACAACAACACCTCCAGTTACGGGAACGCCCCCGGTCTACAGCTGTATGACATTAGCTGGTTCGTCTGCCTCCATCCCATTTCCCATGCCATTACTGACGGCCTCTCTCTCTCTACAGTGTCTTCCCCGCCTCCTCTACTCCGTCTACCATCAACTACACCTCCATCACCAATGACGACGGCAACGTCCTCGGTCTCCAGCTTTCTGCCCTGACCCCCTTTCCCGCCAGCAGTGGCGACAAGCCCAAGCCCAAGGCGAGGTCTTCCACTCATGTCACCAACACCAACAACATCAAAGCGAGGGGCAAGGAGAAGAAGAAGCATGCCGAGGGCTACAAGCGTAAGAGCATGTCTTGTGAGCACTGCAGACAGCGACGAAAGCAGGTAAGCATTCTGGTCTCCATATCACCGTCAGAGAGTGATTCGACTTTGCAGTGCGATGGAGACAATTTCAACGCCTGCACCCTCTGTACCTACAATGGCATCGAGTGCAAATACAACGTCGCCAAGGGCAAGCGAGGCTCCCAGAAGGCCTTGAAGAAGCTCGCCGCTATGGGTCGTGCTCCCTCCGCCGACGGCATCATCATCGCTACTCCCTCAACCCTGTCTCTTGCCTCGTCTTCCAGCACGTCCTCTATGAGCCCTATCACCCCGATCACCCCGGCCAAGTCCACCGTAGAGCTCAGCTCTGGTCACTCTCCTGCCAGCGTCTCTGCCGGCCACACTTCTGGCTTCCCCAACCCCCAGACTTTTATGCCATTCGTCCCAACTACCCAGGTCCAGCCTCCTGTCAGCCAGCTCTCTTCTGCTGTCGACTCCAACGGCCTGTTGGCAGGCTGGCAGATTGCCCAACTGCAACAGGCGCTGCTTGACAGGGTCGATCGATGCTTCTCAAACTCTGCTGCTGCCACTGCTGCCAGCGAGTTTGATCCATACGAGCCTCCTACTCCCCGCACCACCCCCGTCAAGCCTACCTACGTCCGTCCTACAGACGTCTCCCCCATCCAGGCTCCCACCTTTTCACTTCTCAACGCCTCGGTGCCGTCTACCCTGCCTGCCATGGACGTCACTCGACCTCAGCCCCAGCTGCCTGCTTTTGACCCCCAAACTCTCTCTGAGAGTGAGAGGCTTGAAATGGAAAAGCTCGCCATGAACGTAGTGTTTGATAAAGGGTCTTTCTCCGCAGCTCCCGAGGCACCCTGCGAGGCAGCTCCTGTTGCTTCCCTCGCCACTCCAGACACTACCCCATTGAAGCCTACCGTCGAGATGTCTGCCGTCAGCATCAACTTGTCCTACGCCGACTTCTCGGAGCCCCAACCCACCCCTTGGCTCAGCGCACCTCAGATTCAGGTTGAGGACGAGGCTGTCCCAGAGGATGAGGAGGATGTTGACTGGGGGATGTATGTCAATATGGAGGAGATGGAGGAGGTAGACGATGGCGGTTCTTGGGGAGCCCTCGAGTCTCCGTTCAACAACACACCCTTCGGCGACTCTTTCACCCCGATTGCGGATGAGGCTGCCGACAACGGTATGCGGGGACTGTGGAACTGGGAGTAAAATTTACGAAAGGACAATCGGTCGTGCGGCGTACACACCCTCTTCCACGGATATTCATTTAGAGATAGCGGACATTGGTTTGCGTCATTATTATAGTCAAGAGTATTCTACCCATTTCAGATAGTGTCTGTGATATAGCATAGCATAGCGTTGTATTAAGGACTATGGGTCGCGTCGTGGTTTTCGATTTGGATCTCTCTTAGTTGTTCGTCATCATTAATAGTACTGTGGATATGGATCCCATAGCTCGTCTGAAAATCTCGCGTTTTGTTCAACAATTCTTCCTCATACCCTCATAGGGATTGACGCCTTAGACTGGCTGCTTGCTTGCTTCCTACGTGGCTATCAAGAGATGCTTTCTTCTTCAAGAAGCCACCGCGGCCTCGTGCGTGATATTTGCTCCAAGAGGAAAGATCGTCCTTGACAACGACGACGACGACGACAACAACAACAGCAGCAGCAGCGTTTCCTCATTCTACTTTACGTCGAATAATGCCAATACGACGAACCGAGCACGGCAATCCTGGCCAGTCTCCGAACCGCAGCCGACCTCTCATCAACCAAGGCCAGCGTCATCGACATCCAACCCCTTCTCCGCCTGCCTATCGTCGACGCCGCGCCTAGTCGTCTGGCTGGACACTAGCAAGCTCTACCCTCTCTCCACCATCATTCTCAATCAACCAAGAGCCATCTCTATGCCATGATCCGATCCATCGTTAAGTTTTTCGGTCTGGCCAAGGAGGTCTCGGACTTTCATCTATCTTTATCAAGCCAGGAACTTACAGCAGACTCGTCTGCGGGTTCTTTTCTACCAGCGCTATGTCAAGGTAAGACCATCCTCCCGTACTTGGTATGCACTAACGGGTCTTGCAGCCAGGGATGACCTTGTTCGCCTGACATCCATGCATGCTATGCACTCTTTGAACCCATTGGCTACTGGTTGCCTGACACCAACCCGAGGGGTTTCTCGTGTTTCCAAAAATCAGGGATCACCTCTTGCGCTCTCCTCCATGTCACCTCCTCCATCGGACAAACGATCAGTCTTATGCTATTCCCTTTATGCTATTCCCTTGCCCGATCGCAGACAGAACACTCGGTATATGACCGAGTCGAGCGACTCCGCCCTCCCACTATCAGACAGGGTTCCCCTCGGCTAATGTCGATAAGAGTCTCAAATTGCTCTGCTATAGAGGGGATGGGCTACTGAAGAGTCTTTGTCGGCGCAATGAATGTGAGTTGCGAGCCACATACGCGTCATCAGGAGACCATATACACTTACGTGACACCGCTGACAGCCACCAGGTTCACCTCCTTCAGGCAGCATCAATAATTTACCTATTCTCTTGCCCTCCACTTTCCGCCTAGCTCACACTGACACTTTCGGCCAACAGAAGCCAGACGGTGATAAGCCGGTACGCCCAGCCGCGGACTCGACATATCCTCCCCTGCCAGAAGAAGAGGTTGATCCCGCTTAACTCTGCGTCATCGGCTCGCCATGCATCGCCCTCCACTCCGTCCCCCACTCATGCTCGCCGAGGCACGCTCTCTTGCGACAAAATTCACTGGTTGAGGGGGTCCTTTCATCTATTGGGACCCTCAGGTACCCCGCTGGTGCACACGCGCGTGACGTGAGACTTCCGCCATTTCTTGGTTTCTCGCTTTTTGCTCTCTTGAAAGCTTCCGCAGTAGTACTCTTATCAGCATGGGAGCTGTACGAGAATACGTCCACAGTCAAGCCGTGCCCTATGGTACAAAAATCGCGGCCTATCGATAAGTAGATGCATGCGCATGGTCGCGAGACGAGATCCCTCTGTTCGGCGTGCAAGTTTTCTGCGTGCGAGTTGAGGCGATGCTCCAGTACGGCGAGCGATGTCCGCTCCATATCTCCTGGCCTTAAAGGCATAGCAACAATTATTCTCTCAGATGATGCTATGTAGTATGACCGGTCTGATGAAACAGCAATCTCTGCGTACGAAAGCTCGGCGCGTCTCGTCATCCCGACATTTCATGATCTCTCTCATCAACAGCAGGGGCATTTGTTGAATATTCGTCCCAGCCAGGCATGGTAGAGACTCGGTAGGATCCTCATAAAGCGCCAAGCAGGGTGATGGAACTGGGGCCAGTGACAAACCGATCTCTTCCGTTTCCGCCAGCGAACACCGCTTTCGTCCCATCATGGCTTCTCTTGTTCCGCTGCTCTTCCATTACTTGTCGACCCTTCCAGTACGCATCCGCTGCCTCAATTCATGCATATAATGGCGCTCCCAATCTGCATCTCTCTTTCATCCACAACTCATCTTAATCTTTTTCACGAGGCCAGAAAACAACAAACCCATACCCAAACACAACCAACATTACCACAATGTTCCTCAGCCTTCCTCCCGCTGCTAGCGCCAAGCTTTACGGCAATGTTAAGCCGTTTGTCTCTTTCGAGAGCACGCCTTCTGTGAGTCGAATCCTCTACTGATCTAATCAGCGAGAAGACTGACACGTACCCCAGCCTACCACACCTTCTTCCACTGCTTCCACCACCCCATCATCCTCTCCCTCCTCAAACAAGAGCAGCAGCACCACCCCACCCAGGCAGAAACTTCGCCGCTCGCCACCCGGTATCGATCCTGCCGTTGCATCTGTCTTGTTCCTCTCCAAAGACCGCGCTCGTCACACGCGTCATCACAAGAGCACCCCCATGAAGCTCGAGGTCAGCTACAAAGACCACATGGGCAGGAAGAAGGGCGGTATGGAGGCTATCGCGGATGCTCTCAAAGACCAAGACAAGAGGGGTGCGGCGGAAAAAGCTCGCGAGAGGCTTGCGGGTATCAAATCCAGCCCTGTACCTGCGCCTAAGAGGCAGAGGGTGGAGGATGAGGGTGTGGAGTTCTATCCCAGGAGCATTGATTTCTTTGGCGATGAGGACAAGAAGAAGGGAGCGAAGAGGGCCAACGAGAAGATGAGGGAGGTGTAGGATCCTCGATATACATGGACAATATTGAAAGTTCTCATACCTATTATTGCTACTTTGCTACATACCGTAATACAGATGGACATTCACTTCATTAAAGTAGTCATTATCGCGAAAGATGTACATATGCTACAAATGCGAAAACAGCGTCCCCCAAAAAAACTGGTAATTGCCGTCCTCCGATGGGTCCCATGTGGCCGGATACTATACATCATGCGAGAAGATGATACCCCCCGACATGATTCAAGCCGAAATGATCGTGGGTGAGTAGCGGTCCAATATCATCCAACATGTCTCGCCTCGTTCAACGTTTGCCTTATGGTGGAGTGGACACCTCCGCTACTTTACCGACCTGTCCAAGTGTAACGAAACAGCCATTCGTCCTGCTCTTTGAGAGGCGGCATAATTCTTTTTTGGATCTTGACAGTCATGTCAGCCATTCAAAATGACAACGGGAAGACATACATGCATGCTTCTTCTTTGTTCCACTTCCACATGAAGGTGTTTACGTAACTTCATTCTTACCACCACAAACAATCAATCCCATCCGCGTCAACTTTGGTTCTGCTTTGGTTCCATTTTCGTTCAAACATCCACCCCCCTCCCACTCCGCGATGCCCCCAACGAGATCATCAAAACGCACTCAAAGCCGTGTACAAGAGGACACCGAGGCATCAGAGACCAGCTCGCCCCTCGCTTCCAGTTCCCGGCCCGCTCACATGGCGTACCAGACTCCTGCCGTCAACCGCTTGCGACACGCACCCAGAGTTCGAGAATCCCTCACAAGATCAGGGATCCTTTCGAACGACATCACGAGCAGAGCAGATCAGGTGTCAGGGCTAGCTGGCAATTTTCTGCGGAGGCTGTATGAAGGTAGAGGATTGACGGTTGCCTGGAGCGCACTCAACGGTTTGTCAATACCCTCCGGACTGTTCTGTCACTGACATTTTTGTTCTCAGATTGCAAGGTCTCCAACATCTTTCCCCCTCATGCACCACCATTGCCCACCTATGATGAGATTGAGAATGCTCTCCATCCCGATCACGATCTCGACCGCGACGCTCTCTTTCGTGCGGTTCGACTATCAAATCTCTCCACCTTTCTATTCTCCATCTTTTCCCCCGAAACCGCGAGTGATACTTTTCTCCCGTTCGACCTTGAAGAGGAAGATGAAGAGGGTGTGCGGGGGCTGAGTGAAGATCAGATGACATTGAGGGCGCGGGTGCGGAGAAGGAATTATGTCTGGGAAAAGGCTTGGAAGATGTTTTGGACAATGGTCGTGCCGGAGCAAAAGAGGGACAGTGAGAGGGCCATGGCCCTATGGCTCGACTTTGCTACGCAGGTGGGCATCTCTACTTGATGATCGGGCATCTCAGCTAATCAGAAATAGATTCATCTTCGATACCAATGCCCCTCTCCCACCGACGATCCTTCAGATGCCCTCCCTGAGATATCAGGCATTTTGGACAACGACTTCTTCTCCCAATCCGCTCTCCTGCGCTTCGGTCTGTGGACCCTCCCGGATGACGCTGGAGAGAAAGACATCGCCAAGAAAGCACGCGCGTCCAACCGTTGGGAGGACATGGCTGAGAAACGAATCAAGGATTTGAGAGAAATGACTTTTGAAGAGGCAACGGAAGAGTTTGATTGGGAGGACTTTAGGGATAGGCTGTTGGCGTGGGTGAAGAAGAATGTTTTGATGGACGAAGGCACTTCTGTTGTACGTGCGCTTGTATCGGCTAGTAATCAAATCGCGCTGAACAATTTACACAGTTTACGCCTCCCAAAGGTCGTAGACCATCTCTTGCGCCTCTTGCCTACCGCTCTATCTCTCCCCTCAAGCCCCTTTCCAAACTCCCCGGCCCTCTCAGAGAAACGATTATACCTCGTCAAGAAGGAGAGGAAGGGAAGCAAGAGGATGAGGAGCAAGCGAGCGATCAGAGGGAAGAGGAGGAAGAGGAAGAGCAGCGATCAACAGATCAGGACGAGGAGGAAGAAGAGCGAGCCAACGATGAGGAAGAGGAGGAGGAGGGGGGAGAACAAGCAGCCGACCAGGACGACGAGGAAGAAGAAGAGCGAGCAATCGAACAGGATGCCCTCACGCAGGTCGCCAGTCTGGACGATGAAGTGTTCCGCTTCAATCCCGCACCAACGCATGCGGCAAATGGAGTGACCGGCAAAAAGAAGTTCAAGTTTGCCGAGACGCAAGATGACGCCGTGCAAATCGGGTGGGACAGTCAAACTCCTGAGAAGACACCTGTGCCCAAGCGCAAGATGTCGGGCAAAGGGAAGGGGAAAGCGAGGATGGTCGAGGAGAGCGAGGAGGAACCACTCCGCTCCGACACAGATGCCCAGTCCTCCCAATCTTACATGTCGGAAAATGCCCGTCAGGGCGGCGCTATATCCCTCGACACCGACGATAACGAAGACCCCGACGACCTCTATCTGGACGACGGTCAGACAGACCCCCCACCCCTTCAAGATGTCAAACCTGCTCCTTCGGCGCCGGGAAGAACTACTCGGGCAATGTCGAGGGCGCAGTCCGTAACGCCTGCCCCTGCTCCTGCCACGAAGAAGCGTAGGAAGAGAACGGGTGACAAGGAGGATCCAGAACCGGTAGTACCGCAAGCCGCCGGGGGCCAGCCGACGAAGAAGGCGAGAAGGGCGAAGCAGCCGCCTCCTACTCTCACCGAGACCGAGTCTGAGCACGACTCCGAGGCCGAGACGCTCGCCACACAAGCATCCAACCGAGGCCGCCCAGCGCCGGGTACAACTCCTTCCCCAGCCCCTTCCTCACAAAGGGAGGATGACGAGCCCACCCCCCGGCCTCGCGCTGGACCCAGCGCACCTGCTATTGTAACGAGGGATGAGGATGAGGTGATGGAAGAAGAGTTTGATCTCGGCCAGCTTCTTAGTCCGGAGACTGAACCTCCTCACTCTGCAGCAATCCCATCTCAATCGTCACAGCGCTCGAGAAAAGCAACCACCCGCAGAGATGCTCGACGAATCAACGAGTATACCACTACCCACGATGTTGACCACGACGGGTTTTTTGAGGCTATGGATGCCCATGAGAAAGAACAGTCGAGCAAGAGTAAAGGAAAAGAGCGGGCGCAAGAGGTGACGATCGAGCCCTCGCCCCCACCTGCATTGTCTTCCCGAGCTGCTCAAAAGCCCGCGGAGCCCTCGCGTCCCGAGCGGTCTTACCGTATTGGCGAGGCCGGTCCTTCCCGACGACCTGCTTCCTCACGACGATCTACCTTGCCCACCGGCGCATCGAACATAGACTGGCACAGTCCTGCCTTCATGGGGGATGACGCGCCTATGGCTGCTCAAGACGACTATGATGCCCAAGGAGAGGCTATGCGGGAGAATGGGTATGGGGACTATGATCTCAATCCGGAGGAAGAGGAAGAGGAGGAAGAAGAAAACGGGCACCCCTCCGAGGATGGGGCCTTTGCGACGGATTCGTCTGATAGTGAGGCGGCTTTGAGGAAGATTCGGGCTTCTAATAAGGCCATTGCTGCTCGGAGGCGACAACAAGCGCCCGACGAAGACACCGAGGACGAAAGTGATACACAGTCTTCGACTGGATCAAGTCAGGGGCGAGTGCGTCTCAATCGACCTGCCAAAAAGCCTCGACCACTCAAAAAGCCACTATCGCCTCAAAGTTCTCAGCCAGGGGGCACGGCAAAGCATCTTCGCAGAAGCCGCAAAATTATCGATCCCGATAATGACCCCTGCATGCTCGAGGACGGACAGCCTTTGAAGCCCTTCAAAGATCTCGACGCACCAATCAAGTACCGACCCGACATACCCAGAGCAAGGTATACAGCCATCTGGACCGACGAGTTGTCCTGGTTGTTGTACAGGACTGTACAGAAATGCCCGGCTTGGGTGCGGTTTCCCTTGCGTATAGTCTGGTACCTGCATGGAGCCAATGGCCGCCTCGGCAACGAATTTGCAGGATTTGATATGGCCCAATTGAAATCGCGGATGGAAGAGATCACCGACATTAGGTTGCACGGCGGTCACCCTATTGAGGGTAACGCCCGGGGCTTTATCAAAAGCGCGGCTGTGAAGAAGAGTCTTGGCTGGGAACTTCAGAGGGAGAAGCGCCGCGTTCAGGCTGCCATCGACGCCAAGCTTGACGGGGAAGAGAGCGAGAGATTGGACGAGGAGGAGGAGGAGGAGGATCAGGTAAGTTCGCGGTGATGCGTACTTTCAGGTGTTAGACTAACATTTGTAATTAGGCACCGCAGAAGAAACCCTCGCGTCCGGTCAAGAATACGAAGAAAACCGCGCGAGCGCCCAAGTCGACAAAAGGTCGCGCGCGCAAGGTTGCCCAGTCGCCAGACTCTCCGGAAAGCGAAGACGATGGACATCTGTCCAATGCTGAAGCCGGGCCTTCCAATTCTATAGGCAACGGTAAAGGAATGACAGCGAAGAGGAGGAAGATCTTGAAGGATATGCAGGCGGATCGTGATGACGAGTCAGAAAGCGATTCTGAGTCGACGGTCGTTAAGAGACGTCTTACGAGATCTTCTGGTCGCGTTGCTACGTTGGGAAACCGCCGCCCTTACGTTGAGATCCCTCGAAGCCCAAGATCGTCGGCCAAGAAAGCAAAGCAGACCTCCCCTTCAAAGTTAGGAGCCGAGGACACGCAGGAAGGCGAAGAAGGAAAAGGGAATCAGCTTTATGGGGCTGATGGTTTGCGAGACGAGTTAGACGAGGATGACGTCGATGTGGATCAGCAGGACGAGGAAGATGCTGGTGCTGGGGAAGCCGCGGAACTTCCTCCCGCTGGCCAGCGCGCACCTACTGTGCCCGATTCCAGTGGAGGACAGCCCCACGTGGAAGGGACACCATATACGGATAGCTTGGAGGCGGCCAACAAGGAGGAAGAGGAAGAGGAACCCACAAAAGACGAGGAACAGGAGGAGGAGGAGCAACCACCAGGGCAGCAACAGGCAGAGGAAGAGCAACCGACAGGGGGGGAACAGGCAGCGAGTGGCCAAAGTAACGCGAGTGCGAAGCCCCGTAGACTGTTTGGGGGCTTCTTTAGCCGTTCTTGATTGGCAGAGATTGTTAAGTGTCTTGTACTCATGCTTGTACCTTGAAGGGAATTTGTATTCGGTGTCATTAGATGTATCATCATGTTTCGTCTAACGTTGAACAGTATACGCAGTCTACAAACCGCCAGCAGGACGGTCCCTACACAGCCTTCGTCCTCTATGGCCCACCCCTGATCTCTCTGGAGTTTAGGCATTATCCTCAAACCTCGCGAAGATGCTTGTCCCATATCCCATGGTCTCCACTTCTCTCATAGCAGCACTTAGGTCTTGATGGAAATGAGCAGGCCCGAGCTAGATATACGTCAGTTTGTCTACCGACAAGGGATGAAGCAGAGAACGTACGATCCCAGTGATACCAGCAATCTCAAAGCTCTTCATCTGTTCTGGCCCCAGATGCGCGAAATGCACTCCGACGCCCCTCTCATCATACGCCTTCGTAAGTTCGTAAAGGATCTGCATTGCACTGTGCCATGATAGTAAGCTTTCTCTTCTCTCTCACAGATGGTGCAAACAGCGGGATGACTCACGAAGCATCAATTTCTTCCACATCTCCCATATGCCAAACCAACGCCTTGGCACTCTCCCTCCTCGGCTCATCACTCGGATGACTCTTTCCCATGCCATACAACTCCAACCTCCTCAGCCTCTCCTTTAGCTGGCCCGTATTTGCGAAATTGAGGTTCTCCCGGATACGAACGACGAGCACACCGGGGATCTCTTCTTGGGCAGAGTCGTCCGAGTCGAGGGGGACCCAGGTTTGGGTACCGGGGAGACGGCCGATGATTTTGATACGGGTTTGAGTGGATTTTTGAATGACTAGGATGAGGGAGAAGATAACGGAGACAACGAGGCCGACCTGATATTGCGCGTCAGCAGACGCTTGGCCATAGTTGAAAGAACACGGACCTCAATGGAGAAGCACAGAGTCAAGAAGAAAGTCATCACCATCTGCGCAAAGTCTGTCCAAGCGCCCATCTTCCAGAAGTAGATGATCTCATGCGGCGCTTCATTCAAGACTGCACCCGCGTTAGCATACCTCGCTTCATTCACGACCAACGACTTACTAGCATATACAACCACCGTGATGATAGCCGCCAGAACCGCCTTCGGCAAGTAGAAGAGGTGTGGTAAGAGAAAGAAGATGGTGAAGATCATGCAGAAACTGGTAACGATGCTTGCCATCTGCGTTCGACTTCCGATCTGGCCATTCAGTCTGGAACCTGCAATGCCTATCAGCCTGCGTCCGATGAGATACAGAGGCGACGTACGAGTGATGGAACCGAATACCGGAATTGCACCTGTGCCGACGAGAACTGAGCCAGACAAGTTTGCAGCCCCTGTCTACGAGTCAGTTCCTATCGTCACATAGAAGATTGCCACTACTCACCCAAGGCGACGAGCTCTCGATTAGGCGAGACCGCATAACCGTACTTTGACGCATTCTCCCTCGCAGCCACGATCGAGTCGACAACACCCACAACCGCGCTTACGAACGCAGTAGGAAGCTAGGCAGACGATCAGCTTTGAGCATACGAGTAGCGAGAGGTGCGCACGGTGAAGTTGAAATACTGGATGGTCCGCGAGTAGATGGGCCAGCCGAAAGGCAGACTTGAGCCGCCCTTAATCTTGCCAAGCACTTCCACGCCAAGATTGTTCCACCCAAGAGTTTCCGTAAGGACTGCTCGTCGTCAGTCATAGCCTCTCTGAAACACTGCACACGCCGTAAAACTCACTTGTAGTCCCCACTACCAAAAGCAAGATCTCCGGGACAAACTTGATCCAAAAACCACCCGGCCTCTGCGCGATCTTCTGCTTGATCACCCTCGAAGCTATCAAGAACGTCAAGCTCGTAAAGCTCAGAATGGCGGTAGCTTTGTTGATCTGAGGAGTGTGGGAGAAGATGAACAAGAGTTTGCTGAGGGGTCGAGTTGGAGGCGAGACGGAATGGGAGAGAAGGGTCGCTAGGCCGAGCATGGGGACGAGCTGTTCGATGAAAATAATCTGCAACGACGATCAGTAGGTCCGGTGTACTCAATGATGGGATACGCACGACACCAACGGCAGTGATGAAACCTCGAAGCAGCGCTCTCGACAAGACGACATCCAAAAAGCCAAGCCGAAGCAGCCCAAGCAGACTCGTGATAACGCCTATCTACGAGCACCATAAGCCTACTATGTTGAAGATCAGGGTAAGGGTGCTCACTTGGAAGGTGGTTATCAGAGCAATGGCAGCAGCCTCCAAATCCGGATGGGCTGGCACACTGTGAGGATCGCCGTAGACTGCTTCCTGGATCATCTGGCCGATAAGGAGGGACAAGGCTGCTTCCGGGCCGATCGATAGTTGGCTAGGAGAACAGTCAGATCATCTCCGAGAGCATGTAGTGGCCTGCAAACGTACCGGCAGGTTCCCATCGCGCCATACATCAAAGCCGGTATTGCGGTCGACCACAATCCCGCAACGGGCGTCAACCGCGCCAGACCACTAGCATAAGATATAGCCTTTCATATATATTAGCGGGTTTTCTCTGAGGGTCTGACATGGGCTCACTTGAGGTATGAGCAAACATGCCACCGAAACCCCCGCTATCGCATCCCCTGAGAACCTACACGGATATCAGCGATGCGCGGCCTCCAGATCGCTATTGAGTACTTACAACGACCAACTGTAATTCGGTAGCCACTCCGTAATCGGCACATAATACTTTGACCTCTGCTTGATCTTCTTCGCATACGTCAAAGTCAGACTCTTCTTCTTCGTCGGCCTCCTCCCTTGCCCCGCCCCGGACGCTGAGTTCTCATACTGGTCATGACCTCCAGATTGTCCCCGCTCGCTCTCATCTTCGTCCGTAATCTGGTCGAGGTTGGCGGTATAATTGCGTATCGGAGACCGGCTTCGCTCTCGAGGTATCAGAGAAGCACTCTCACTCGATCCAGACAAGTTTGGCCTGCCAAAAAGGATTCCAGACAAGTTGCGAGGGACCTTGCTGCCGGTGACAGCGCCTGCGCCAGTGCCGAATGAGCCGGAGGGTGCGTTCGGGGTGGCAAAGGTGAGGTGGTCGTCGCTCTGGGCGGACGTGTAGCTGGCCATCTTGCAGCGGATTTTTGAGAAGGAAAAAGAAAAGCAGTTATAGATGCAAAAGCTGAATGACCGTTATCATAGCGTCATGGTCGAGGTGGGGCAGCCGTGTTGTTTATCGCGGACATGCCCGCCGCATCAATAATAAGCGCCAGACAAGCGCGCAGCCTGCCAAAGAGAACACGTTCATTACGCATGGCTGCATGCGAGCACCAGACAGCTTCATGTATTGAGATTGCCTATTCCAAGGATCTTCAATGACAACAATAGTAGTGTTGGAAGCTCCAACGGCAATCAGGCGAGGGAATGAGCACAAATTCGTGGTCAACATGCGATGTGCACTCTCAAAGCTCCCGATAGATGACTTGCGCAAGCGATACTCTGCTTACCATTGACCATGATACTATGAGCAGATCCTTCATGAATTGTGAAGGTTGAAGCTGCCACTGCCCAATACTGTGCGGCTTTTCCTCTCAAACATGTTGGGTATACTCGGTTACTTTTTATCGGTGATGAACAACGTTGGGGGGGCGAAATATGGCACCGAGGTCATGCTATTCTGGTAATTTTTCTGCATGTAGCGCGGGCTGCCGACGTATGATGCAGAAAGTTTAGACTTGACTCCGATGTTGTTAGGTGCCAGACCTTCTTCTAACCCCTTTGCAGAGCCTCCCGAGTTTCACCACGAAGCTCAGTTTGATGTTTACGCAGATAATCCAGTGCCCCATTCTCGGACTAAGCTCCTCACCCACAGCCCATATTTGGAAAAGTAGACCAGAGCGGTAAAGAGTTGGGTAATGTTTAGCGTGGACTTGTAGATGGAAGGAGTGCCAATCCCTGGGAGACATGCTATCTTTCCCTTGTTGAGGTGCTAAGAAGATGGTAAGCAACAGAAAGACATGGTAAACGATAGGGAAAAGCAACTCACAGAGGGGGCGAAGAGCGTTCATATAGTTGTAAAGAGGGCCGTAGGGCATACCATCGGACCAACCGAATTGCCCACTGGCAAGAATCAAGACATATCGCGTTGGGAGGCAGGCGCCATGCGCTTCTGAAATACGACGCATAGAGCCAGTCACCCCTTGGATAAATAATATCGCACTTATCAAGTGAACCTTGGCCTCTGGGGATGATGACGCCAACTTCAGATGCCCTAGAAAGAGCATAGGATGTGTCATATGTAGGAAAGTGAGAAAGATCAAATTGAAGGTAAACACGAACGGGGAGGATGCATGCAAATTTAAAGGCACAGTTCGGTGGGGATGCTTACAAGGAATGTAAGGCAGCTTTGTTTCAGGTCAAGTGATTGATATAAGAGCGAATAGAGAACGATGGAATTGAAAATAAAGGTGGTCCAAAAAACGAATCGTGGCTTAAACTACAGTAAATAAGTAAGTTGGTATCTTCTGTACTCCGAGGCGACATAGTTGAGGCCCAACATGTGAGTTTCAGTACCACTGCGTAATCATTCCAGTCGCATATATTCCAACTCAATGTTGATATTAGTTTTCTTCAGATTGACATGGAGTCAAGAATGAGATGACGTGATCGGCAGAATCGAGGCGACAGCTTGTCTCGTGGGTGCACATCACTGATCTACAAGAGCTGTATGCAGACCATCGTATTCACAAGCACTGGAGAACCTTCCAAAGTACATATCCTGACTGCGACACCTGGTGCACCTCGACAGCAACAAAGAAGCAGCTTGCGTAGTAAGGCCGATGAGACACGGCGACAATTAGCAGCAGTTATGATTTCTGCTGCTGTTTGAGGTATGCGTCCACGATCCACGCGCCTATTGAAGGCAAGACAATGGAAGGTCAGGATATCGTACGGTAGTCTACGAGAGTGACTGGCTTACACTTATCGCAAATCACACCCCCGGTGCGCCCGGACCATGATTTGGTGGCCCCAATGGCCGCCTGCAAGCTGAGACCTTGTTGCTGACAGGCGTGGATACCACAGTTCCGGTTCCAACAGCGATAGTTGGGGTCGGGGCCTGAAGCCTGCCCCACGGTCCCTCCTTGGCCATTTCCGCCTTGACCAGCTCCTCCTTGACCACCGTGACCGCCTTGGGACGCATACTGGGGACATCCTGCGGAGTGGTATTGATACTGATATTGGCTCATGATAGCGTTTCTCTCTTCTGTTGTGAGCTCTTTGTCAGCTTTTCAACTTCGCGAATGCTGCAATCTTTTTCTTGGAGATGGCCTCGTTCACTCACCGAAGTAAGTTTGATGGGTGTAGATCACGTATATCTATGAGGTAGCGTGCTGTAAAAGATATGCGACTCGGGAGGATGAAATATTGGCCCTTTTTGTATCCCGTTGCGACTCTGAGTGAAGCAGTCATCTGACTGAGGGTGATTCCAGACGCAATCGTACACGCTGCAGTCTGCAAGCTATATCATGCTGCAGAAAGATCTTCGCACCCAACCAAGGGATTCTAGTACTGCACGACGTGGGCGGCGTAGGAGGCTCAGCGCCAACATAAAGCAGTATGGTTCTGTCGTTCTGCTACCTTGCCCCAAGCATGAAGCGTGACATTGCGTCAAGTGTTGTGGCGCAGTGGACAGAGACATACCCAGAATCTGTATCGTACTCATTGGCAAATAATACAGTTCCAGGGTATGCGCCACTACTGCATACATACTCGAGACGCGGGTACAGTGCAATCGATATCAAAGGCCGCCTGCGGTTTGCTACATACTCGGTGTTTTTCTCTTCCTACAGTAGTAGTAATATCTTTCGCTGTTGTGGCTGTCGTGTTGAAGCACGTTCGGAGAAGACAACTTCTTGCTACGTTGTAGATAGATTTGGCTTATCGAGGGAAAGAGCCGGTACACAATACTATCGCGCTACGCTCACGATGCACAGCAAACGATGTCCCCTATGTACGTACTCATGCGGAATCCATGCTTTCCGGGGCCCTCCAAGAGTGGGCAAACGGAATGTGACGCATGTAGGCGTGGGCGGCATGTTCCGGCCGTGTCACGGTGCTTTCTCTGCGTTTCATATGGGCACGCACGAGGCAGGGGTCCTTTGGAGGTCGGTGCTTGGCGCGTGGCTTGACGCCCGTGGAGCTGGGCCAGCTATTGTCTTATCATTATCATTGCAATGTTGCTTTTCCCTTTGTACATCACCCGGAAGTTGTGATTCAGCAGCTTTTTTGCGGCCAACCGAGAACCTCCCACGCCATGTCCTACCTTCTCAAGAAACCCTGCAGTCATGTAGGCTGTCCCAAACATGCTATAGGCACCCTTTTCCACTGCGGAACCTGCGCAAAAGTGTTGTGTCTAGAGCATTATTATGCCAATCCACCGCATGTTTGCCGAACACTTATTATGGTATGTTATGAAGCCACTTGGCGGCACAAGTTCCTTGCTAACAAATAGTCACAGGCAAGCTTCCAGCCGGGCGGGGAAAAGGCTGATCAGATAAGAGAGAAGATTGGCGTAAAAACGTCAGATGACAAGCATGCAGTGAGTGATGATGATGACCGGGATGAGAACGAGCGAGATTGAGGTGCTGACCATATTACTCTCTGATAGTACCAGCGCACTATTGAAGCCATCGACTCACACAAGATCACTCAGCAAGCATCTCTCATTCGTCCTGGGCACACTTGCTCTCTCGTCACTACATCTATGCCAGATGACGACTGTCCTACGGCTTCAGCAGAGTACAAAATCGGCTGGGTGAACATTCACCTTCCTCTCATATTCGATGACGGAGTCAAGTGGATCGTCCGCATTCCTCGAAGGCAGAACGGGGACGCTCCAGCCAACCTGCACAACTTGGTGGCTTCCAGTGAAGCTGCGACTCTTCGGGTTTTGCATCAGAATGGTGCCAAGGTCCCCAACGCTTGGATGCCGGTGGAAGGAAATCTTGACGAGGCTGCAAACGGTGAGTTCGATGCCTTGTAGCCTTCTCCTACATCTGACACATAGTACTAGGAAGATACTTCTTTGAGGAGTTCGTCGAAGGCGTACCCTACATCGACGGCGATTACATGAAGACGCTTCATCCAGACCGGGATCGGTTCGCCGCCAGTCTTCTCGAATTTGCGCAGCACTACATTGTCATTGCAGACATCAAACTCGAAGTCAAAGGTATCGGATCACTCTACCCGTCTGACAACTCCTGTGGCTACACCTTGGGCCCCATCACGAGCATGGGCACTTTCATGCGGCCCGAGCCTCCCTACTTCTTGGGCCCTTTCAAAACGCTGAGGGACCGCTATATCACGCATATTGAACAAGCTCTGTTCCACATCAGAAATTTGTCCTTCCTCATGATTGCCCCAATGCGGACCTATGTGTGGTTACTGGAGCTGCAAGACATAATCAAAGAGTGTGAGGTTCTCGGTCGTGAGGAGGATGACTTCTACATTCGCCACGCGGATGACTGGATTCGACAAACAATGAGGGATAGTGAGGGCCATCTCACAGGATGCTTGGACTGGGAATGGTAAGTGGCATGCTTTCAGATACCTCAAGCGCCAGCTCATTGGATTGTTACAGGGCTTATACTACAACCAAAGCCGAAGCTTTCTCTTCCCCTCTGAATCTCCATATCGCCCATCCTTGGAGTGAAGGCGACAATGCGCTCAATCCTGACGAGCTCTTGATGATCGATTGTTTCATCAAGCTCGGTCGACCGGACCTCGGAGATTGTATTCGTCAGGGAAGGATTTACCTTCGTCTCGAAGAAGCCTTGCGTATCGATTGGGAATTGTTCTATATGAACCGACGCGGGAACTTCAATGGAGTTCTTGCAGCCTTCAGAGATCAAGGACAGCAGGTACCTGGTCCCTTCGGAAGCGACGAGGAGCTGAAGGTCTGGCTCGAAAGCTTGGAGAAGAAACGTCAAGAGAATGGAGAGCTGGATGAGGTCAGAGCTACCTGGATGGCGCATGGTGATGTGAGGGATGAGGCCGACAGGAGAGACGAGGAGACCTGGGAGGATGTCGTTGCAGAACAGTACAAAAAGCTTGGTTTGGAGGAAGATGATAGTGCCGAAAAGTAGACATTCTGGACTGTACTATGACTGGTACCATTGCAAATTTTGGAATGCAGCCAAGAATGAATAGGAGTGTTTGACGAAAAGTAGAGAACGGGGAACGTGTGAGGAGCGAAAACAGTGGTTTGAGGAGAGCTAGGACGGGTCGTATGTGGAACTAAAAGTACTCAAGTACCGTTAGGTCAGGATGAGTGGCAGCTCTCGCATGATGCAGTCAGCGGATCAGATGTATCGACGAACAATGGAATGAAACGATGAGCAGGAAAGTGAGAAAGATCAAATTGCGCAGCAGGAGTAGGCCAGAAAAGTCCATATTATTGGAGCATCTACGATATAGGGGTATAGATGTTTACCTACCTAAGACACTATGTACAAGACATCATTGCTAGTATACAGAAAACTCGTCAAGCCTTCCCGAGATCAAGAACTAGTCTGCTTGGCAATAGTAGCCCTCACAGCCCTATGATCACTCCACCTCGCATTAAACCCATCAACATCCCCCTCCACATAATTCTCCACCACCCCAAACCTGCTCACCTCCCACCCCCCTCTCGCGCCCCATCCACCCCCTTGCTGCGCTTCCTCAAGCTCAGCGCCGAGCAAGATGAAGTCGATTCGCTTGGTCATGTTGTAACCTGGAGCTTCAAAGCCTGTGTAGGTGTGCGCTGGGCCGTAAGGTCGGGTTTGGAGAGGGCCATAAGTGGATGAGAGGGAAGAATTTGATGTGGATGTAAGGAGGTGGGTGTATGTATCTAGGAAGGTAAAGGAGGCGTTGCCAGAGGGGAGAGGTGAAAGCGAGACCATATTCTGATAGCCATCTTCTTCAGGTGGTGAGTCTAATTGACATCAGCTGTATTCCCAATAACTGTTGGTGTATACTCACTGAAATCACCAAAGAAGACAACAGGCGCATCGCCGCCAGCGTTCTCGTCCTGCTCGACATCATCGACCCACTGCTTGATGGTCGCTCGGAGCAAGAGACTGCTGTTGGCCCTAGCTTCGACACCCTGATCGTCGTAATGAGTGTTGAAAGCGTGTACCAGCTTGCCTTCCTGGTCGCCGTCTCTGTACCTCAACGTAAGGAGGGTGGCAATACGAGTCAGACTCTGCCAAACATATCAGCCTTGCCCAGGCGTCTTTGCGATAGACTCACTGCATCCCAGCCGACAGATCCGGGAACGTCAGGAGTGGTAGACAACCAAGTAGTGTTCCACCTGACCACATCAAACTTTGTCGAATTATAAAAGATCGGACTAAACTCGCCCGCTTCCTTGCCGTCGTCGCGTCCCACACCCACGTGGCCGTAGTCGGAACCAAACAACCAAGCGAGGTCGCTCAGTTGAGCAGAAAGTACTTCCTGCGCCACAAGTCAGTACTGGAAGATATGAAGAGGCTTGTGACTCACTTGGGCACCCCAGATATCTAAGGGTCCGGTGGACAAGAGAGCATCGGCCAAACGCGTCTTTCTATCATCCCATGATTTCTCGCCCCAGATGTAGTCGGAGGCAGTCTGCTTGGCGATGTTGCTGTTCTTTCTACAAGAAAAGACGTGGTCATCAAATGACATCCCCTCATATGAGACCTTGAGCTTACACATTGACAGTCGCAATGTGTATCTGCTGGACGGCCGAATTCGAGCGTGAAAGGACAGTGGGGTTGTCGGTAAAGAGCGAATGGGGTCGGGCGGTTGTCGTTGTCACTCCGGCAAGGGCTGCCAGGAGGATGTATGAACAGCAAGGCAGAGTATTTAGAAACATGGTACGAACAAAGAAATATCAGATGTGTTGAAAAAAGGAGGCCAAGAGAGCTGTTGTTGCTGTTTATATAGAACTCGCACCGGGAAGACCGGCGGCGATTGATGGGTCCGTGCCCCGTGGGCCGTGGCCAACGAATTGCGTTTGTGCCACTCAGCCACGTTGGAAGCATGGAATAGAGTGTCGATGTCCATGCCGTAGACTAGCCTTGAAACAATGGAGAACGAGTCTAAACATCAGCTAGCCATGTTAACATCCGGCAGCCGCGCACGTTGTAGCCTCAAGTGCTGATGTTCGTACTGCTCTTTACTTATAGTTCCACGTGTGTCTCGGAAAGCACCCATGGACCGTGGTTTGTTGATCTACCCCAGACCAAGGGCAAAGAAACATACAATTGAGAATTGACAGACTAGACTCCCCGCTGCAGGCAGCAAACATCTACGCGGTTTCAAAAGTTACAACGCAAAGACGCGACGCGTCGGAGTCGCACGTGTCTGTCGGATCTCTGCCTGTTATAGCCGACTGTCCGTTGTTTATGACTTCAAAGTCTATGAGCAGACAAAAGACGGTGGCCCACTTGATAGCCATTGATCCGTGCTTGGAAGCTTGGCGCGCAAGAGTGATTGAGTATTGCGATGGTAGAGATTGATCCACGTATCAAGACACTTTCATGTTTGGATACATTCTTTTCGAGTATGCCTACGTTATATACAGCACCCGTCTTTTGCTTATGACTAAATGCTTACAATACACATGTTCCGAACTTGGCCAAACTCAAAATAACTACGCTCAAGCCGGCCTGGCAATCGTAGCCCTTACAGCCCTATGATCACTCCACCTCGCATTCCAACCCTCCACATCCCCCTCCACATAATTATCAACACACGCATACCTCACCACCTCCCACCCTCCTCTCGCCTTACCCCTATTGTTCTTGTCATCCACTTCCGCGCCCAGGAGGACAAAGTCGATACGCTTAGCTTGGGGCGCGTTGGGCGGGGCAAAGTCGGTGTAGGTGAAGGCGGGGCCGTAGGGGCGGGTTTGGAGTGTCTTTAGAGGAGAAGCGGAAGAGTGGGGAGAGGAAGAGAGGGAGAGGAGATGGGTGTAGGTGTCGATAAAGGTGAAAGACGGTTGGCCGGAAGGCAAGGGGTGGAGGGAGGTCATGTTCTTGTATCCGTCTTCCTCCGGGGGGGAGTCTTTAGAGTGTCAGCGCACAGATCAGTCAGGCATGCCAAAACTCACTAAAGTCTCCAAAGAAGACAAGAGGCCCGACCTTACCGGGCTTCTCGGCCTGCTCAACGTCTTTCACCCACTGCCAGATCGCAGACCTCACCAACAAACTACTCTGCGCCCGAGCTGTGGTACCTCTGTGGTCATAATGGGTGTTGACCGCATGCACGAGCTCTCCCTTCTTAGAAGGGTCCTTGTACTTGAGAGTAAGAAGCGTCGCAATACGCGGCAGATCCTGTTTGTTCATCAGCTGATACTAGATCAGAAAGGAAGAAGCCAACTCACCGCATCCCAGCCTTTAGACCCCGGAACCTCGGGAGTGGAAGAAAGCCACATCGTACCCCACTTGACCAAGTCAAACTTGGAAGCATCATAAAAAATCGGACTAAATTCGCCCCCTTCCTTCCCGTCGTCTCGGCCTACTCCCACGTGGGCGTAGCTGGGGCCAAAGAGCTCGGCGAGGTCCTTCAGCTGCCAGTTGAAGACTTCCTGGAAAGTTGTTAGCTCCTAGTCTGGTCATTCGCAGCATTCGCAGCATATAATGACTCACTTGGGCACCGAGGATGTCGAGCGGGCCCGATGACAGGAGGGCGTCTACGAGTCGCGTCTTTCGCTCCTTCCAAGGCTTCTCGGCCCAGACCTCCTTGGGTTTCGATGGACCATTAAAGTTGCCATTTTTTCTATATGAGCAGTCAGCACTGTTCTCCATCTATGAACCAAAGCAGCAGTCGTAGGCAAAACCCTGCACAGTCAAGACACGCACATGTTGACAGTCGCGATATGAATCTCCTCGACAGCAACATTCGACATGGTGCTCGTTGTTGTTGTTGTTGCTTGGGGGTGTAAGAACTTCTGAAAGGGAATCTTTGTGACCATATTCTTTACTTGTCAACTGACCGCAATCAGAATGGATAAGTAGAAAAAGCAGCAATGGCCCTCCGCGACGGCCATGACAGCATAGCGCAGGCTGACCTCCACCTTCCTGAAAGCGGGGCCCCCCGCCCGCTTGTGTACCGGTTTTGAACGAAAAAGCAGTCCCGACACCCGGTCTGTTCATGTCAACAACCTCTCTGGGAATATATATTTCCGCTCCCTTCTAGTCCTCATAAACCAGGGAGACACAACAAGAGACCGTATCCTATCCCAAAATGGCGGCCACCCAGCAAGCTATAGAGGTCGACGAGAAAAAGGTGGTTGGGAAGAGTTCTGAGGCTTCGGTAGATGCCAAAGAGTGAGTAATATCTTGACAATGAGTGCATAGAGTATGACTGATATCGTCACAGGGAGAGCACTCTGGTCAAGGACCATGATTTCTACTTCAACTTTTACTCTTCCCTCCAAAACCAAGCCAACATGATCGGAGACATCTCAAGGACCGGGACTTATCGGAAGGCTATCCTTGGTAATGCTGCTATTGCATTCACCGACAAGACTGTCTTGGATCTGGGTGCTGGTAAGTGTATCATTTGGGTCGCACTGATAGTATACTGACTGCCTTCAGGTTCCGGTATCCTGTCGTACATGTCGGCGCAGGCCGGAGCCAAGCAAGTGATTGCCCTGGAAGCTTCGTCCATGGCCGAGAAGATTGAGATCGTGAGCAATCTCGAACGAGAATAGCTGGCAACATGCTGACTGGTCTGTAGATGATCAAGGCCGCCAACCGCGGTAAGAACAACCCTCATCTTAAGGACCGCATCCGCGTCGTCCGTGGTATGGTCGAGAACAAGAAGGTGCAGGCCGAAGTTCTCAAGACTGGCAAGGTGGACACTATCATCTCTGAACCCATTGGTGTGATGCTGTTGCACGAGCGAATGGTGGGTGTCACTCTCCTTGCACTGGTACATATACTGACTTGTATCCATAGGTCGAATCTTTCATCCTTGCGCGAGATCTGTTCCTCAAGCCCGGGGGCCAAGTGCTTCCCTCGGCTGGTCATATTTTCTTCTGCCCCTTCACGGATGAGGCTCTGTATACCGAGACCGACCAGAAGGCTCAGTTCTTCAATGCCACCCTCTTCGGTACCGATTTCTCAGAGCTCTACGATGCCGCCCGAGAGGAAGTTTTCGGTGCGTGTACAGCCGGCTTCAGCGCCGACATATACTAACAACCTCTAGCCCAACCCGTCGTCGGCATGTTCCCCCCAACCTCCCTCGTCTCCACCCCCCTCCCCCCTCAACAATCATTTGACTTCCACACCGTCACCACCGACGACCTCCTCGCCTTCACCACCCCCATCGACTTTGTCGTCTCCCGCACATGCCTCGTGCACGGCCTCGCTTCCTGGTTCGACCTTGACTTCAATCCTCGGGTACCGCCCAAGGCTGATGGGACGCATTGGGGTTTCCCGGTGGCGCCGTCGAATGCGTGGCAGTGGATGGCGCAGGAGAATCCGTTGAATCCTGGTGCGACGCCGCCCCCGCCTGCTGATGGGTTGAACGTTGCGCTTTCGACGGGTCCTGATGCCGTTCGAACTCACTGGCAGTGAGTCATCTCCCCTACGTCATTCCCTCCCCCATACTTACATTCTTTTAGACAAGCCCGCCTCCTCCTCCCCGAGCCCCTCGCCGTTAACAAGGGCGAACGCATCACTGGCTCCATCCGTTTCACAGTCAACGAAGCTCGTTCCTACGACCTCCTCCTCGAGCTCGAAGTCGACAGGCCGGGATTGGAGAATTGGAAGGGGCCCAACCCATTGAAGAGGAAGGCGAACTATCTCTTGCAACAGCAATGTTTCAAGTGAGTCCATCATCACTCTTCCGCGCAGGCACGGAAAGAGACAGGAGCTGACAGACTGTAGCTACTCGTACAACCCCGATGCCGCGGCTATGGGGAACCTCGGCCTTAACGGAGGACTGGCCATGTAATATAGCTCGCAGGAAGCCCCTGCGTCGTGTTGTATATACCAAAAACATCAAACAGACATAGAAGTCTTCGTGTAAGGATAGATCAGTCCCGGCATCGAATACCCCTAATTCTTTTTTGCTCCTGAGAGTACCCGGCATAGCTAGTGCGCATACCTCGTCCATGGATACCTGATATCATGCATGTCATCCCATCTTGGTCTTCAATGGACCGATTGCGAGAATGTCGTCCCTCATGATTCATGAATGGTGACCTTCATAAGGTGCCTGTCGCCGACCAGGCACTGCACGCAATCTTATCTTCGCCGTCACAGGCCGCAACAAGTGTCGTTCACTCTTCTCAGACCCGTTCTAGCCGATTCTCTCAAGGCCACAATGTCCCCTCCATTAGACCTCACCCCAGTTGACAAGCTCGAATTTCTCATCCTCGTCGACAATTGTCAGTCCTTGTCCGTTCCCGTGATTTCTAAACTGATCTTGCCGAAGACGTCGAATGGTGTGCAAACTCCCTTTATTCGACATCTTCATGACTGAGAGTAGATGCAGGTTCTCTACCCTTCCCCCAGAGTTCACCCATGAGCTTCCCCAACACCTAGCCTCGCCGCGAAATCCCATCGACCCGCTCACCGGCTTGCCCATGATCGACCTTGACAACTACTGCTGTGGTGCGCATGGCTTATCAGTGCTTATGGTACGTATCTGGGATGTCCCATCCGCTCCGTATGTGCTAATGGATGACCGGTAGAAGACGACAGTAGGTGATGAGGAAAATCAAGTCCTTCTAGACTCTGGCCCGGAACCGTCGTCAATCGCACGCAACATCTCGGCCATGTCTGTCGACCTCACCTCCCTCGACGCACTCGTGCTATCTCATTGGCACAGAGACCATTCTGGAGGCATCACCCAAGTCCTCAACCTCCGGCAAGATCAGCTCCATACGCAAGGCCGGAACCCCGAGCACGACAAGCTCAAAGTCGACCTTCACCCTGACCGGCCGATTAGACGAGGGATAGCGAGGTTTCCGGCTACTGAACCGCACTGTGTCCTTCCTCCGGACCCAACCTTCCAAGAAGTTGAGGGTTCGGGTGGTAAAGTGGATCCGCATTCGGATCCGCATGAGGTCTTGGGCAGAGATGGGCGGAAGACGGGTGTCGGAGTCAGCGGCGAGATCAGGAGGATTGTGGATTTCGAGAAAGGGGTCAGGGGTGGAGTGAGATGGGAAGAAGATGGCGATGGGAAGGGAGAATGGTTTAGTGATACGGTGCGCCTCTTGATGTAGCTGGAAAACCCGTGCTGATTCCGACACAGATGATTATGGACGAGAGATACATTGTCATCGACGTCAAAGGCAAAGGTCTCGTTGTCTTCAGCTCGTTCGTCACTTTCTCTCTCTTTTAGCAAGCACTGACTACGATAACAGCTGCTCGCACGCAGGGATCTGCAACGTTATCACCTCACTTCTCCCCCTGGATCGTCCTATATACGCCATCATAGGCGGCCTCCACCTCGTTCCCACCAACATTCAGCCAGCCGCCCAGACGGTCGACTTTATAGCTCACAAAATCAAGCCTGAAGTGCAGTATGTGCTACCGCTGCACTGTACAGGACTGGAGGCTAGGGGATGGTTGAGGGAAGAGATGGGCGATCGATGTGTGCCAGCGGGGGTGGGGATGAAGGGGGTTTTCGAGGGCGGTTCAGATGAAGGATATGAGACGGCTATCGGTAGAGAGATGGGTTTTAGGATCGTAATGTAAAGGCTCAATTGCATCATATTACAAGACATGACATCTGAGTTCGATTATTAGCTCGCACGATGATGGCTTTTTTTCGAGCTCATCAGCGGAGGTGTCCAAACCAGCAGCTCAACCGTACTCAAAGCGTTCCTCCCCATATACCTCTTCCCCATTAAAACGTTGACCTTCTGAGATAACAATCGAATGAGAGTTAATTCGAGGCGTCTTAGTGGATGGTGATACTGAATGAATATGTCATTCGACAAAAACCCCTCAATCAACGAATCAAAGTCTTCGTTATTCCTCTGCAGCCCCAAGTCGATAGAAGTGAAAGGTAACGGTGGTTTGGCCGGCGGTGCTTTCTTGAGTGCACTCTTCAGTGGCGTGGGCTCTGGCATGTTTGTAGTCCGGCAATCTTGTGTGATACTCTCGAATTGTGGGTGGCGAAAACAGGCATGAAAAGACCGTCCGGCGCCGATACCATGTGGCACAAACGGCCGTTCTTCACGTATCGTACACCACGCCGTCGTCATGACGACGTTGGATCAAGATTAACCAACCAGATGCCTGCTCGTCCTCTTCTCGCGCGAGCCGTATAAGGATAGCATCAGTCTCACCCATCTGCAAAGTCGTGGAATGACATAAGTCACGCATGGAACGCGATACCGCCCTCTTGCTGCCTTGTGGTCCAAGCGCTTCCAACCGCCCAAAGAGCTGCCCTTATAGCGTCTTTCTGGCAGCACGAAGAAGCAGTTTGAATCGCCACTCGCCACCATGCATACAGCGCTATAAAGTTTCTACCCGAGTCCAAGTTGTTAATCAGTCCATCCACAACGACAGTCCAAGCCGTGTAAGCACCATGCGGCCACCACCCACTTCACCTCCGCCTATTGACAAAAAGAAATCCCCACCACCCCAACCCCCAGCCCCCAAACGTCCACCTCTCCCGTATTCAGACAACACCATCCTCGGCTTCCCCAAACGTAGATCCCAATTCGAGTCCAGCTACGAAACCCTCCTCGACTTTATCAAGCCCTCCCAACGGGGGCTCGACCACAAGAAACTCCTCCTCCGTCTCGCCGAGCAAGTCAATCGTGTTGGGGGTCGGAAGTATGTGGGGAGACAGATGGGGTTTGGGGTTGTCGAGTACTTGGTTCGTCTTTTTTTAAACTGACTTTGGAGGTGGTTGAGGTTGAGAGAGCTGATGTAAGATGATGGTGTGTTTGAGGTGATAGGCGGAGAAGTATGCGATGATCGCTCGTCGGTTGTGCAAAGCCATGCGACATACGATCGGTCCTGGCGGTCAACCTTCCGCCTCTCAAATCCGGCTCCTCTACCAAACCGTCGAGTGAGTATACTCATCTCCCACCCACCCCCACATTACATGTCGGCGCCTAAGCTGATACCTCCCTCCTGAATTCAGCGAAGGAGAGCTCATAGTGCGCCATTTCTTCCGTCTCCGGATTTCACGACTCGATCCATGGCAAGCCAACATCGGATGGAAAGCGGATGAAGTCGGCGAGGGGTTGGAGTATCTGATGTGGCGGTTGATCAAGTTCGTGGAGGAGTGGGATGTGAGTGGATGCTTTGGGTTTCTTCCGCAGCCAGAACATGCTCTGTACATGAGCTGACTCTATTTGCAAACAGCTGCCCACGCACGATTGGCCTGTCGAGCTGTGGTCTAGAACATTCGCCAAAATCTGGGAGGCTGATGTAACAAGGAAGACACGGGATGTACCCCGACCTGGCATCTGCTCCATAGCATAACCTTCCCTCGTTTAGCAGCAGATCCCGAATATATGCAATGCAATGGATAAATCTACAAACAGTCCGTCAAATCTATCTCGCCCAACATCAGCTCTATGAGTCCACCTGAGATCTGGTCTTGTTCGCCTCTAACAGCTTCATGATCTCTCCTTCTTCTCCGTCCTTGTGTCCTAGTGATAACCAACCAGCTTTAAGTCCGTTCTGGACGATAGTGGTCACCACCCTTTCCATACCGTCACTCCTACTCTACATCAGCATCTACTCCACATCCCCGAGACCACACGATTACTCACCTATCTCGTATTTCCTCCACACTCCCCTTCCCCTTCTCTCTTTCCTCATCCAACAGCCCATTCAACCGCTTCACTTCCTCTTCCAGTCCATCCAGTCTATCCGAGACCTTATCGCGCCGTTTCGATTCTTTCTTCGAGGACCGTATTGATTCGCCGACTATCAGACCTGCACCGACTAGAAAGAGGAATGTTTCGGCTAGTGTGGTGGCTCCATTTTGGATAGCTCTGCGAGTACATATCAGCGCCGATCTTTTGAGACAGAAGAGGGAAGGCATGAAAGCGTACCGAGTATCGTTCAGCGGCTTGACATTTCCTGCTTCAGCATTCAGGAGACCCATACGCATCCGAGCTTCTGTCCTGTGCATTCTCTGTGCGAGGCCCATGCATATTGTTCGGAAGGTCTCATGTCTGAAGACGTTGTCAGCTCGTTCCAAAAAGGAGGAAGGTAGATGTACTGGGTGGCCTGAGCTTTGATGGTGTTGGCTATTGGCTTGGCGAGTGTCTGTCAAGTCATGTATGGTCAGCATCGCAAATTCCTTTACCTCCAGAGGATTCGAGTGAGCTTGTCAGAGCCAAGCAGCGCGGGCTATAGATAGACACGCGACGCACCTTGACAGCCAGAGAGAAAATCTTGACGGAGGCCATGGTACGATATTGAGAGGATATGGGATTGTTGGAGATGGATCTGGCGCTGTCCTATGGCTGAGACTATCCGAGAAAAGAGCAACAACAAAAGTCAAAAGTCCATTGAAAGTCCATCTCCCTCGCCGAAGCGCATCACATCCGCGCCGGCATTGGTGTTTACGTAAGTGGTCGGCTTTCGGCGGTGGAGGGCGTCGGTGGTCGCCGCTGGACGACTGCCGGGTGCCGGCCGGATTGTCTCTGATAACCATCGATGAAATGAACGACGAGTGCTTTTCTATTCTCTCTTTCATCGCCTCCTGTTCTTCTTTAGGTCAATAGCAAGACAGTGTGGGCTCTGAGGTATACTCCCCTCGATATACGCTACTCGCCAGCTCGTCACTTTACTCGGCTATCTCGGTCCGACATCCACGCTAGCAGCACGTACACGCTGCAGCATCGACACCATCTCGATCTCTTCAACTGGATCACCAGCCCTTTCAATCAATAGCTGGATAACCTCCCATTATGGCGGTATTACCCAGGCAAGATGCGCAACCAGTCAGCCCTTCAAGCTCGTCCACGGGCAGCGCAACTTCATCGACCTCTTCGTCGACCGATGGCGGCGGCCAATATGTCGCGGGCAGTGGGTAAGCTCCAAACCCGACTTGTACCTCGTCTCTCCCACGCTCACACCATTCTAGTTCCACATCACTATATCTCTTCACATTCCTCATCACCATCGTCGTCCTCGCCCTCATCTCCGGCGCCCTCGTCCTCCGAGCCTACGTCCTCCGCCGTCGGTTCCGGCGCCGCGTGGAAGAAGCTATCCGGACAGGCAACCCTCTTCCTATGGACGCCGCTGCTGCCCTCGGTCTATTACCAAGAAGGGGTAGTAGGAAGAAGGAGGAGAAGGTGGCGGTGATGCCGACGATGTGGGAGGGCGAGATGAGACGAGATGTGGAGAAGGGGTGGGATGAGGAGGATGATTTGCTGAATAAAGGGCGAGACCAGTGGGACGGTATGATAGTAAGCCTCCTTCTTCACAGCCTCATCACTCGAGTGAAAGTCATCGCATCCGAAGCTGACTACTCTCAGCCAGTAGCCGTAACCCACTTCCCTCCACCCCCACCCCCACCCCCTCCCCCACCCCAAACCCTCCCCCCAATCCTCCCCCAACCCCCCTCCCTCTGGCGCCAAATGTTCACCTCCTCCTCCTCCGCCGTCCCCTCCGAACAATCCCTCCGCCCTGCACTCAACTCCACGGCTTCCTCAAGATCCGTACCCAACATGCCTAAAGTCGTGCCGAGCTGGTCGGCGCCGGATACGGGGGAAGAGGTGGTAGTGGGGGTGATGATTGCGATGCCGTGTTTGGAGAGTGGGGAGGAGCTTTGGGAGGCAGTGGAAGAGGGGGAAGAGAGGGATATGCCGGAGGTTTCTTTCGGGATTATGAGCGCTAGGATTGGGGGTGTATGATCTCTTCCCTAAGTGTAGATTTTAGAATCATAAAGGTTGTTTAGCATTCATATATACGAGAGTACTCTATTGTAGATTATAGCTTGCTTGTTGGATTTGTCAGGATAGCACTCATGAGCGTCGTAATGCAACGATGACTTTTATGGCACTCTGACATTTTTTATTCACATTCATGCCCCCACACAAGACCACAATCAACAGAAAATCGTTTTTGGCATAAGACTGGCCACCAGCATCCCTACTGGACCACACAGTACTCGGCATACTGGTAATAGTCTGCCAGCGCAGGAGGCGGCTTCGTAACCCGATGCCTCTTCTCGATATCGTCCTTCCACATCGCCGAGATCACCTTTTGCCAACTCTTCTTGGCGTTCAACTCTGGTTCCTATATCTCTCATCAGCACCGCTTCTCTTTATCTTGTTCGAGAGCAGCTAGGGAGGCAGGAGGGTGGGATTGAGGGGTGATGGGACGTTTACCTCGAAGATGTTGACCAGGTTGATCAACCTCCAAGTAAGGTGCGAAAGTACTTCTTCAACAATGTCGATTTTCCCCTTCTCCTCGATGTTCCAAGCATCCAGCCAATTCAAGCGAATTCGACCAAAATGACAGAGGATGATTGACCCCTCGCTATTATTCATATAATGTCAGCGCGGTCTCACGAATCGTGTAACGGATGCCACATGCAACATGGCAGGGGAAGGAGCGAGAAGGAGGGGTGAGGAGATGACGTACTCGATAACGCGGTAGAGGAGCCGGGCATTTTGGGTGGGGATGATACCGTTCGTCTGAACGTCTGGTAGGAGGCGTTCGCAGAGAAGGTCGGCGAGCTGTGTGAACCTCTCGGACTGCAGCCACCTCACATCAGCATATCTCATATTCACTCGCCCAACTCTGAAGAGAGAGAACCCACCAGAGCATTCACAGTCCCAAAGTAATACACCTTCTCAGCATACTTCCATCCCAAAGTATGCACCTGCTTCACAAGCAACTCCACAAGCTGCCTATGCTCCAAGTTGCCTTCTGCAAAGTGCAGCCCCAGAAGACCGGCGGCGGTGGAGTCGAAATGCTTCTTGCGCTCCGAAAAGCCGACGAGCTTGTCGTCGGTCGGGGAGGGGGAGAGGAGGGTGGCGGTGGTGGGCTTGGTGATGGGGTAGATGTCTGTGTGGGGCATGAACGACATCTTGGTAGGGGTAAAGTGGCAAGACAGCTCGAGTTGAGGCATCATCGGCGGTATTTGTAGTCTTGTATGACACCTCCCTCGCCTCAAGCGTGCTTGGAATCATCAGCACCGTCACAAAATGGTCTTGAAGAGCCACAACAAGCGAGTTGAAGTTCAAGCCTACCTGCGCGAAGTGCCATCATCATGTTCTCAGAACTGCAGACCGCAAGGCCGGAACGCCACTCTGTCATCGTCTAGAACTAGCGACGCTCACATGTGCTTTTTGCTTTTTGTTTTCACGCTCGGTTTATCATGCCCATGCCTACGTTGCATCGTAAGTAATAGTTGGATGCTTGATTAAGATGCTTCGTATAGCAATCTCATATTACGAATGCATACACAATGCTGAACCGTCATCTTTGCTGCTCACTCCTGACGGCTTTCAAAACTTGTCTGCAAATCTCTTCTGCAGACTCTCCGCCATCTACACAACGGTAACCTCGAATGTCTTGTATTCAACATCCAGAACCTTTGTGGCCTTTGCTCCATTGAACACGTTGGAGTCCTTGACAATCTCGTCGTGAGTTCCAGGCTTGCCCACTGGAATATTCGGCAGGTCAGGGAAGCGTTTGTGCAAGGCATCCACGTAGTCTTGTGGGGCGCAAATGGACCAGCGCCAACAATGAATCTGTTGCCTCCGGCTTCAGAGACGGTGCGGCAAAGCTCTCCAAAAGCGCAAACTCCTGATTCTCTGCATAATCTATATACATATATATCTATGTTTCTATCAGATGGTACTGAACCTCTTCCTCAAAGATTCAAACATCTGGATGATAGAGTCGTTCAACGTAGTGTACTTGATACCAAGCACCTTCTCAGCCTTGCTTCCATCAAAGATGTCAAGGACCTTGCAGATCTCGTCGTGCGTGCCAGGAGTGCCCACGGGGACGTTCTTGACATCAGGGAAGTTCTTGTGGATACCATCAACAAAGTCCTGGGCAGACAAGGCGCCTGCTCCGACAATGAACCTGTTGCCTCCGGCCTCGGGGACAGTAAGAGCTCGAACGTGGGCAAGGGCAACATCCTTCACATCGACCCAGTTACCCATGGGAGAGGGAAGGTCGCCCTCAGTCTTCTTGCCGGAAGCCCACTCGTAGAAGGCGGCGACAGAGGTGTTGAGGGACTCGGGCTTGTCGCACTGGTGGATGATCTCACCAAGAACGAAAGGGGGGTTGATGGCGACGGCGTCCCAAGAGGGCTTCTTCTCGTCGATGAACTCTGCCCGATTGTCAGTTCTTAGATCTCCTGAAAAGAGTCGTACTCACTCCACAAAGCCTGCTCGGCAAGGGTCTTGGAAGCGAGGTAAGAGTGGAAGCCAGAGGACTGGAGACCGTTCTTCTCGACGTGGGCGGCGCTGTCAAGTCCTTCTCGGTGTAGCTAGGGCGACAATCAGCGGAAAACATTTTGGTGACAAAAGCTCAACTCACGTGTAGGGAGACTTGACAGAGTCCATGGACAGGATGGAGGCAACAGAAGAGGTGATGACGACTCGCTTGACGTCGGGGCTACTGGCTGTCAGAGATGCTTCGGCCCATTCACGACGGTAAACTCACTTATATTTCTGGAGGCTCTCCAAAACACCGGTGGTACCCTTGACGGCGGGACCGATGAGCTCCTGGGGGTCCTTGATGTTAAAGACGTAGAAGGGAGAGGCCAAGTGCGCAACGGCATTGACGCCCTTGACAGCCTCGTCGAAAGCACCATCCTGATGACATCAGTCTTCGCCCCTTTGACGATTCGTGAAAGATAAGCGCACCTGGTTGACGTCCTTGACAATCACGTAGGTGAACTCGCCCAAACCCTCAAAGAGCTTGGTGAGGTATTGGCCCTTCTCCTCGGATCGAACGGTACCACGAACGCGGAAGCCCTGCTGGAGGAACTCCTTGGCGGCGTGGGAAGCGATGAAACCGGAGACGCCTGTGACGAGGACGAAATCGCCCTTGGTGATGGTGTGTGCGGAAGACATTACTGGTATGTTGTTTAAAGAGATGCAAGAACCAGGAGGAGAGAAATTCACAGTGACGACTTATATATGCGACATCCACAGCCGGTGGCCACCATGCACCACCACGACCTCGGCATCGGCCTCGGCTGGGCGAAGCGAATACATTCATGTCTTACTGTCGGCCGGGATGACGAGAAAAGGGATGACGAGAAAAGTCTTAAACGCCGAGGTGGAGGTGGTGGCTGAGGGCGGCATCGATTAACGTTCCCGCGACGCACGTGACCCACTGCCGCCTCTTGTAGGTGGAATACTCGCAATAAGCATTATCGTAGCCTCATTTGTCCCGATGCCAAAAAAACTGGGTGTGACTACATTGTCAGAGCGCGCCTCTCAGGTGTGCCCGATGCGTGGGTTATCACTGGGTTGCAACTAAAGCACAGTTGTCAGCCTGGAGGAGTACTAGCCCCTCGGGTTGGAGCGCTCAGATACCAGTTCAGAGAGCATCAGGTATGTTGTGATCTCCACGCTTGAGATGATATCATGACTGACAAGCCTCGTAGCTTCAATCTTCCGGAGTCGAATCGGAAACAAAAAGCAAGACTGCTATCTCGCTGATCGAGCAGCAAACCGGCGTGCAGATGGCCCAAAGGTCGACCACCGTACCCTAAACGGTCTCAGCGGTGTGTAGGCTGTTTCTTTGCTTAGCGTTGTTACTGATGTGAAAGATAGATGATGACTTTAGAACTCATGCTGATGAATGGACATGTTTGCCCGATTTTACCAGGCATTGCCAGTCGGTCGATCCGGATGGCACTTATGTGTCCCGTTTGGATAGTAACATGCGTCCATTTGCCTTCTTTGCTCCAAGCTTCTCCAAGGAGCAATTCCCGAAGCACATCCGCCCAATGCTAGGAGTTGACGCCGCGTTTACGAAGACTTGCGTCGATCATCATATCATCATCGCATCCTCGTATGATGCCAACTCAAACCTCTTCCCTTTGGCGTGGGCCTTCGCTTCCGGTTCTGAAAACGGCCGTGACTGGAGAAAGTTCTTTGAATGCTTGAAAGCTGCATACCCATGTATCGACAAGCCCGGGAACCAAATCCTGATGGTATCAGACCGGGGAAAGGTGAGTACAAACAGCGTACCCCACAGTACTCAGAGGCTGATTAAGACCAACAGGGACTCCTCAAGAGCTCTCGGGAAGTCCTTCCCAATACTGAGCACGTCTTTTGCTCGATCCACCTCCAGAGGAACGTCAAGAAGCGCTTCCATGAACGTGAGGAGGAGTTATATCAGTCACTCGCGTATGCCAGCAACGAAGATGACTTCATGACGCTTTGGAACAGCGCGAAGAATGCTGCTTCGGAACGCCGACTAAACGCTAGCTTCTTCGAGTACCTGTGGAGTGAGGACCAGACGCAAGCCTCTTCCATCCACCCCCGGCAATGGTCTCGAGCGTTCACTCCCCTTCCTCGATTTGGAACGACCACGTCCAACAATGTTGAACAGGTCAACTCCTGGGTTATGAAGGAACGCAAGGCCGGTCCGATCTCTTTCTCCTTGGAGTTTTTCAAGAAGTTGTCGGAGGCGATAGTCGAGAGGGGGGACCGGGCCCATAAGGAAGAAAGTGCAGTCCCACCGCGAGTCTTCAAAAAGCTAGAAGAGGCCAGTCAAGCAGCTTCTGGGGCATTCGAAGCGACGATTAGAAGGCTTGACACTTCGAAAGAAGCAGATGCTGAAGCGAAGGTGACTGTTGTTTCGAAGTCTTCCACAACAAGAAGATTTTGGGAGGTGGTCATCCGTCCATGCATCTCGGACAAGCAACGAGCCCGCCCATCCCAGTCTCCCCTCCACCATGACTTCCAGTCTCCCCTCCCTTCGAAGCTACAAGCTTCCAACGACCCCTCCAGGAATGGCGCCCATCTCCTCTTTCAAGCATACCCGACCGCCACCACCTTCTTCTCTCCGCCATCTCTCGAGTGCTCCTGCCAGGGCCCTAAGGATACTGGCCTACCTTGCAGTCATGCAACGTACGCCTTAGAGTCTATCAAGGAAGAGCTGAGACGGCAACATCATGAGGATCTTGTCGAAAGGTTCAATCGCGCTCACTACATCCGGCGTGAGCTGACGACATCGACGTGGAGCAAAACCTACCGAAAACATGAAATGCCCACGTTCATCCCAAAACACAGCCTCGAGCCTGATGAGGATGTCAAATACTCGTTCCGATGGGGCCATGGGCGACGCGCAGACAAGCGCAAAACTCACGGTGATCCAATCACCGAGGCCTCGAAGAAGCGTTTGGTCGTCGCGTCTGGGGAAGAGCCGGTTCGGGGAGGCAGGAACTATGTGGCCAAGGGCAGCTATAGGTGTGGTTACTGTCGGGAAATGGGGCATAACGTCAAAAAATGCCCAATGAAGAAGGCAGGGGAGGCGCCAGCTGCTGCTGCTGGTGATCTTAAGCGGAAAAGGGAGGAAGAGAAGGACAGTGACGAGGAGACCGACTTCGAGGAGAGTGGCAGTGTTGGGGTGATCTGTCTTGCCGACGAGAGAGGCTGTGGCGAAGGGAAGGCGGCCAGAGATAGGGGAGACAGTGTCGTTGTGATTGGGAAGGGCGCTCATCCTGGTGTGAGTCAGCTAGCGTCTCGGGGCAATCTCGACGCGGTACCCACCATCTCTCCCGCTTCGCATTCTGAGCTCTCGGAGAGATACGCCAGCATCCCGTTCGTGGCATACCGAAACCCCATCATGGGCTCGAAGGAACTGGAGGCCCAGCTCTTTACGGAGGAACAACAGCACAGTCACCTCCAGGCAATCCGTAAATGTATTGACCAAGACCCGGAATACTTCCAAGGCCGAGCATGGTGGACCAGTGATGTGACTCCGAGCTTGCTAAGCGCTACTGAGAAGCTGGCTCCGAGGACGCTGGGCTGGAATGCTCTTTGTGGCCCTCTGCTCTCGTTCGACCTCGTCACTCCAATGACGTATGGACCTGGAAAAGTGGATGTGCCT